GTGTGTGCAAAAAATTATTATTTTTTATAAAAATAAAGATTTCCAATATTTTAAAAATTAGCATATTAAAAAATTAATTTTTATTTTAATATATTAATATTAAAATAATATATTAATTTTTGAGAATTGTACTTGTGAGCAATATTAATACATAAACCCCTTATCAGGCCTAATCTCAACCCCTTAGGCCTGATTAAGTTATACATCATTTTGATTTATTGAGGGGTTCTGCTGTATAATATTATACAATACAATGGTCACATCAAACAACTGAAAATGTCATAACATATAGTATAAGTTTATACTATCAAGCCATATATATCACACCAAACAAGCCCTAAGATCTCTATTCGATTGAAAAGGTTAATGATATTTACATGGGATATGTTATTCTACATATTATTTTTCTGTCTACCTTTGCTACCACTCTCCAATACCGTTAGATCAGATTCTAAACTACATTTATAATTTCTTTCTCCTATTGCAATTCTGATATAACAACATTAGAGAATGATAGGCAAAAATAGATAGAAAGAATAATAGGGAGAATAATCTATCCCTATTTACATATTAAAAGTTTGGGTTTTATTAATCTCATGTTAAAGGAGATAGTTATTTCATGTCATAGAGATAAATTTGTGGGCTCCCCCACGTGAAAAAAGAAAAGAAAAATATGGCACAGTTATCGAAGGGTGTGTATGAGGAAAAATTTATCTCATGTAACATGAGAATAGTTTTTTCCGGATGTTTGGTAAAAGAGAAATTTTTATTTATCCTAGAAATAATTATTACCAGAATGTAATAAGAAAAATATTTTTACTGGAATGTTACTAAAAGATATTTGGTATGACTAAATTTTTTCTGTTAAAATTATTGAGTGTGTGTTTGATTGATTGTTACATATCAGTGAGAACGTAAACTTATATTTTAGGTTGATAGTCGTATCTGCAACAACCATTCTCGAAAAAGTACCATAACATGTGCAACATCCTCCTCAGTGTAACCCACTCAGGGTCACTTCCCAAAGGGATTCAGCTACATGCCCACATTATCAAATCGGGTCTTGAAGCCATTCCTTTGGTCTCGCATCACCTCATCAATTTGTATTCTAAAACTCAACTTCCCTATTCCTCTCGCCAAGTGTTTAATGAATTGCCTCAAAGGTCTTCCACTAGTTGGAGCATCATTAGTGCCACTGCATCTTCCTCTAGCAAGAAAGGTCACCTGGAAGCTTTGAAGGTACAGTAGATCATCTTCCTGACATTCGACAGCACAGACAGAGGGAGTAGCTTGCGGTGTGTGTTGGTGCTAGATATTTGCGAACACAATGGAGCTATCCACTTCACCGATCGTACAAATCACAAATCACGGGGTTAATTTCGTCCACCAAATCATTGTTTATGTTTTACTTTCCTGGGCAAGCAAGTTTTCCAACTGATCTATGGAGTTTCATCAGTGATGACCGTACACAAAGTTGCACACAATAAACAAATCCGAGAAACAATTTTTCCGGTGCAACTTTTTTACTTTTTGTCAACCAAATGTGAGTTTCTTGTTTTTCATACCTAGCTTTCCGGAGAGATCAAATATAATCTTGCTACCAAACGCCCCTAAAAGTTTCTCAGTTTTCTTACGTAACTTTCGTCATTAAATACCCTTCTTGCAATGTTTTCTTACGTAACTTTTTTACTTTCTTAAGTTTCTTTTTATACTCCTTTTTCTTTTTACGGTAATATTTCTTGCAATGTTCACGGAAAATTAGAGTGAACCGTCTAAAGTGAGAAAAAAAGTAAAAGAAAGACAAGGTACGACCGAATAATCGTTATTGGTGATAGAAATGCGTGCATTTTTATTTATTTTAAAATCCTCTCAATGTAAACAGAATAAAATATGAGTTTTATAATTCTCATTTAACATGAGAATTACAATTTTTCTACGCACCTTTCGATTTCCGTGCTGACATGTGTTTTCCATATAATTTTTTTTAACACATGGGTCCCACATGCTTTTCTACAGCATGAGATTTCAATTCTCTTTTAACATGAGAATTATAAAACCCTTATAAAATATTTCAACTAATGCCTCAATAATTTCGTTCAAGATAAAAAAATAATTATTAAGTAGAAAAAGTACGACATTTAGACTTGGTTGTTAATTTTTTTTTCTTACATATTAATTTTTCTTAATAATTTTTTTTATTATAATTAAATTTTTTAGTGTTAATAATTTTTATAAAAGTTAAAAAAAAATACTTTCTAAAAATATTATATCACAAAGTTATTTTTCTAAAACTTATCAAATAAAGTACTCAAGAAACATTTATTACTTTTTCACGTAAACAACTAGTTCAATATATAGAAGGAAATTAAATTTAGTTCTTATTATAGTTAATACATGTATGACATAAACTAAAAAGTTTTAATTTTAAATTAAATAATTATATTCTTATTCAATAATATAATAGATACTTGATTATTTTTAAATTTAAGCTAACTTACTTTTGTTTAACGGATAAGTCCGATAAGACTTATTTTATCATATACGTTAAATGAATTACTTATTACTAAATTTTGGGTTGACTTTAAGTTTTTTAAGACTTGAATTTAGTAATTAGTAAAACAACTGTATTAAGGAAGTACGTGTGTAAAAAAATACATGACTTGTTATCAAAAAAAAAAATAAAAAAAAAATACATGACTAGTTAGCATGCAAAACTTGTTCCAAAAGTGCAAGGATATATCAATTAAGTTTATCATTTTTTATCATCAAATGATTATAATTTATTAAAAATTAATGATTAATTAATAATTATTATTCAATAAATTATAACAGTCAGATTGATAAAAATCGACAATTAAGATTTGACGATAAAAAATAATAAATTTAATTGGTGGTAAATGAATTACTTCCTATGTATATATATAGATTAAAAGCTCTGATACTCGGACACGGTTTTTTTTTTTTTAAAATGTGCGTGTCAGACACGTGTCTGATACGGACACGCTCTGACACGCGATCAACATTTTGGGACACGTAGTCAATGCTCGGACACGCTCGGACACGTTTTTTTTATTAACTAAAAATAAAAAAATCATGTATAAATCAATTTTTTCCTGTTATAAAATTTGACATGAAAAATTAACAAGGTACAATTTTTTTTTTTAATATTTATGTTATAGAATTTGAATATTTAATTGGTTATATAACTCATTCTGGACTGTTATATGTATTAAATATAAATTATATTATATATTAAAAATATTATTTAATATCAAAAAGTGTCCCAACATGTCAAAAAATGTCATTTTTAAAATTAACGTGTCGGCGTGTCGTGTCCCGTGTCCGTACATAATAGATTAAAAACATAAAAAAAGTATTACTTGCTAAGGAGTCATTCCTTTTTTTTATTTTTTTAAAAAATAAATTTCATGAAAATTAATGTAGCCAAATAATATTTACAAATAAAAAAATCATATCAGGGTTTTTAGATAAAAAAGAAGCGAATTTAGTTTATACTTTAAGCAATCCAACAAAAGAATGGCAGTATGGCACACACCCCAGCACTTGAGCTATGAAAATTGTATAAACAGGGATCCGATGATGAACCCTCTTCTAAAACGAAGCTGAATGAAGTGCCATTAACAAGGTCTACGTACAGTCTGGAGCTGATGCGATGAGGATTAAAAAACTATAGTAATAAACAGATAAACTAATAGGAAGTAGGAACGGACAAAATCACAAAATGCAATAAATAACGCTGTATCTGCGATGCTCTCGCAAAACGATGTTACTTATTATATTTAAAAAAAGGTACAAGTTCCAAGGTCTGGGATCTTTATCCTGCAGTTATTACTTTATTAATTTTTTTATAATGAAAAAGAATAATATTAAACATTAGTAAAATTTTACTATTTAAAAGTTTGAAAAATAATTAATAATAAAATTTTTATCATTAACAAATGATTAGTAAATATAATTATTTTTTACTTCATTTATATTGTTAAAATACACATTAACGGGGTTTTTGTGTAAAAATATTTAATACATTAAAAATATTAAAAGTTTTAATTATAACTTAACTCTTTATTCATTTTTAAAATTACATTAGATTTCAGTACTTTTTTGGGGTCAATACACGTGCTAATAATTCTGGACCAATAAAAGAATTGGTACAACAACAATTTCATATTTTCTAGGAAGACTTAAAAAAAATAGCTAAAAAAACAGCCATCCATTAACGTCCAGTCTCTCTTATATGACGTGGCAGCATCTGAATCCACACCTTTTATCATTTATTTCTTTTTGTAGAAAGTACAACATGAAATAAAGATAAATCTCTTATTCTAATTTATTACATACGCATGACTTACATAAGTTCAAGAATTTATATGAAATAAAGCCAGAAGGGAAGAACAAACCACGTTCCTCTTGCTTCTAGTCAAAGTTTTTCTCAAAAGCACTGAGTTGTGTAACCAAAACGAACATCTTTTTCACTTTAATTTCAACCTTGCCACTCCGCTCCTCACGCTCCCACCACGACTGAAAAGGGTATGCTTTTTTACACTTCAAGTTAAAGATTTCAACCATCCAAAAAGATTCTTACATCGCTATTTATTGTTTTTTTTTTGGCAAATCTAATTTTTTAAGAGTAAATACTTTTTGTTATGATGTCCATTTTAATTTTTTAGAAAAAAATAACAATTTATAATTCCTTTAAAATTTAAAATAAATTTAATTAGTTAAAATTGTGATTCTTTTAAAATTAAAAAAAAAACCTATATTAATTCCTAAAATAATTAACATGAATCTAATTTAAATTTCAGATTATATTTTGTTTTTTCTTTTCTTTTCAAAGATTAAACTGGACCGTGATATTTGTGGAGAATCAAAAGATACTTTACTTTTTTTAATTATTATTGTACTATAAGGATCCTATTTTTCACTACTAATCAACATCCTTGAGAGTGTGCAATCATTGAATGTTACTCCGGTTCCCTATGTTTCCTTTTTTTTGTTTTGTTCCATGAATCATGGCAAATGTTTCTTCTACATTATAGGTTCATCATAACACAGGTTTCACTTGCTCCATTATGTTTAAATTTTTTGTGCTTGTTGTAACTCGAGGTTGAGGGGTTCAACTTATAGTGAGAGTCTAGAAGCTTCGCTTCCATTACCTTAACTTTTGATGAAGTGGGTTCGCTTCATTTTTTTGTTTGTTTGTTTGGTTTAGTACCTTTTGACCACTTTGTTTGCAATCGTTGGTCGTTGTTTCCTATGAGTCAGTTAATTTAGACTTTGGTAATATGAAAAATAAAAAAAAAAATATAAAAATAAAAGTACAGATCTGTAGCAGTGATCAGCGATCACTTCCTTTAATTTTTTTTTTCCCGTGTCTTTTGTTTGGTACAAATACAAGGTTTTCTACTTTAGCATACTAGCTGGCTGTGCTGTGGTTCATGTTCTCAAAAGGAAAAAAAAAAATGATTGTTTCTAACGGAGAAGAGCAGATTCTGTTGCCTTCAGAAAATGCAAGTGAGGCTTCAAAGTCACCCTCATTGGATTTGAACCCAGATTCCGTTGATGGGTCCCCACCGGTTTTCACAGTTTACACTGACGTGGGTGTTGTGCCGGAGCACGAAAAGGACGAGCTTCAGCACTTGATATCCAATTCAGAAAGTATAAATCAATAAAGTCACAATTTTTTTTTTTTTGGCTTACGGTTTTAAATCTCTGAAAAAAATGTTACTAATTCTTTTTTTTTTTTTTTTGTGTGTATAGGAGAAGTTGAGCAGCTGAGGCTTAAGCAGAGGATTTTGGATGAAAAGCGGAGAGAAGCATTGAGTAAGATATTGGACATCAAAGGTATTAAAAGTGTATATTCTAAAGAACATTTATTTAATTGGAGGTTTATATTGATATGCATTGGAAATTTGTTAATATGGTTGAAGAATTGCATTTTGATATCCAGGGAGTATTCGAGTATTTTGTAGAATTCGACCGATTCTGTTGGTGGAGAAGAGAAGAATTTCTGAACCTGTTTCAGCTGGATCAGAGAGAATTCGGGTTAAGTTGGGAGGAACAAGGAAAGATTTTGAGTTTGATAAGGTTTTTCCTCAAGAAGCAAGCCAAGGCTAGTATTAAAAGCTTTAGTGTGTTACCCAACTTAGTTTATCGATTATAGTTCTAAGTTTTACTAAAGAGGGGTGGGTATATTCCCATGTTTGATCATCTGCAGAAAGTGTTTTTGTTGAGGTTGAGCCAATTCTAAGATCTGCAATGGATGGGCACAATGTGTGTGTTTTTGCTTATGGTCAAACAGGCACAGGCAAGACGTTCACCATGGTTAGTCACATTTGTGTTGCTATTTGTGTTTATGTGTTAAATACTCTTAGTATGTGGTAGCATCACTGATGTATGATGGCATGTAATCATTCTTTGTAGGATGGTACAAACGAGCAACTTGGAATTATTCCCCGTGCTCTTGAAGAGCTTTTTCATCAAGCCTCTATGGATAATTCATCTTCTTTTACCTTTTCGATGAGCATGTTGGAAGTTTACATGGGCAATCTCAGGGATCTGCTAGCTCAAAGACCGTCTGGGAGAGCATGTGAACCTATGACTAAGTGGTAAACCTTTATTCTTTTGTCACTCTAAAATTTCAAAGTTTGATTGAATTCCTTAAGAGTAATCTGTCTGAATCTCTGGCTCACTAACCCCATTTACAGCAATCTCAACATCCAAACAGATCCAAAGGGTTTGATTGAAATTGAGGGTCTCTCAGAAGTGCAAATTTCTGATTATGCTAAAGCCAAATGGTGGTACAACAAGGGCAGAAGGTTCAGATCCACCTCGTTGACTAATGTCAACGAGGCTTCAAGCAGATCACACTGGTGGGTTATAGGTCTAATTAGATACTCCAAACTATTTCCATGTGTTTCTTAGCTTGATAGTTACGTTATCTGTTTAGCTTCATATATCTAGCTTGACGAGGATAAGCATATCGCGACGTGGGGATGCATTGGATTCCAAAAGCGAAATAAGCAAATTGTGGATGGTTGATCTTGGAGGCAGTGAACGGTTGCTAAAAACTGGAGCTAAAGGACTAACACTTGATGAGGGTCGAGCCATTAATCTTTCTCTCTCAGCTTTAGCTGATGTCATTGCAGCTTTGAAGCGGAAGAGGTGTCATGTGCCTTACAGGCAAGTACTCTGATGGTGTTGATTTCTCATGTTTAATTATGTTTTTGTATCCTTTAGATGTGGTATGTGCTTGAAAAAGCTAAAAACTACAGAGATGATTCCTTTTTACTGTTGCTAGTTTTTTTTATGTCATCCCAATTATTGTTTCTTTCTAGACAATCAAAGTATCGTATAACTAATGATTTTATGCTACTTTGCTTGCTGCAGAAATAGCAAGCTGACTCAAATACTGAAAGATTCTCTCGGTATGATACTACTATCTTCTCTAAATTGCATACACTACCTACTTTGTGCACAACATACTGTGGAATCTTCTATTACAAGATTACAAACTCACAGAAATTGAAATAATTTACACGTTTTAATGTTTGACTTATTGAGACTAGAGTAAGAACAGTGAGGCATGATAAGATTCTTTTTTTTATTTTATTTTTTTGAAAAATATAAAATGTCTAATTTTCATAATCAAATACTGAAGGTGATGGCTCAAAGGTCTTAATGCTCGTCCATATAAGCCCTTCCGAAGAAGATGTTTGTGAGACAATTTGTTCTTTGAACTTTGCAAAGAGGGCGAGAGCAATAGAGTCAAATAAAGAATTACCAATGGTAAATTTACTGAAATCTTTCCTAAAGCAAGTCCTTCAGCGGAAACTGTTTGAAGATTGCTAACTGCATGCATGTACTGTAGGAGTTGAAGAAGCAAAGGGAGAAGAAGATTATGGAGCTTGAAGAAGACATTAAAGAAGCTAAAAAACAAAGTCAGAATTTAAAGGATCAAATTCAGAAGGTTGAGTTAAAGTTAAGTGAGAATAAAAAGCTCTTCTCTACCACATATATTCCTCTGGAAAGTGATGACATGACAAACTCTATTAGTCCCAAAGATGATGTCAAAGAGGTAATTGAAACCCCTAAAGCATCTTCGAAGCCTGTTAGAAGAAATTCCTCCAATTCAGTGCCTCGATTCATGAATCCAACTGTTGCTAGTCGCCAAAGGCAAAGTATTGCAGAACGAGAAATTGTTGGGAGATCAAAAAGTTTAAGATCAGTGGTCACTAGAAATTCAATCCAGTTTTCATGTTCCCAATCATTAAGTTATTCAGATCTCCGCGTTAAAGCAATGCTGCGAAGTTCACATGGAAAATCTCGGCATGCTGAGACAAATACTGTTCTCACAGAAAGGCCTAAATGCAATGAATTGGAATCAAAAGTCATAACTCCTCGGAGCAAGATGGTTACATCATCAGATCCAATCTTGAGAGTTACATTGTGTCGTCATAGAAGAAGGATGTCTGATCTGATCTAAGGGTAAAAAAAAAAAAAACATCTTAGTTGTAGATTTTTTAATGATGTGAAGTGGTTGCATGTTTAATTCCTTTCAGTTTATATTTTGTCTATAACAAATTGTAACGAGTGGTATGTTAATAGGTGTGTTGTCTTGGGCTGTTGGTGGTGGTTGGGATCTGTTAATTGTTTAACATGAGCGTTCTTTGTTTTTGAGCTTGTTGGGTCCTATTAGTCATATACCTATTTGGGGTGACTAACTTTTACTGAAGTTTGTCATGACCTTTATATGAATACAATTGTTATTTAACTTTGACTATGGAGTATGGATAAAAAAAATGGAGGGGACTACGGAAAAGTGTGTTTGAGAAGAGATTTTAAGAGTGATGTGGTGTGAGATGGAGGAAACATCAACCTCCAATTCCAATTTCTTTTCACTTTTTGTTTTTGTTTTTTACTCCTTTTTGAATGTTTCTCTTTCAAGGGTGTATTGTGTCAATAATATAAGAGTAAACATCCTTTTTGGTCCCTGACAATATCTACGAAATCCTTTTTAGTCCCTGACAATAAAAAAGGATCAAATTGGTCCTTAAAAGTATGAAAAAGGGTCACGTTAGTGACAGAGGAGTTGACATAAGGACTAATGTGGTCCTTTTTTCATAATTTTAGAGATCAATTTGGTCCTTTTTTATTGCCAGAGATTAAAAAAGATTTCGTAAATATTGACAGAGACCAAAAAGGGTGTTTACTCATAATATGATTGTAATATATGTCATCAAGCGCAGAATTTCCTAATACTCATGGTCGATCCGCAATTTACATGAATGTAGTAGACGACAGTAGCTTGCTTTATTTATAAACCCGTACTAGTCTTGCCTTAGAGATGTATTCTGAGAAATTAATTGAACATCGAAGAAGCAATTGAAACAATTGACAATATGTAGATAGGTTGGATGGTTAAAACCAGAAGAACAAGAATTCGCTTATGCTCACACTCTGTTTCATTAAGAGAGCACAAGCAACCTTGTACCTCACTAGTAATAGTTTAACAAAATGCTTTCTCTTGACCTTTACAATATGAATACTTCCTTTCAACATTCTGGTTTGTGTCAATGGAAAAGGACTGCCAATAGATTACAAGCTCATGGGTTTTCGACAGATAGAGCTTCTCTTATCCATAGAGATATGGGAATAGAAGCCTCTGCAAAACTCGAGCTACACTCACCATGAAACCATGTAAGTGCCACATCGTCCAGTGATACATGTGGAAGACTGATGGCAGTGTTTAAATACAAATAGACTAGCACCAAGGAAACATACTTACCTGGACGGGGTCAATGGATGATCAAGAAGGTCCATGGCCTAGGTTGGTGACTTCCATTGCACCTAGGAGGGGTGCCCACCTAAGGTCTCCTCATTGTAGGAGAGCCTACGTCATAATTTGTGATAGTAGGGGCCTGCGTTCGCGCGGCCCCTTTCTAAGTCTTAACTCAAATCTTATGTAAATGTAAGAAGAATTTGCCTTTGGTTTGGATGTTCTTTTCTCTGATCGTTAAATAAGATTATAACTGCTAAGCCATGCGACATTTTTAAGTTTAAGAAGAAGAAGATGGTATTCAAGTTTAGGGCCATACAAATGATTGTGGAAGGCAAAGGAAGCACTTGAAATTTTCTGATGATAATATCAATAATGCATTAAACGTAGAAAAATAAAATAAAATTAAACGAAGAAAATTTGGTTTCATTTTTTTGAATGGAGAAAATTTGAACGAAGAAATATCCAGCAAAATCACATGCCATGGTTTTAATTTTTCTGTCTTTTGTTATGCATTTAACATGAAATATGGTTTAGGGAGAAGTAAAGTTTCGAACTTCCAACCTTTCCAATTTAGTTAAGAAATTGGCACCCAACCATCCTCGTTATCTAATATCCATGTTGGGCTTTGCCTTGAGCTTTTTGTTTCCATTTTTATTTTTATTTTTTTTGTCTAGTTTCTGCCTCTATAGAAGTCTCTTGTTATATAAGTTTAAATAATCTGTGTTGATTTTATTTTATTTTGTTATGTCTTTTTGTTTGTTTGTGTTACCAATTTTTTTTTTTAAAAAAGTTAGGAAATGGAGGTAAAAAAATATATGATATTATCACGTGAGAAAATTACAATCATACAAAAAAAAGTAATCAAACGGTGAAGATTTTACAAGAACCTATTTCAACTTGCACACTGAAGAACAGCCTTTTGTCTTGTTCTTTTGGAGGCTATATGTTGTTTTAAATTGTATTATTACCTTCGTGGGTTTTAAATTATGATCCAAATTATTAGTGTCTGTTCATAGCTGAGTTTGGCACAAAAGCCTGTGAAAATTTTCTCTGCTATTATATGAAGTCATAACATATGCATGGACAATTGTAATAGGGTCTAGAACCACATCAAATATGTTTTGGTCTGTCTGGCTTATTTCATGTTATGTAAGTATATGCACAATAGACATCTGCCTTTAAATGATCTCTGATGTTTACGTGTAGGATTTGTACTCAACAAAATACATTTCTGTCATATTTATGTTGCTTGTATTCCTTTTGTATTAGGAGGAGCTAATTACTGAGGTCAATGAAGAGACAATGGATGGATTGACACAGAAGCTTGCTTCCCTCTATGCTTAGTTCAAGCCTGATTCATATTGATCTAACTTCCATGCCCTCGAAATACCTTCTCTTTTACCTTGTCTGGTCCCTGTTATTCTCCGTTAAAATCATTGTTTTCTCTGTAGAAGCTTCGGTTGCTGGGTTTCATTACCACTTTCAACAATATGTGCCAAAGTGTATAAGCTTTCAGAAAGGCTTGCATCCTTGCTGTATCAGAAATTATAGTTTTTGTACTAAAAAAGATGGAGGTGTTGGAACATGTGAACATTAGTAATCATACAACAATTTATTTATTTACCATTCATGTGATCTTCTTGAAATGTTGTCATTCTAAATCTTGTATTGACTTGTTTGGCTTTTCATCAATTCTTACTTAGAAATGGAAGTCATGGTAATTTTTTACTTTAAATACCCTCTTATGATGCAGCAGCAGCAGAAGCTGATATCAAAATTATTTATTTATCACTACCCTTAATACTAAAGGATTTCCCTGGTTTTGTGGTAGTTACGTTCTTTTGTTGCTGTTAAGGTCGGTGAAAAATGTTGGAATATTCGGGGACCGATAGAAAGGATGCATCTCAAGGAGAAACATTAAGCATGGCTACTTCCAATCTTGCCAACGTATATCCTTCCTCTAGAAATATTATTAAAAGTTTTCTGTTAAAAACTTTTAAATATTATCATGAAAGAAATTAAAAAGATGATTTCATTTCTTCATGACGTAACCCCGAGTCGAAAATGCTAACAGCATGCCTTTTTTGTAGCGTACATGTTTCGTCACCAGATAAAACCTTAAACATACAAACTGCTAGACCAAATTCTAGATTTTCCGGTAACACGTACATTTAGAAAAATATAAGGATGATGTACAGTAATTTACACATATTACCGAGTTTTGGTTCCTCGGCAAGCTATTAACACAATACAAAATGGCTCTGCAGTTGTTTGGCTGCAGCAGCAATTAATACATTCCTCGACACGAAAACTTGCCGTAACAAGCTTTGATGTAATTTTTTTCCCTTTTTATTGTGCTCATGCTCCATTTGATATCTTCATATGCACAAAAGTAAACTTTGCCGAAAGCCTAGTTATTCACACTTGAGGAAATGAAGACTTTTCATGGGGTAGAATTTACAGATATCTCCTGGGGCAGAGGTGAAGCTACCGGGTCTTGATGAGATGGGCTAACTAAACGCTGCAGGGACTTCAGAGCCACTGTGAGTTGTGCAAACGAGGGACGCAAATTTGGATCCCTGACACAAAAAAAGGGGGAAAAAAATAAAGGAGAGAGGAAGCAGAAAAAAGGTCACCAATTGGGAATAAAGCTTAACTCCGCAATATCCGGAAATCATTTAAGTAATGAAATGTAGAAGAAAAAAGGAATAAACCAAACTTTTAAGTTGAACATGCTTACTGTTGCCAACATCCACATATTATTCTTGAAACTAAAGGATCAACTTCCTTAGGAATATCAAGTCGACGGTTTTGGAAACCTACGGCACCAACAACTTGCATAGGATTCATTCCACTCCATGGCAATCTTTGAGTGGCAAGCTCCCATAGGATGACTCCAAAACTATAAACATCACACCTGTAAATTTGAAATGATAATTAACGGAAGATTCATTCGCTGGAATCAGCTGCTTTTGCAAGCAAAGTAGAAACTAACATATTTGAATCTAAATATATGTTCAATTGCTAAAGTTAAGAAATTCGTGGATCACCCTTCTCAAACTGCAGTAGCCTTGTCTGCCAAGAATTAAATTTTCTCACAAAGATATGGAAAAATGAAATTTCACATTTATTATAGATTATTGTAGTCCAAACTACCATAACCAAGCTGTTAATAATTGGAGAAAAAATAATTCAGTAATAGAACACAGCAATGAAACAGGGATTCACTAGTGTTTACCATACAATTAATAAAATTGCCAATATATAGCACTTCAGGTGTGAAAAGTGCTTTACATCTAGCAAAAGTCTCTCAGAAAGGCCAGGTTAAACCTATTTTACTTGTGAGTTATGAACAGTTAAGTATTGTTTAGTTAGGAGCAGGACTGCAGCTTTGACTAGCCCAGTACCTTCCATATTTTTAGAGACCCAGTAAAGATTTAGGCACTGATTATGGACAACCATTGATTATACAAAAAAGATATAAAGTGACGATTAATCCGAAAAAAAGAAAACCTTTATCTTCATAACTCACTTCTCATTTGAGGGCTCATTGCGGAGAACTTCAGGAGCCATCCATTCCGGCTAACATGTAGATGAAAATCATGTCAGGGTTGAATATAGAAAAGGATAAGACACATGTTGCATGGGCCTAAACAAATGAACTCCAAAATAACATAATTTTCCCAAATTCTCACCGTTCCAGCAGTTGACTTGGATGACAAAAATGTGTTGTGCTTCAAGCGTGACAACCCAAAATCACAAACCTGTAGAAAGAGCGGCTTACTTTTTACTAGCTTAGCCAAGAAGATCAAATAAAAAAAATCCTCATAGTTCATAAGTTGATGCATCCATTGTTCAAGAAATATGTCCAAAAAATAAAAAACCCCCAACCACAGGAAAATAACCTTCACGTAAATTTGCCATGTCATTACAACTGTCCAAAACCCAAGAAAACATTACCAAAACTGAACAACCCAACTCAAACTGATGGACTGGTTTCGTTTTCAGCCTTGGGTTGGTTTGGAGCCCATATGTCAGCTTACGTTTGATAGACCACCATTAAAAAGATTGTACGGTAGGAAAAAGGGAAGGACTTCAGGGGATCCAAATTGAAAAATGCTAATGTGACTGGTTTCGTTTTCAGCCTTGGGTTGGTTTGGAGCCCATATGTCAGCTTACGTTTGATAGACCACCATTAAAAAGATTGTACGGTAGGAAAAAGGGAAGGACTTCAGGGGATCCAAATTGAAAAATGCTAATGTGTACCGGCATGGAGTACATGAGTTTGCTAAGAATATTCTAAAAGCTGCTGGGGAAGAATATATGAGAAGGCAAGGGGGTAGTGAGAAGGCATTGAAGAAATTGTTTAGTTTTGGGTATTTGTGAGGAAGCTGACCTCTCTAAGTGTCAGCATTGTATTTTTCCTGTTTCCGTTCATTTCTTGTTCCTTTATATTCAGTGTAATTCACAGTAATTCATACTGTTTTATCAAATACAATTACGTGAGATTCTGGTTCTTGCATTTGCTGTCAATTACTTCTATTATTTCTTCCCTATTTCATCTCTGGTACCCATCAAAGTTGGTTTAAGCTAGTAAAATTTAAAAACTAGTGTCAACCAAATCAACCTGTCTTTTTCTGTTTCATATTAAACTTTATCATTTCCACAAGACATAATAATAATGATAATAATACATAGTGATGAATTCTTGGCCCATCTCTTACAAGCAGTCATATGCAACCTCTTTCAATCTGTTGTCCTAATACTGACATGCTTTAGGTTTTCCAGTTGAACTTGTATTCAGAATCTTTTTGCTATACTCTACTATATATATATATATATATATATATATATATATATATATATATATATATTGTTTTGTTCCTCTTTAATTATGCAATAATTTATAATCAATAATATCAAAACAAGCTTGATAAATATGTACTATTATAAACAACCAACAATGTCAACATCAACTTTATTCCAAACTAGAGTTGGGGTCAATAGTCCATGAACCCATATATAATCAAGATCAGATTGAGGAAAAATAAATGATAATTAAGAATAGATAATATGCATACATACCCTAAAACCAATATGCATACAAACATACATACATACATACATAAATATGCATATATGTATAAAAGAAGGTTTTATTGGAATTAAATCTGAAAGGATAATATTGATATTTCATTTTATTTTTATTTAAAAAGAAAGACCCGTAAAAAAGGTCCAAATTGATAAACAAAAAAAACCCAACCCAACCAAAATTCATTGTTTGGATTGGTCATAGTTTGTGACGTTAATTTGGTTAGAGTAGAAAATTCATCACTATGGGTGCTAGTTAGGCTTCAACACCAACCAACCGAACCCATATATTCCCCTACATGCCAAATACAATGCATATATTTATTCAGGTAACCTAGCAGACCTCACTAAACTAACAAATGTATACATTTATGTGCAAAGAAATAATTCAGGAGCTGGTATAAATGAGAAAATGACAAACAAGGCATATGGCCAACTCGAGTTTTCAATCATATACCTTAACGTTCCAGTTCTTATCAACTAAAAGATTTGGGGACTTCAGATCTCGGTGAACAATTGTAGGCGTGCTGGTGTGTAAGCAATTCATGCCCCTAGCCTGTAAGTAGGAGTGTTTTAAAATTTAAATTTCATTTATGTAAATAATGGTTGAAAGGGAAGAAAGGTAATTATTTCATACCACATCCAGAGCCATTTTTATTCTTCGCTTCTCATCAATCTGAGAATTAGGGCGATGAAGAATTTTGTACAAGCTTCCTCTGTAAAATGTTACACAAATAACACCGGTGTGACATTTAATTATGAAAAGAGTAACATGCAACAGAGCTAAAGTTGCAAAGACCAATATGGATGATAAGCAGTTACCTTGATTTTGTTAAATAAATAATGATTAGAAGTGAAATAGATATCTACCTTGGAAGAAACTCTGAAATAATTGAGAGATGGGGAGGACGAGTAACAGCTCCCATAAAAAGAACAACATTGGGATGTCGCAGCCTACGCATTATCCGTACCTTGCAGCAAAAGGATGAAAAACAGATTAATTTTGGTCTTTAAGATGGTGGACCCTTGACCATGTAACCACAGCCCTTCATTTTATTTTATTTTTTCACTTCCCACACATCAACCACTCTCTGTCAAGCTAATTTATTCCTTCCCTAACCGGCATTTCCACCCAGATCTTCCGAGTAGTTTTATATTAAATATAGCAAAATGATTTTCTTGAAGTTCAAAATTTTGTACTTATTCTTTTATGCAGATAAGAAGAATAATAGTTGTTGTATGCAAAAAACCTAAATGAGTGCTTACTTCTCTTTTGAATTCAGACAAGGCAGCGCCTGAAAAATCCTGATCCAAAAATTTCTTCACCGCAACCTCCTGATATTTCAACAGCAGATCACAATCAGAAAAATGAGAGACTAGAACTCCTTACCATCTGGGTAAAATATTTTGATATTAAGAAACCGAGAGAAAAGATTTTGAGAATTTACTAGCCTAGTAAGAGATTATCAGTTTTTTCACCTTTTTAACCCCTTCTTTCCTTTTCTTCACACTTCAATGGAACTTAACAATAGTATAAAAAATAAATTCCCCAACCTCTTTAACTAGCAGAGTTAGTAACAATAAAATAAAATAATTATAGGCCCATAATAAGGGCAGATCATCCTATAATATAGGAGGACTACTAACGGATAGTGAACCAATAAAAGGGACTTCAAGGCATTCAACAAGCCAAAGCTTCAGTCTCAAGTTTTTCAGATTTTACATAAGTTAAATTGAGTCATTAACAACCATGCATATATAGCAATGCCATCATTTTCATTAAATTAGTCATTGATAACACTATACGAGAAGACATTTTACATGGAAAAACAATCCAAACATAGTTATACTTATGTATTAATTTTTGTAACACATTGATAGTATGAACAATCTCATGTCACCCCACTTGACAAAGAGCCACTAGACATATGTAAAATGTGAAAGTTCATGAACAAGAGGTCTCCGAATAATCTGAACTGATCAGATGTTTGCTTTTATTATTATTATTATTATTAGTGTTTTAATTTGCATTTGAATCATGCAGAAGAAAATACAGAATCGCAACCACTCAAAATAAGACAACATAAACATTTTCAAGTTCATTCTACAACAATAATCTTCCCCGCAAGTGTGTAAAGGAATTATAGTACTCACTGTGCCATTCCAGTCAGCATGGTATACCTCGCCGTACGAACCTATTTGAAAGAAAGTATGAACATAAAAAATTGATACTCAAGAAACGTGTATAGAGATGCAAAACTTCAATACACCATGAGCCTCCCTAACAGCCATTGAACATCCTTTTGAATCCTTGCGGATGAAATATCACGTAAAAATAGGAAAATTTGAGATGATAGACAAGCTCACAACAACCTTGGGACCGTGCTGGCACAAATACAAAAAATAATAATAAAACTAAAAAGTAATTAAATCATTAAAAAATAGAGTAGAAATTATGTTAAATCTAGTCTGTGGTGAACTCCACTCAATGAAGTAGTAAACCAGAGCCGCATCAACTTCCCAGTAAATATTAATGACATTACAAGAAGAAAATAAAGAAAAAATAATGCACATTACCTAGACCAATTCTTTCACCAATAACCAGATCCTCCCATGGAATCTCACATTCACCAACATCTACATCGTCCAATACTTGATCAACCCTGTTTGTAATGGAATCAATTGACAAGCTAGGACTTCCTAGATCTTTTGATTTCAAATTGCTTCCCATGAATGGGTCATGCATTCCCTTCCTCCGATCATGATGTCTAATTTCAGTGTTTTCATGTTCTTTAACTGCCTCAACTGTGACATTTTGAGAATTTTCCAAATCACCCCTGTTAAAATTGGCATTGAGATCCTCAATCTGGTTCAGTTCACCTACACCAAATGGTGACACTGAACCAGTAACTTGCGTCAAAGTTTGACCATTTATATCATTATTTGTATTTGAATTGTATGATAATTTGGAACTATTCAGATCAATATTTTCAGACTTGGAAGAACTATTGGAAACTAATAAAGGAGGGTTATATTCATTAGGATTATGATTATTTTTCCTAGGAACTTCATTATAAGCGTGACGATTCTTCCACATCAATGGTACTGCAGGTCGTCCAGAAACAGTATTGTTTCTTGTACTCTGAAGCTCAGGAGGTTTATTTTCGATAGGTTTGTTAAGCACAGAGGGCTTCCCAGTTCCTTTTATCTGGAATGGGTTAAGATCTGCAAAGAGGCTCTGCGAGTCGTTTGGGCTGTTCTGAGCATACGGTACAACATTGACATTCAATCTTGTCCCATCACCAACTGCATTCATCCCAAGAGTCCCTTTATATAGAGAAGTACCAGATAAGAGTGGCAAATTTTCCGGTTGGTTAGGAATCCCTCTATTAGGCATTTTAGAAGGACCAACACTAGTGTCTCTGCTCAAACCTAAGTTTGAAGGCAAGTAGTCCGACTTCTCAAAACATGACTTTTCATTCAAGGGTGGCGAATCACCTTTTATCACAGAATTTTGACTACTACCTTCACCATGAGATGGTGGGATAGGTCTTGAGTAAGGAAATCCAGTTTCCTTAGTGGAAGGTAAACTTGACAAAATCTTGGGATTGTAAGACTTCAAGGCACTATCCTTTGTATTTAAAATATCAGCTGGGATAAGTGTTCCAGGAGCAGCCATGAGATCAACCAAAAACTCCCTGAAAGCAGAATCGGAGATATCAGTACCACAAACCTGAACAGAGACCCAAATTTTCTGGGCACACTTACGGAGACTTTCAATGATTGTATCAACCATTGGCAAAACATAAAAGAAGATAAACTACAGCAACATATAGACATGCACAAGACATGCACAGGTGCACACAAATTATTAAGTTAACAACAAATACATGAAAAATACAAGGATAATAAAAGCCTTAACCTTTCATCCTCCAGCTTTATAATGTTGACAGCATCATCCTCGACACCAGTGTAATGACTACCTTTTACCAGTCTACAAGGCATTTTAATGTTGTCAGCTAATACCTACACCAAGAAAAACAAAAATTGTATTGCACGGCCAGCAAATTGATAAGAATTTTTTTTCAAAAATCTTGATAAAATTCATACTGAACCTTAATATAATAATCTAAAATGCACACAAAAATTGTTTAATTAAACTAGAGATATGTAAGACTGGACTCTAATTATAGAAAAATCATAAACCCAAAGGTCAGAAAGTTGTAACTTGTAACAGCATTAGAAGAAGTATTGATGAGCAGAGTCAGCCAAAGTTTTGATGACTTATTAATTGGGCAGCACTTTCTCATTTCCAGTTAAGCATACTTATATCCTGAAAATTTAATTCTAAATTCAAGCCCAGGCTAGATTAGCGGGGAATGTATACCCTAAATAATTATAAAAAGAAAACTATGTGATTCATTTTTATTCATTCATTAATAATTTCTTTTAAAAAATGTTTTAATTTAATAGTTATCGCACATATCATGTTCACTAAATTTTTTTCAATGTAATTTGGTCTGCCTCCTTTTTGTGCAGATTATGACTAGACTAACGTAACATAAAATTATATTATGGCCTTCAAGACATTAATCACCAACAAAAATCATAACGCTTACCTTGAAAAGCAAAGCACGATGCCTAGAGAGCCCAACATTTAAGGACCCAAGTGGCAATACACTTGTGTGAAGAGATGTCCTTAACTCTGTACTTGTTTCCGTCCATCTTGCCAATATAATATTAGCATCATTGACAGGACCACCCATCTTCTTTGTGACAAGTTCAGCGAGCCTTTGTACCAAAATACCAATCTCAGAAACAGGGCAGTCTAATGCAATACAATATGCAATTTGCACCAGCTCTTCCAAAGCAGGATCAATTCTTTGATTAACTATGACCACTTCAAAGCTAGAACCTCCGGGGTTCGCTTCAAGATCTGTAAGAGATGGCATCTTTCCTTGCATTGCTGAATCGCTATAAAGCCCATATACATCATAAAAACCATCCACTACTTTCTCCTCATAGTCAAGCACATTGTATTCCTGTCAGAGAAATAGAAACAGAAGATGCAAGACAATCAAAACACGAACCGTTCAATAAATGAGCATTAAATGGAAGGTGAAAAAAGCATCAATGGAGATAAAACAAGTGGCTAGCATTCCATGTTGACCAAATACAATTTATTTTATTTCTATTTTGGTGCTCAACCAATAAATACAAATGAAAGAGTACTACACGTCACTTTGTACAAATAACCATGGCATTTGAAAGACTGTAACAGAGTTTACCCAACATCACGCGATGGAGTATTTAAAAAATATGTATATGAATGGAATAATTACTTCATATAAAGAAGCATTAAAGCATAAAGACATATTGATACAATCTCCTTAAAAATGATATGCCGTCGAAAACTAATGCAGCTTGCAACAATAATATCCACACAAAAAGTCAATAATGGACACAACCGCTGTAAAACAACCAACTGCTGATTATGGCAGACAATTCATCTTATTACACAGTGAAAATGTAAATTGTTTTAACAAATGCTTGCTAATGAACCAGTTTAGTAAGAACTTCAATCACCACCTTTAATGGCAAGCACACAAATAAACACCCGATGATTTTAAAAGTACTGATCCACATTTTAATTTGTAAGAATGTAAAGCACTTCCAAAACAAGCATCTAAATCTTCAACGTAGTTTGACCTGGTTTTTCCCAATCAATCAATCCAGACTCCAGAGAATAAACAGATATATACTCACATGAGTTTTAAGATCTAACCGAGCATAAAAGCTTCAGCTAAAGGGAAATAAATCAAAATTCGGATTCTTTCAGAGTTTTATCTTCTTTCCGCAGGAACCAAAATGTACCATACTGACCAAAAACAGGTTTCATTCACAATTCACCCAAATTGCCAGCCCTAGCTGCATATAAAGCCTTGAATCTAAGCTCCAATACATAATCGAATTTACTACAAGATCAGATTAAAAGAAGCTAAAAAAAGGAAAAATAAGGAAGATCTAGAATAAAAATAACTCAACATAAACTCCTATAATTCACAGCTCTATCTCAATTAACAACGACGAAACACTGACATTACCAAAAGTGTATTTCAACAGTTGACCGAGCTTACCCAGTACTGCCTAGACAGCGCCTCCGCCATATCATCTTTGTTCCTTTTCGAATCAATTCGATGACCTCCCAAGCTCAGCATCGTCGCAGCATGGATCTGATCCTTCTCAGGATCATCACGGAAGTCCGAATTGGAAGCACTGATGGCTAGGGCTAGCTGAACCTGAAACTCCTCCTCCGAATAGAAAAAGTCTTGCCGGTTGACCAGCGCAGCGGCGCCGCCGGGGGCGACGGCTGCAGTGGACGGTGACGAATAAGAAGGACTTGTCGGAGAGGCACCGGAACTTTGAACTTGATCAGGGGCGCAAGACGGCGACGGTACATGTGGCGACGGCGCGGGTACAGGTGGCGCAATTTCATTGGATCGATGAGGATCGTGGTTGCTGCTCCCTATGTGAAGCTTCTTGAAGATGTTCTTCATCCTCTCTCTTTTATCTGTTTGCTTTTCCTTTTTCACACTCTCACTCATCCAAACAAAATTGGAGGCACTTTCTAATTCTAATAAGAATCTAATTCAGTTCAGTGATTCGTTTTCAGTTTTCTTTTCTTCTCCAAAATTTGTTTGCCCCTTTTCTATGTTTTATGAGGGTCAAGGGACTAGAGAGGAAGCTGATAGGACTTGGAGGGAAAGCTTAAGGGAGTAGAACAAGTGTTAGCCTGAAAATGGGTGCAGAGTCTTGCTAAATTACGAAAATGACATGCGCACTTGGATCCGCTACCATCACACATCACATAACGCGCCAATTGGATGGTGATATGGGAACCGAACCAACAGTCTCTTGAATAGAGTCTACGTGGAGTTCATCATCTTTCTTTTTCTTGCTTAGTGGAAGAAAATATTTTAACCTCAATTTTTATTTTATTTTATAAAAATAAAAATTAAATATATAACCTAATACAAATTACTCAAGTTGCTAGACCAAATTCAGTGTCTTTTTAACCTCTATTTTTTAAGAGATAGGATATTGTTATCACCAATTAGTATTACTATCAATATCACTACCAATTTATTTCACCATTAAATCAAATATATTGATCAAACAGTTATATTTATTTTCACCTTTGTATGTTTATAATTTCTCATATTTAATGTGAAAATTAAATATGAGAAATTATAACCATACAAAGATGAAAATAAATAAATATAAAGTATTAAATATAGAGAGAAGAAAAAATATTTTTAGAAAATTAAATCAAAACTGCTGGATCTACATAATTGATCTAAAGGTGAAACAAATTAGTAGTGACTAGTAATAATGATTGACAGTAACAATATCCTGTCTTATTTTTTAATGGGCAAATAAATAAAAAAATCAAAAGAAAATATCCAAATAAGAAAATTTTCCATCAAATAAAAAGTATCTTACTTCAAGTGGATTTAAGATTTTTCTTATAACCCATATCCTTGAATGGACATTTTCGTTAATATTATTGGTTGAAAAATGAATAAAGATTGAATCTTACTTAATTTTTTCTTTGACTAATAATTGTATCATTTATATTGATAAAAATTTCAAAGATTTAACAATTTTTTTATTATTACTATATTCATTTTTTTTTCTTTCTAACTTCTATTCAAGACCATCAATGTTTTTCTTAACCTTGAAATATAATGCTGTATCTTTCCTATTGCTTTAGTCATATTTATTAGAATATTTAATGACATGTTTAACAAAATTATGTTTACATTTGATCTAAAATATCAAACTATTAATAGATATTAGTGGAAAATTTTATTTTTCTATTACAACAAATCATTCTATACCCCACACTTCTTATGCAATAATCCCACTTTTATAAGTTTATTGGATCTAGTTGTCTTCCTTTCTTTATCTTTTTTTTCTTCTTTGACTAGACTTTTCTATGTACGCTTTTGTGAGCTTTCCACACTTGAGAGGCAAACATCAAAATGCATCTTATCGCTTGACAAAACAAAAAATATTGTTAGTCATTAAAGGGGTTTTTTTAACCTTAAAATAGAAAAGTAAACATAAACCAAGAGTAGTTAAAAATATTTTAAAAATAAACTAAAGTATTTTTTGTGAATTAAAAAATTTAAGGTAATATGTTAAATTCAGACATACTTGATAAATCACAACTAATTCCTAAGCATGTGAATTTTATTTTGTTTCGATTATTTTTCTTAATAAGTTAAATGGCCAAACACATAATATATAATGTTAATATAAAAACATTGTTATTTTTTTTTCTCTCCTTAGAATATCATTGAAAAAAAAAAAGAAATCCAAAAGAATAGTAAAAAAATAAAGACCATGGAATAGAATAGTAATAATTGTTAGGTATACAAAAAAAAAATTCACAAAAAATACCATATTCAGTCTCATTAATACTAAACATGTTTAGTATTAGTTTATAAAATCTAACAACTTTTTATAGAAACTTTTTTTAATTGATAAATTAATTTATGGGAAATATTACTCTCCTTTTACATGAGGTAACTTATCTCATTTTCTCTCACTTCGATTTTCGCATCCCACTTTTTTCTTCTTTTTCTTTTTTCTTGTAATAGTGAGACCCACCCATTTTCTCTCTACCACATAAGATAACTATCTTATGTGGAAGAAGATTAATAAAATCCTTAATTTATAATAATTATCATGTGGGGAAGACATGATACCAATAAAGGACTTTTAAAGTTCATGATAAAAAAAAAACTTTTAAAGTTCCTTACTTACATCTAGGAAGTTAAAGTGAATTATGTAAAGAATTAATTTAACCCAAAATTTTAAGGTATCAGGTGAAAAAAAATTTAACTGTTTATATTATTTTCTAACACACCCTTCACACAATAGTTCTTTGGCTTTGAAGCGTGGATATTACACAGACCCAATTTTTGGTTTACTTTGTGCTTATTTAATTCCACTTGAAAGTGGGGAACAATCGAACTCGTGATCTTATGGTCATTGAAGCTCTGATATCATGTAAAAAATCAATTCAACCTAAAACCTTACGAGACGACCAAAATGCGACACTATTCACAAAAAATTACCTGAATGTCACGGTTGGAATTTTTTTTTCCAAAATGCCACATTTGTTCATTTGGTAAATGCCTAATAAGACAATAACAGATGTGTCAAAATGATGGGTAATTTTGTCATTTTGGTTTAGATTCTCATTAATATTTTACCACCAACTAAACATAACATCAGCAAAATTAACCCAATTTTTTGGATAAAATTTTGGCCTACTAAACTCGGGAAAAAGTATTTCCCTGTAGAAAAAAATATTTCTTGTATCAAACACCCTTTAAAGAAAAGAAAGATGAGGAGAAATAAGATAAATAATTTCTAATGTTTTCCCCGTACACTCTTGGAGATACAATGTGCTTTACAGGATAGGAGATATTTAATGAATAATTTCTAATTCCTAATATTTTCCGTCGTGATTGTCATAAGTGATATTCTCATTTGGTTTTTGCTTTTGGTTTTTGGATAATTCTGTTATTTTCTTATTCTCGTGGTTGTAGTTTTCATGGTGGTTATGCTTGGTAGTTAAGCTTCAGTACGTGTTTGTCTACCAAAAAAAAATAAAAAAATTCAGTGTGTTTGATATGATAATTTTAATAATTGATTTAATTTATAAATTTTTGTTTGAAAGCTTGAAAAACTAGAATCGATTTTTTACTTGTAATTCTATACAAATATAAATATACTCAAAATAGATTTTATTTTTTTTTGTTTAAATTATAGATTTGTTTAAATTGATATATTTTTCTCATTTAACCTATTTTATGTAAAGGTAAATTAAATTATTAGGTAGATGGTTAAATGGTTTTGTTTATAAGTTAGCTAATTGTTCTTCTTATAAAGCTAAACTTTGGGGAATCCTTCGTGGTCTAGAATTGGCTTGGAAGGAAGGATTTCGTAATATTGAATTGGAAAGTGATTCGTTAAGTGCAATCACTTTGCTATCCAGCTCTGGTATAGCAGTCTGTGAGAGTCAACTTGTCTCTCGTATACGGACGTGGATCAAAAAAGATTGGAACATCAAGCTGCGTCATATTTACAGAGAAGGCAACATGTGCGCGGACTGGTTGGCCAATTTCATTTTAGATAAAGGGAAGCTGTAGATTCTTTGGTTTTTAGGGTGCCTCCTAGTGGCATTTCTCTTTTACTTTTAGCTGATATTTCTTCTGTTGGTAGGCCTCGTGCCTCTTTTGTCTCTTAGTTTTGGGTGTTTTTTGGGCCTAGGCCCTTTATTGTACCAAAAAAGAAGAAGTAAATTATTACTTTTACAAAAAAAAAGAGAGAAAAATATTAAGAGAAAATAGATGCGATTCATCTTTAACATGTTTAAAAGAAAAAATGTTTATCTTTTTAAATAACACAACTTATATTCTTTCACTTCACACCTTTATTTTTTTTTGTCAACTCTCTCTTCCTTTATCTATCTCTTTCTCTCTCTTAAAATAATACAACTTTACCTCCTTTAAAATGATACACACAGATTTCTGTCCAGAAAGTTATAGAATCGCCGGTAGGCCATTACCAACCTCCCACCGTAGTGATTGATTAAGCTTATTCCAGAGCCTACATACGTTTGTCTACAACCTAGAATCACCGGACACCGGCCCTTTGCTGAAAATTTGATTGCCTGTCTTTTCCCACAGTATTCGACCTTGAGGACCCTAACTCAAACTGCTCTAGCATGTTTGTTTGGCCTTTTAAAAAATTTAGTTTTTATATTTTATTTATGGGTTTAATAAGAGTTATGTTGTAGGAAAAGTGATTGTGTTATGTTATAGAGATTCGTTTTGCGTGCCAGAGTTTTTTTTTTTTTTTTTGGTTTCAAAAATTGTGGGTCCCACAAAATGTTGTGTGTGTAGGAAAATTGTTGTGGTCATGTTAAATTATAGATACAAAACCCTTTATTTATTTTAAAAATGTTTTTTACAAAAATTAAACTTATTTAATTTTTGTAAAAAAATTAATTTTTGAAAAAAATATTTAACTTTTGATTTCTACTTTTTTATAAGTTAAAACGTTTAACTTTCAAAAAAGTAAATTTTTATTTTTTTTTATTATTTATGCTTTTTTAAAGCAGACATCGAAATAAATTTATAATGTGAAGTTTTTTATTTTTTTCTTAAAAAAAAAAAAAGTAGCTTTTTATGCTCGGTATGAATTTGCCAAGCGATCTTCCCCTGTAATGCATCATTCATGATATGGAGATGCTTCACTCCCAGCCCTCATTGGTCTCTAGGTACGTAATTGTTTGCCAATTTATTAAATGAACTCTCATGTGATCATCTTTAATGCTCCATAGGCTCTTTGAAGTTTGTATTGAGTGAAAAGAGATAAGAAAATTTTGAAAATGATAAATTTTATTCTTTCCAAAAAGTTTGTTAGTGAAAAAATTTAGGCATTTACTTTATGGAAAAATGTTTATCCTTTTAAATAACATAACTTATATCATTTCACTCTCATAAAGAGGTGAGATCCACACATTTATTTATTTTTTGTCAATTCTCTCTCCTCCTTTATCTATATCTTTTTCTCTCTTAAAATGACACAATTTTACATTCTTTAAAATGACACACACTTTTCCTTTTACTTTTAGATGTTCACATAATATCTATCCTTCATAATTTCTTAAAGGAATGAGTTATTCTACCTATATTTTCATAATTTCTTAAAGAAATGAGTTATTCTACCTATATTTTTTTGATCTATCGTTGCTTTCCATTCTCCAACATCTATCGTTGCTTTCCATTCTCCAACATCATTAAATGATGTTGAAAAGTGGTAGGCAGAAAAAATAAATAGTTTGAATAACTTATCCCTTTCTTAAATGAATTATTTTCTAATACTTAATTTATAAAATATTTAAAGACGTGGTTAAGATTTAACTACCAAAAAAAAAAAGACGTTGTTAAGATTTCATTTTTAATTTAGGATATTCTTGACATTTTCTATAATAAGTACAGTTTTTGCACTAAGGAATCAAGTGAAAAACTTGCAGCAAATATATTTACATAAGATACAAAGCCGGATCCTGAAATTAAAAAAAAAAAATTCAAGATACGGAACCGGATCCTAGTGGAAGTAAGTGTTGTTGCAAATTTTCTGATCTGCAGCAACAGGAGAGCTATTAAAGCCATATTATATACACTATAATCATAGAAAGTGAGAGTAATGGGGTGTATTGGATTGGAATTTGAAAGGATTTTAATGGATTATTTTTGAAAAAAAAATTCATTGGTATTCAATTACGATTTTAAAGCATTGAAAAAAAGAATATGTGATATTCGATTAGAATTTTAAAAGATTATTTTAAAGTCCGTCCAAATTCGTTGGTATTCAATCACAATCTCACCCTAACTCCTAGGATTTCTCTATTGCATTGTCTTCTTCTTCCTTTGGTGGGTCGACCTGTTCGAAACCGAGTTCCGCCATGGGAGCCTCGTCAAAACTAAAAAATAATAGATTTTTGAGTGATTTTAATCACAAGATAACCCAGAAACAACAACCCAACAAGGTTTTAATCTAATTCATCTCAAACAACAGATCTTGAAGCAATTTTTGAAAGTTTAAAAAACAAATATTCAAGCTATTGTTCATGATTTTTCTTGGTACGAAAACATGTTATTTTTGTATTAATAACAACATAAAATAGTGGGAAAATAACAGAGAAACACAAACCCTCAAACCAATTTTCATTTTATATGAATGAAACACGATCGATTTAAAGAAAGATTGAAACTTTCGTAACATGAACCCTATGTTTCATAATAATACATTCATGAACAAAATTCCTTCTCTATAAGAAACGATTTCAAATAATTTTTGTGTCAATTGATCACTAAAATCTTATTTTTCAAAACCCCCCAAAGCAATTTAAGATTTCAATGTATCGATTGGAAATAATTTAAGAATTTTTTTAAATTTTCATATAATAAAACCCAACAATTCAAATTCAAAATTTTCTTGGAATAATCAATGAAAACATGCATATGATATATGATTAAAAAACTCTCATCACGTAGAACAAAAACTCCAAAATTTACAAGACCAATTGTTAAAAATTCCAAACGAAAAATTATCACAATTTTTACAAATTGAAAAAATTATATTATATTTTTTTTTATTAATATCATTGCATTTCTTTGTTAACTTTTTTTATTGACTCTTGAAATTTTGAATATTTGTTAAAAATTTATAAGGTTTTTTAATATCTTATAAATTCATATTGTCCATTCAAATCTTATAAATTCAATTAAAATCCTTTAAAATTCAATATTATGAAATCTTAGATTGTAAAAAAAGTCTTTTAAAAAAATCTTTAAAATCTCTCTAATTCTGAATAATCTTTTAATATCTATAAAAGATTTTTTATCTAAAAAAAAATCTTTTAAAATCCTAATCCAATACACCCTCCTGAAATTATCCCTACTTACAAAAACAAAAAAAGTCTATATAACTGAAATTAAACTCGCCAATACAAATATTAATCATATAAAATCCATTTAAGAACCCTCTTGAGTTAATAATCTGAGTTACCCTGCTCGGTTTAATTGACCCCATCATTTGCTACCATATAGCAGGTGGTAGTTCTATTAGCTCCCCTTCATCGTCCTCGTCATCATCGTCAGAAATCCAGCCATGGCAAGGTCTACGCCTTTGGTGACAAAGCTTCCCCACAGGTTGTGAAGACTTTGTCTCAGGAGAAGATTGCGCAGTACTGATTCCATGAATTTCACCCGAAGCCAATTTCCCTGCTGGCTGACAATCTGCAAGACAGTAACACACAAGATAATGAATCACAAACACCTTTAATCACGCATTTAACCTTTGCTTCAAAACTAATTAAAATGTATTAACAAGGATAGGAAGTTGATTACCAGATTCATTGTCACCTGATAATACAGTATCTTTAGCCTTGACGGGAACTTGATTACCAGTTTCCCCGGTTGCTGATATAGTGTCAGCAACCTTGATGGAAAGTTGATTACCAGGTTCAGTGGCTGCTGATGCAATGTCTAAAGGCTTGATGGGAAGTTCATTACCAGTTTCAGTGGTTGCTGATACAGTTTCCACAGCCTTGATGGGAAGTTGATTACCAGTTTCACTGGCTCCTGATAGGGTGCTTATGGCCTGATTAGTTAACGGTGCATGGTCAGAAGTTTCTGTGCTGTTTGAGCAACCGGCAGGTGATACATCACTGGGACCATCTCCTATCAGACCATCCTTCACACAGAACTAGACATTAGGCTAATTTTTATGGGTCTGCAGGCCACGCTTTCCAGAAGTTTTAGAAATGAAGTACTCAAATTTTTTACATATAGCCTCTCAAGCATTGTTAAAATAATAATCTCTAATGATCTGCCAATACTTGGAGCTATTAAACTTTGAAAAAAAGAAAAGAAAGTAGAATAAGGAATGATTATGATTTACAAGTAACATTGGGATTGCAAAGAAGGAAAAACAGTAGAATTCAATATATACTGTTGAGATATATAGTCTCATATTGGTTGTATGTGCAACTAATGTGGAGTTTATAAGGTCTTGGGCACTCCCATCCTTTGAGCTAGCTTTTGGGGTGGTGTATCCCAAAGTTCTTTACATGGTATCAGAGCCTCGCCGCCCCCCACTTTCTCTTGAGGCGTTTCTTAGCACAGGTAGGCTGGGTTTGTTGCATTGTCCACTCTTCAAGCTCAATGGGCTCTCGTGTGAGGGGGCGTGTTGAGATATATAGTCCCACATTGGTTGTATGTACAACTAATGTGGAGTTTATAAGATCTTGGGTACTCCCACCCTTTGAGCTAGCTTTTGGGGTGGTGTATCCAAGGTTCTTTACATATACAATAATACATTAGAAGCATCGGGATGGGTCACAGTGAACCACATAATCATAGGAAATTTTGAAAGAACTGTCAGAGATTAATTACATAAATAGAGTCAAAATAACTCCAGAAAGGAATAATATGTTTTGGGAGACACAGAAGCTAGTTGCTGCCCATGACATCATCTCGAAATTGAAACAAAATTGAATTTGGGAATACATGATTCATAACCAGAGCTGAAAGAATGGAGGACATATTAATGGGAGACGCAATTGTAAGTGTCAGACAAAAGTGGATTGCGATCCTTGTTACCTGTAGTTAAAAAACAACAACAACAACCAGATAATGATTAACTTTTAAATTGTAAGCCACCATCAGTTAATTTCTCGCAGAAGAATAAATCTATCCACACATTTATAGCTCCGAGTAACAACTTTCCCTGCCAAGTGTAAATATTTCTATTATGATAAAAAAGTAATGAAAACTACTTTTGAGTTCATTGATGCTTGAGAGTAGAGGTTCTGTATTGATAAGAGATACTAATAATGTCAAGAGCAAACTTAGCTACGGAAGTAACACAACAGGTAGCCACTTACTTAGTATCTTGGAAACTATCTGTATAAAGATCTCTGATCCAACCTCCACAGAAAATTATCCTTAGGCATATTCACCACCTGATTCCCTTCTCTTTCCATTAGGTAAAACGTAGTCTAAAAGTCTCACCTTGTAGGTTTGGTCAGAGGAAAGGAAACGGGAAAACATTAAGAAGCATCTTATGCTAAGAACTAATGAAGTTTTGCTACAAAAAAGCCAAAAACAATAGCTGAATTTTCCTGAAGTGTTTTCTGTGAGAATGAAACCTTGCAAGTAAGCAAGTCCACAAAAGAAACCTAAAGGCTCATTTGGATAAATCATAAATGAAAAGGGAGTGCAATAAATCAAATTTAACAAAGGAAATTAAGAACCACCCGAACATCACTTGTTTGGATGTTATTATAATGGGAAAATTACTCTTATGTTACATGTGATAAATTTCTCTCCTACACACCCTTCGATAACTGTGTCACCTTTTTTATTTTTTTTTTCAGGTAGCAGAGTCCACGAGTTTATCGACAAAAGAAAACTTATCTCTCCTTTAACGTTAGATTAATAAAACCCTATTATAATAATGGAAGACAGAAGAAGAAAGCAAATAATGCAAAAGAGAGCATATAATTAAACAAGGTAGATAGCCAAATTTATCTTAAAGTAATATTATAACGGTGAAATATATATATATATATATATATATATATATATATATATATATATATATATTTTTAATCTATATTGTGTTGTATGACTATGAATAAATAATGAAACAGTAGGAGGGTTTAAAAAGGAAGTTACTTGAGGTGAAGGAGTGGATTGTTTTTCGAGAAGAGTGTCAACGAGAAGAGTGTAAGCGGAGTCTTCGACAAAAACCCAGCCTTCGTTGCCACCATAAACCTGAATAGATAAACAAACATTATGTTATGAAATGATATTTGTAATTGAGTGGATCAAATTAAATTAAATTAAATTAAATTAAATTACTTTGAGAAGTTGATCAACGGTTCGTCGGACGAGTTTCTTGGGGAATCCATAAGGGGACATGGCGTCGAGGGCTGCATCCATTCGAGTCAGCTTTCTCTGCAAATCACAAACACACAACAAAATTCAATTCCATTCAATTCAATTTGATTGAAGGAGAAAACAGTGAATGATTCAGTGGGTGAAGGGGAAGTTGAAACGACCTTTGCGGGACGTCGTGTTGGCGCCATGGGGAAGGAAGAGGGATAGTAACAAACGAGATTAGATTAGGGCAGAAGGAGAGTTTGGGTTGAAGAATGCAGCGTTGCTTCGTTTTGGAACGTTTCCTTTCACACTTGCAGTTGCAGACGCACATACAACTGCAGTTACCATAGTCAGTGTCAGAGCGACCACAGGGACGTTTTAAAAACTCTTGGTTCAACCTCGATATAATAATAGTGAGTCCTTTTTTTTTCTCAGCAAGTGCATTTCCCCATGATATCTGATCTTTTCATTCTTTTGGGATTTTTGCCTTTTTCACCCTTCAAAACTTACCATTTTGCCCCATTCCAAAATTATATAACAATTTATCTTCGTTTGACCGTCAAATAGACCATATAACCGATTAACTGATGTAATCGATTACACCAATATATAATAATCGGGAATACACAATTATAATCGGTTATTGAAAAAAAAAAAAAAAAAAAATTTAAGTACATTTCCATGTAATAATATATCTTTTGCGAAATAGATTCTTGGGTTTTTGACCGTTTTACCTCCGTTAAATTAAAACTTACCATTTTGCCTCATCCCAAAATTATATAGCAATTTATCTCTCTTTGACCGTTGACTGGACCATATAATCAATTACAACATTTACGTAATCGATTAACTGATGTAATTGTTACACACTAGTATATGATAATTAATTACATTAGTGAACTGGGCCATATATAAAAAAAAAATTCACGAGATTTTTTAGATCAAACGAGTTTTTTTAGTCATATGCTCGTAATATTGGACTTGAGGAAGAGTTTTGTGGTATCACTATCACAAGACCTAACGTGGCACTAAATTTGAAATATTTTATCGAAAAACTTTGAAATGTCATAACTTTTGACTCAATGATTTAAATCATGTATTATTTTTTTTGATTTCATGTAACTTTTCGAGACAAACGCGTTAGCAAGTAACCGGTGGGGACTTTATCAGTTTTTTTTTCTTTCAAAAAATGCTTCCTTGTGCCTGTTCGGCATATTTTATCTCTATGGATGATATTATTTAATTCCTATTCTTATTTTCACTTTCCAATACTAAACATAATCATTCCAGGAGTGTGTAGATCTCAAAAAATTATTTCAAAAAAAAAATAATTTGATTCGGACCATCAAGCCAAAAGTTACGATCTTTCGAAATTATAGGATAAATTTGAATCAGGTAATCGGTTATATAACTTATGTAATCGATTATATCAATCAGCCAACAGTCAATAAGTATAAAAATGAAGACCTACTGATTATTTTTATTTTAAAAGGGGATAAAATATTCAAAAAGTCTAGATTCTCGTATGTCTTAATTTAAAATAATTATTTTAAGATAAAAATTTAAGTTATTTATTTATGTTCAAACTTCAAAGTGATATGATAGTTTTCAAAGTAATCCTCTCAGATATTAATGATAATAATTTGACTTACTTTATTTGAAATAATTTAATTTAATTTCCTTGTTTAAAAATCATTAAAAAATAAAGTACAAATTTTTGGATACGGGAATCATTTAATTTTGTAATTTAATGTTGGTTTTGACTTTTGAATCAGTTTTCTTCTACTGTCGGTGATTTCTTTTCGGAAAATGAGTTGCAAATTTCCAATTATTCTTCATTGATCTAATTTTTTGTGGGTGATTTTGTTTAGTTCGGTAAATATACAATTAATCAAGGTAAATGGGTGCTTTATATTGACAATATTGTTAATTTCAACAATTAAAACTAAAATTATGTTAAATCCAATTAAATTTAAAAATATTTGTCTATCTGAAATTCAAGAAATTTTTTACTTATACAAAACTGAAATAAAAATATTTTAGATTAAGGCAGAAGAGAAACGAGAATTTAGATTAAGGCAGAAGGAGGGTTTAGGTTGAAGAATGCAGCGTTGCTTGTTTTGGAACGTTCCCTTTCACATTTGCATTTGCACACGCACAGTCGCACACACAATTGCAGTTACCATAGTCAGTGTCACAGCGACCACAGGGACGTTTTAAAAACTCATGATTCACCTATATGTTATAATGGGAAACTGTGTTTATTTTAAAGGATATAAAATTCTGTGATTTTAAATGAGAAAAAAAAATAGATCATGAAAGAGAGAGTAGACAAAAAATAAAATAAAGATCTGGGTCTCACCTCTCACATGTGAGAGTGAAATTACACAAATTATGTCTTTAAAGGACAAATATTTTTTTCTATTATAATAATATGATTTTGGGAAATAGATTCTTACGTCTTAATTTAAGATATTATTTTAAGTGAAAAATTTCAATTATTTTTTTATAAATTAATAATTAATTTAATTATTAAGATTTTGAGGTGATACGATGACATTAAAATTAAATAAATAACATCTATAGGAAAAAATAATTAATTTCATGCGGTGTAAGTGTAGTAATGATGGATCTCATTTATATTTTACAGTTCTAATATATTAATTATATGAATTATTGATTAAATAAAGGTAATGGTTAAAATAAAGTATAAAATTTATTATTATTATTATTATTATTATATAATGATCTTGTCCGATATTAATAAAAATAATTCGACTTACTTTATTTGAAATAATTTAATTTAATATTCCTGTTTAAAAATCATTAAAAAATATAGTCCAAATGTTTGGATACGGGAATCATTTAATTTCTAATTTAATGTTGATTTTGACCTTTGAATCAGTTTTCTTCAATTGTCGGTGATTTCTTTTCGGAAAATGAGAGTTGCAAATTTCCAATTATTCTTCGTTGTTCTAATTTTTTGTGTGTTTTGTTTAGTTCAGTAAATATATATTACATTAATCAAGGTAAATGGGTGCTTTATATAGACAATATTGTTAAAATTTCAACAATTAAAACTAAAATCATGTTAAATCCAATTAAATTTAAAAAGATTTGTCTATCTGAAATTCAATAAATTTTTTACTTATACAAAACTGAAATAAAAATATTTTTGAATTAAATCAATTTCTAAAAGAAAAATGTTATAGTTATTACATTTTTTTCTTACTACCTCTCACTACTAAATCTTAACAGTTGATTTCTATCAATCTAACGGTTATAATTTATTGGGTCATACTTATTAATTAATTATTAATTTTTAATAAATTATAACTGTTAGATTGACGAAAATCAACTGTTAAAATTTACTCATACAAATTTGACCGTGCCGGATTATGATTGTGGAATTCGCATCGTCATATTATTTTAATAAATAACTTTAAATTATATTATTTTAATAATATTTTTTAAATAATTATATGTACTTGATTAGGTAAGAATCAATTCAATCACACATGATATAAGGTAAAAGAAAAAAAAAAGAATGGAAGAAAAACAGAACATACAGTTTATTTTGATTGACCTAAATGTAAGGATAGATCAACCAATTATCAATCACTAGTTTTGTCTCATATACGAAAAAAGGTGGAATCCATTAAAAAGAAAAAGAAAAAGAAAAGTGAATTTCACTTTCTTTCTTTCTTTTCTTTTTTAACAAAGAGGGGCAAAAACACCAAAAACATTTTTTTTATATGTGTATGAGATTAAATTATCTTACGTAACATGCATGATAATTTTTTTTTTTATTGCACTTGTAATAATGCACGTATAAGAAAATACATGATTAGAATATGACTTGAATCGTCAGCTAAATACGACGTACAGTCACACTCAACATATTAAAGGGACAACTCAAGAAAAATTACTACTCCTATAAAGTTCAGAACTATATTAAAAAAAAAAAAAATTCTTTGTAAATAAAGTTATATAATTTTTCAACCGATTCATCATAACTCATTCGGTTTGAGCATGATAACATAACATCTATGTAGAGGATGGCTCTCTTACTTTCAGAACTCAGAACTAAAACTCTAGTTAAATAAAACATACAATTTACCACTTCAACCCTATTTTCTCTATCCTAATAACTCAAACTGAGGAGTCTAGTTAAGCAAAACACTCTTTACCTCCCCAAACCAATTGCGGTAAAAAAAATAAGGGAAAAGTTCACCAATGCTCCTGTGATTTTTTTTTTATCACATATGCCCCAGTGGTTTGCAAAAGGGAAAATCACCATGTCCTCTTGCTTAACACTATTAAATATTACTTTACTCATCCAATTTTGCCCCTGAAAACATTATTTAATAAAATAAATCTTAGAATCAAAATTAATTCTACACAGCACCTCAATCATTATTTCTACACAGCCGATATTAATTCTACACAGTCACATACAAATTTTGAAAGCTTGAACGTTTGGTTCCATTTAAGATATGAGCCAATTAGCAACAAATGCACAAACTATTACTTAAAGCACAAATTAACATTGGTTCTGAGACCATCCTTGCATTTTCTCCAAATTTACTTAAAAGCAGCCAGTGCTCTTCCTTCCAGATTCCAGGGATTTAGACCACGATTGTTTTTAATGTGACTAGAGCCATAATTCTCACCAGGCTTTAAGCCTATTTGATGTGGTGAAGTCAAACTATTTGAATCTGTCTCATCATTACAAGTCTCCCCTCCAGATAGCAGCATCTTATATCCACTCTTTCGAAACAAAGATAACCGAACCAGTACCTTGAGTTAGAGTTATTCAAGATAACAAGAAACATGGATCAATGGCTATGGAGATAATTACAAACCGAGGATAGTAGGAAGGAACAAATGCTAAATTACATTATGCTGCTTACTTTGTTGCTTCGGTAACAGCAAGGAAATTCCATTTTTTATCTTCACCATAGTAATGTTGTGCCACAACTTCAACTAATGCTTCCAAATCCTTCAATGCAGATAAGCACAATGAATAAGGAAATGAATAAGGCTCAACAGAGCCAGTAACATCTTGAGTAGGGGCTGTATCAATTATATGTTCATTGATAGCAGTGATAATCCCCAGAATGATCGTTACTGCATAAAGGTATTCAATATTTAATGAGTAATGCTAGTATTTTTGTCTTGCATAAATTTGCATATTTAACAGTGTTAAGGGGCAAAATTGGAAGAGTGAAGTAATATATAACAGTGTTAAGTAAAAGGATATGCTGGTTTTTCTTTTTGCAAACCACAGGAGCATATGTGATAAAAAAAAAACACAGGTAATTCTGAATTAAATGACAGGGGTATTGGTGAACTTTTCCAAAAAAATAAAAAAAGAATAGTCATATTTTGTTTATGCACTTTCAATATATAATTTCTTTTTTTTCTCGTCAAGTTGTTCCCTCATCAAAATATAACAAGAGAAACAGAGGACAAGATAGATAAATGGACTGAGTCCTGGTGGAGACGATCTAAAGGACATTTGTTAAACAAACGTCAATTGAGCCACAAAACAAGTCCTAGTTTTGCGCCAAGTGTGTTCCTCACATGCGCACCCTCTTCTCTCTCCCTTGGTCACGTGTCAATCCCAATGCACGTATAATAATACTTCTTTTCCCACCCGCTTCCTAAGCCTTCTTTACAAAAATAAACAAAATAAAAACCAGTTTCACTTTGTTTGGTGTTGGTGAAGATGAACCAGGAGCAGCCTCAGAGGCCGCACGTGGAAGGCATAAAGTATGGAGATGATATGAGTAAAATCGCCGGCGACGGTGGCGTGATATCGGAGTCCACCGGCGGACAGGTTCTCCATATGCTGAGAAACTCTCCTTTATTATTGTTAGTTTTTTTAGTTGCATATAGGTCCTTTTAATTCTTATTTGGTTAACTAATTGAAGTAAAATTTATAAGATATCTCAATACAGATAATGAGATATCTTATATTGTAGTGACGTAAATAAAGTGGTAATTAACTTTTTTGTGTCCCGAAGTTTTTTGATATAAAAAATAAGAGAGATTTTTCTTATTTTGGCCATATCACAAGGGAAAAAGTTTTTTTTTATTGCTTATTTTGTTACAGAATAATATAAATCATTAGAAAAGCTCTACCCAACATTAAGATTTTAAATTGAATTCGTTTTTTACATGTTCATGCATCGAAAAATTGTGAAAATCAGTTGGATAAGAAGGTTATTGTTATTGTTAAGGCTTTAATAGCTTTGTTGTTGTAGATGATAAAATTTGTCGCAAAACTTATTTTTTTTTATTCCAGGATCCGGCGGCTCGTGGATAAATATGTTTCCTGCAACTTTTTTTCACGTGCACGTAGAAACAATGTACCCTATTGTTAATATATAAATGTTGGGCAATACTTTTAAGATTGTGAGTGAATGCCATAATCAAAGAAAGATCTTAGAAAAATTTACAACTTGATTTCTTTTACTTTACAATTGTTGTGCCTAATATAACAGTAATTACGAAACAGGTGGTGGAGCAATTTAGCCAAAGGGCTCCACTGAACACGATGACGCCACCTTCTCTTATTCAAGACATGAGCGTTGGAGTTGGTGGCGGAATCACCATTGGTGAAGCACTCGAAGCCACGGCTTTGACCGCCGGAAAGAAGCCAGTGGAGTGGAGCGATGCAGCGGCGATTCAAGCAGCGGAAGTGAGAGCCACTGGCCGCACTAACATTGTTCCCGGAGGTGTTGCCGCGGCGGCACAGTCAGCTGCCACCCTCAATGCTCGAGCAGCAAGGGACGAGGACAAGACCAAACTCGCAGATATTCTGGCGGTACGCATATTAAACCGTCATTAGAATTTCAATGATTTCATCACAAGGCCTTGCATTGCAATCATAAATTAAACTTACATATGGACAAGATTAATTATATATATATATATATATATGAGAAAAACATTTTTCCGGCAGCTTGAGATAAGTTTATCTCCGACAATCCCAAAACTACGTTATTTTGTTTATTATTTTCTTATATTGATTGATTCACCTTTGAATGGTTATGATTCCCTTTTTCTCTCTCTTCTTTTATCACCATTGATCCATCTTTGTACGATTATGATTTAGTGGCCAAAGATAACGTTATCTCAAGCAGCTTGAGAAACGATAAACCATATATATATATATATATATATATATATATATATATATATATATATATATATATATATATATAGGGAAAAATATTTTTCCGGCAATTTGAGATAAGTTTATCTCCGGCCATCCCAAAACTACGTCGTTTTGTTTATTTATTTTCTTATATTAATTGATTCACCTTTGAATGGTTATGATTCCTTTTTTTTTTCTCTCTTCCTTTATCACCATTGATTCATCTTTATACGGTATTTAGTAGCCGGAGATAAAATTATCTCAAGCAGCTTAATAAATGATAAACCCATATATATATATATATATATATAGGGAAAAGTGTTTATCATTTTAAATGACATAACACTCTGTCCTTTTAATAGAGAGACAAACACAAGAAAAAAATTTATTTAAATTTTAAATTAAAAAAACCATCCACTCTCTCTCCTATGATTTTCATTTTTCTGTGTCTATCTCTCTCCTAAAATGACATAAGTTATGTCATTTAAAATGACAAACACTAAACCCACATATATATACATATATATACATATATATATATATATATGAGGTAGGATATTCATACTACTAAAATTTTCTACTACCATTTATGAGGTAGGATATATATGAGGTAGGATATTCATACTACCATTTTCTACTACTACTCTAATCACCATTGGATTAGAGAAAAAGTTGAATGAAGAGAGAGAAAAGAAAAATAACTTTTCACTACTACTCTAATCACCATTGGATTAGAGGAAAAGTTGAATGAAGAGAGAGAAAAGAAAAATAACTTTTGAATCCAATGGTGATTAAAATGGTAGTAAAAAATTTTGGTACTATGAATATCCTATATATATATATATATATATATATATATATATATATATATACACACACACACGGGTTCTTCGTTTCTGCTGTCGCTCGAGATAGAAAAAGTTGTAGCAAACTTATTAACATTAGGATACGAGGCCATATCCTGGAATAAAAAAAACACAAGGATTAGGCTGTATCCCGATTAAAATAAGTATTGCTACAAAAAATTTCATCTGTGGTGATAGAAGAGCTATTAAAGCCTATATGGCTATATGTGTGTGTGTCCAAATCTGGTTTTAATTTATTTGTTAATTGAATTATTAGGTATAAGAATTCTTACTATATGTAAATTATAAATATAATAAAAAATTGAAACTACATGTCAGAAATATCTAATACATCCCTCCAATAAAAATCCAATACCTAATATGATACAAGTGCCCATAGTAGTATTCACTACTAGGTGCAACTGTGATACTAAAAATGCGCTCCTACATATCACCAAGTAAGCATGTGGATCAATGGTAAAGAATTTTTCCTGCATAATTAATAATCTTGAGTTTGAATCCTTAGAATGCAATTGTATTAAAATTTGGTAAGAGATTTGCGGCTTATGTAATAAATCGATAGATAATATAAAATAAAAAAAGAGACTGTGACCTAGATTTTAGTCTTAGTTTTATAGTTTCGTGTTACATTTTATATTTATAAATTGGGAAAAGTGTCTATACATTTAAATTACACAACTTACATCCTTTCACTCTCACAAAGAGGTGGGACCCACAACTTTATTTTTTTTGTCAACTCTCTCTCCTCCTTTATCTATCTCTTTCTCTCTCTTAAAATGACACAACTTTACATCCTTCAAAATTATACACACTTTTCCCTTATAAATTAATGTATGTATGTTGCAGGATGCGACTTCGAAGCTACCGGCAGACAGAGCAGCGACGAGGAGAGATGCTGAAGGGGTGACGGGTGCAGAAATGAGAAATGATCCGAACCTCACAACTCACCCTGGGGGCGTGTCCGCGTCGGTAGCAGCCGCTGCTAGGCTGAACCAAACCAATAACTAACTGCTATCATATATATATATATATATATATATATATATAACATCTTGAGCGGTGCGCACACACTTGAAAACGGATGGGTTTAAATTTTACACGTTGTAAGTGTTGCAAATCAACAATTGCAGAACATACAAAAATCGAAAACGGAAAGATAAAGGGAAAAGAAATTCGACATTATCCTGATTCACTCAATACAGGCTAAGTCTTGTCTGTACTATATTCATCTCATTACAAGTCACTCGATTTATAAGAAAATATAAATAGAATTTAAAAAACTCTAACTCAATCTGTTCATGAGTCCAAACCCAACATCGTGGTCGTGTTAAGGTGTTAAATAGTTGTTTCTTCGCGGGCGTATTTCCTATCAATTTACTCCATTTTTACATTTGTAAACCCATTATGTGATTTCTTTTGTGGTCATTAGTGTGCTGTGTAGGATGGGCGATTGCTTCCCCCCACGTACATGGGTACTTTTTGTTTGTTTGTCAGATAGATGTTATGGATTCTCCAAGTTCAAATAAAAGAATGTACTTTCAACTTTTGCTTCCTTTTTGAACTTCTCAAAAAAGATACATCGGCTTTTGTTTTCCTGACTGGTATGAACCGAAGTCCAGAAAAGTTACCGTTCAGATTTTCAGGTGAATTGAGAATCAAGGAGGTGTTATTGAAGACAGTGGGTGATGTTAAATCACTAAGAGGTTTGAACTCATGTATAAAGCAGAAGAGAAGGTAGATGATCAGAATTATAAACAATTAAAAAACAGACTTACTTAGAAAGACAGAATGATGAATCAGATATGCAAAATCAGAAGGATAAAATCCGAGCCCACAGAACATGTTTCCTTAAGACAATTTGTTCCCTCACTGATGCCTAAGGTAGATGGACACTTGTCTCCCAGGATAGAACGGATTTCGTCTGAAGAGTGACGGCACTACCAGTCAACAGCCCAATCGAACACAACAAAATACCAGAGGAAACTACACCGGAGTATAAAAAGGAACATGCAAAACCGGAAGGAGAAAAATTCCGGCAGAGTTTCAGTGCAGAAAAATTGGATCCATTTTCTGAAGGTGTCAGTATCTATTTATAGACAACGTAAAGTCACGTTCCAAAAGGCACCTATTCGACGACGAAACAACACATCTGTTGGACACGAAAAGACACATTCGTTCAACACGAAAAGACACCCATTCAAGGATGAAATAACATGTCCGTTAGGATGAAACAACATGTCTGTTAGGATGAAACAACATCTGTTTGTCGACGAAAAGGTACACCTTTTCACTTCCAAACTTCTTATTCATAACCAATAGATTGTCTATACAATTTTTATATATATATATATATATATATATAAATTCCAACAGGAGGAAGTGTAAAGGCCATTGTTATGGCTGATGAGAGAACAATTTGGTAAAGTTTTAACAAGATAAGTAATGGAGATGGAGATGAGTATGCCTATTCTGGAGATCAGATCTACTATTTAGAGAGGGGAGAAGATTCTTTTAGGAACAGGAAATGTGATATCATAATCGTTTTTAGTTTGTGGGTCTTATAATGATGTGAGGTTTTGTGATTCTTCACGTGTATAGGTCATCAATATATGTGATGTGTAGGGTTATCAATATATATTGGGTGTGTGTATAGGTTATGTGTGTGGGAGAAATATGAGGAAATTATGTGCATAAAGGGTTCATGCACCCTGAGGTGTCTAAATGTTTCTGGCCTTGTCGAGCGATCAATAAAATGACAGGTCAAAGTCCACTCATTGGATGCAAAACACTTTTCATAATTTTCGGGTTAAAAGGAGGATGTTATACTCATTACCAAGTTTACCTCTCTTATAACCTTAGGATAAAATCAAATTAACATTTGATACAAATTTTCTTTCTCTCTTCAATTATTTCCTCCCATCTCTCTCACTTTTCTCTTTTCAATATGATTTATTGACCACCATCTATCGGTTATAAAAAGATAGTAAGAAACAATAAAATTAGTTGATGACAAGTATAACCTTCCTCTATGTTAAAAATGTATTTATTTTTAAAGAATTATTCATGTTAGTTTCTGTTCGAATAGGTAATGCCTAGTTGATATATAATTTCTCTGGTTTCAACTTAAGATTGACTTAATTTAGTGATTCGACCTTTCTTCTAAGCTTTTACTAGTGATATGTCTTACTTAGAAATGAAAGGGAAGAAAAAAAAAAAACACTGCTTGGTTGTATCTGATCGAAAACCAAAAGAATTGTCATAAATTTGAGAAAAGAAGCAGAAAGCTCGAACCCTCGCAAACCAGGCTCAGCATGCCCGAGAATAACAAGTACCATTATCTTCATGGCTTCTGTTTGAGCTTGTCCAATAACCAAGTTTTGCTGTTTAAGTATGGGAAAAGTCTTTTGCTTTGTGCCTCATATCCAGGGTGCTTGAGAAGAACCCACGTAAGCGAAAGAACCTGGAGGTACGCCCTTCCAGAACCATGTGGTACAAGTCAAATCCAGATGTTCGATTGGTGAAGCAATTATTTCTAGGTGCCTGAACAGACACCATATTTAGCAGGATAATTATCTTTATAAGCCAATTTTTTGAAAAATTTGTTATCCCGTTGAAGAATAGAAAATATTTATTACTCACATCAATTATTTAAAAAATATTAATTTTTTGAGTTTTGAAAATACTACATTTTTGTATTTTTCAATTTTATTTTTATTTTTTATTCCCTGATACATCTTAAAACATATGTTAAGATTTTATATTTTTTTATAATGAAGGGAATATTTTTACATTGTAAATAACCAAACTAAAATTGCATTTATTCTTATTAAAAATAACCTTTATTCAGAAAGATGATACGCACCCGTTTGATTTGTATAACATAATGATATTTTTTTTTTTCGTAAATAACATAATGATATTTTAATTATGGGTAATATTACTCTCATGTAACATGAGAGTAATTCTCTCATGTTATAAAGAGAATCCAAATAGACCCGCTATTTAAAAGCAAAAAAGAAAAAGAAAAAGAAAAAAAGAAGAGACACGATTTTCGAAGATAGAGAAAAGGAGATAACTACCTCATGTAAAATGAGAGTAGTATTTCCCTTTAATTATTAGGAAATGTAACTTTTCAAATTGGTGATTTAAGACTTGTTTGGGAGTTAGTTTTAAAAAAGAAAGGAATGAAAAAAAATTATTAATCTTTTTCCTTATTTGTGAATTTAAAAAAAATAAGGGAATAATTTAAGAATTTTCACAAAATCCTTCTTATTCTTAAAATTAAAATTCCTTCAATTTGGAAAATTTTAACTCTCAAACAAAAAAAGAGAATATCCTTCATTTTTCTTCCCTTCTCCAAACTCCCAAACAAAGCTTTAGGAACATAGAAAAGGAGATAAAATCTGCAGGCTAGCACATATTAAATAGGTACTATATAAGCCAACTATCTTCATGTTTGATTATTAAGATGTAATTAGCCCTTTTCAATACCTGTATAAACAACAATGAATGTGCAGAAAGACTTGCCGCTTCCCAAATACTTTATTTTTTAGGCTCTATTAACACAATTTTTAAAATTAAATAATCACTCCAGAAATACAGCTTTTCAAACAACAAATTTGAAAACAAAAATGGCACCAAAGCACTGGCATTAAGATACATCCTAGAATAATTTTCTCAATAACTGCAATTGGGGGAGGGGTGGTATTCAAACTATTTCTGCTCCGAGAGACACGTTCTAATTCAATAATTTCATAATGTAATTCCCATTTGTTTCAGTCAAAAATCAACCTGATATTATACATATCTTTACCATTTAAAGTAGCAAAAAAAGGCCTGGGCTCAATGTCAGACTCATTCTTCACACTCTGATTGAGTACAACAAAATTTGGCAAGGGGAATGTAGATCCTCTCACTAAGACCATTTTAAAAGGTTTCTTCATCTCCTTTTGCTGTTCCTGTCTTTAGAATATCTCGTTGTATAAACCACACATAATTCTCTCAGCTGCTCAATTGTTTTTCCCAATTTATGGTTCTCCAAGTTTGACCCCAAATAAGTTGTGTTTGAGCTGGAAGCTTGGAACCGCAAATGGTTAAAAAATGGACCATATGGAAAACTTCGATCTGTCGTAACATGAGGTAGGGAAATTATGGGCACGTGGCTGATGGAGCTGAGAATGTATGGTTGACCACAATTCATGACACAGCTATAGCAAGAGAAGACTGGGCAAACCTTCTATAGGTTTTTCTAGTCTAGTCTACAGAAAATATACAATACGATCTTTAAGAGTGGGCTTATCTTTAAGTATTATTTTCACTCGCTGAGCTGAGCTTTTCCAGAGACAATTCCTTGGTGACTAATCGAAGCAGCACTTGCACTAGCTCCCGTATTCTTAATTCTCTGTCCATCAAAAAACAAAATTTAGAAATAGAAAAGGAAGAAACATAAACTTAATTATCTGGCATAGTATCTTTTGAACTAGCTCTGTGCTGTTTTAGGGGGAATTTTGAGATTGCTCGACTACCTTAGAAGATTTTCTTACTACTCATTTTCAAGTTTTTGTGAAAAACATAGGTTAAGGAAAGAAATGATAATGTGCACCTTTTGCTTATTTTTGGTGTATTTGACAGGAGCATAATACTAGACTTTTCAAAAGCATGTTTCAGTTGTTTTTGACTTCTGACTCCTATGGGACAGACTGGTATTCTTGGCCTCTTTATGGGTTAAAGCTAGTGAAATCTTCAAGGGTTTTCTTCATCTGTGTTGGGGTTCCATTTGCAAGGTATGGGATTTGAGTCCCACATTGGTTGTATGGGTAACTAATATGGGGTTTATAAGGCCTTGGGCACTCCCACCCTTTGAGCTAGCTTTTGGGGTGGTGCATCCCAAGGTCTCATCAAATGGTATCAGAGCATCCATCATGTGGAGTTGTGCGTGAGGACATGCACTAGGGAAGCGTGGTGGAATGTTGGGGTTCCATTTGCAAGGTATGGACATTGGTTGTATAGGCAACTAATGTGGGGTTTATAAGGCCTTGGGCACTCCCACTCTTTGAGCTAGCTTTTGGGGTGGTGCATCCCAAGGTCTCATCAATCTGTTTGTCAACGGGATTGGCTAGCACTTTTTTAGCAGATAATTTTTTTTTCTTGCTTTATTATTTGTTTTTTTGCTTATCCTTTTCAGTTCCTAGAGGATATCTTATCCAGCATCCTCTTTGTATCTCTCTTTTAAGCAGAGGCTTGTTTTTTTAAAAACAAGAGAGAACAATAAAAGTCTAAAGGTTAAGAAAATAGAACATCAATGAATGTTGTCAAATCTCACTTTCCAAGCTCCACCCAACCCATTTACATCTGCTTGCAAAGATTCCACCGGTGTGCATACCAAAATAAAGCATGGTCGATCAAATTTATATTTACTTTACCTAGATGTAACAAGCTCACAAAAGGACGGTAAAAGCACAAACAGATGGGGACGGTTGTCATGCTTCTTGTCCTCTGCTAGGCCAGTTCTCAACCGTGGGTGTAAGGGGAGCATGGATGCTGCCTCTGGATGAATTACAAGACATGCCAGTTCTTGGAGGACATAAATAATTTCTTCAAGTCTTGCTTTTGGTAATGGATACTCACCTGAGGGAAAAAGAAAATAGTTAAGCAGGCAAATAGTGGGAGACAAAAATAATATTATCGATGTCAGTTATCTTGCTTAAAAGAAGAAGCTCACCTAAGCCATTTTCATCTGTCAGAAACCTGCTCAAGATGTATTCACATCTGATCATGAGCACAGTAATTGAGATTTTGCTGACTTCAGATCTTGTCATATTCCAATTGACTTCATTAGAATAACTAAGAGCATTATATGAAATTGGTCAGAGAAGAAAACAATGACTTGATATTAAAGCTGGGTAAAATCAACGATAAGAAAAAAAAAGCACAGGGGAAAGTCTGGAATGGATTAGTTATATTTAGCTCGGGTGACTTGATTTTGGTTAAAATCAATGGAAATTTTGGGAATAGAATTATGCCTATATTCAGGTCTCTATTAGTGTTATTCCAAATTACAGTCATATGGCAGGAGTTGATCATCAGGCACCTAAATTATACCGGAAAGAACATGCATAAAAAAACAAAACAAAAATAGGATTTAGAGCACTTTTCTTCTGATGAAACTGCATTCATGCATGACTAGAATTTATGAGCACCTAAATTCCTAAATAAAAACACTTCAAAGGTAGATTACCAAAACCATCCATGTCATCTACACCATCTCATAGAAGAGAATTTAGTTGAGTGGTTTCCCAAAGTTAATTTCCATAAAGATACTTTATGCTCAGATTTTAGAAATTAAAATTTATTAACATGAATCAAACAAGCCTTCAAAGGATGGCACCTGCTCAAAGAAAATAACTTCTGCAAACAAGTCGAGGAAAATCTACTGCAGTGTGGAGGCATAAGCTCTACAGTCTCAACAGGTAATGAGCATGTGCGTGATGCACAACGGTCCAATGTGGAGACCAGTCGCTGCAGAATCTGAGAACATTCACAGTATTAGAAAGTAAAAGTAAAATTTCACACTGAAACCACAATTAAAGGAAGCTTTATTGGACTATATAATCTGACATGCAAGAAAAGCTCAGAAAAATTCCATTCAGGTGATTTTTTTGGCAAAACAAGCAACAGACTTCAGTGGCAAGAATATAATATCAATAACCAAATAAGTTAATACTCGGTGGGGCGTCGATCGGTTTTTTTTTTAAGAACTCTTAATATTAAATAAACAAATAATTTACATGTTAGTTTGTCCAGAACAAAGACATACCATAATCAGAGGCAGTACCACATGCCACACAATCATTGTAGAGAGCCTGAGTCATATTTTGCTAGAAGTAAAACTAAAAAGGTAGTTTTAAAGATTTTTATTTTTTCACCGTGGTATAAATCTTTTGTATCAATTTTATTTGAATACATATTTTGCAGCTTTATGGTTGATGATTCAAAAGTTTACTGTTAAATTTCTTTAAACCACATTCCAAATCATAAACATAATTTAACTTAGAAACGTTCGTAATGCAATTCTTGGGCAATAACTTTTGAAGTATAAAATATCATATTATCAATTTATCATTTGAAGAGATAACCTTAACTTTGATGTTGAATAAAATATTTAAAACTTTTATATTAGTATTATTCAGCTGTTAAATTATATATGGACGAATAAACGTAAGTATAACCATAAATATATAAGATATAATTACAAGTTAAACATTTCCATATTTATTTTTGGTATGGGTAAATAATAGGAACCTGATAGAAACAGACATTTATTTATGGAACAATGGAAACTAGCTCCTTAAAACAGAGGTAGTCCTTTGTAATTCCTCAAAACAGAAAAAGAAAAGATACCACAGGTCAATCGAGTGACCTACAACCTCCACCCAAATTCTCATTCAGTAATTGCCTACCTAGCTAAGGTCCCCATTTTCACATTTTATACACCTTTCCTAATAGATAACTCCCTTTCCTTCCTTTCATCTCTCTCTCTCTGTCTGTGCCACGTAGGCATTCTGTTATTCCTGTAGTGGAGTTTCCTCTGCCTTCATCATTGCTTAGGTGAGTTGGTTACCTGAATCTCTGCGTTCATCACCCTTCCTGATGTACACCTTCTTAATAGGAGGTCTAGCATTAAGTTGAAAACTACTGACAGTGTAGATGTTTATTACTTCTAGCTCCAAGTTTGGTTAAATACCAAAGTACTCGTATTGGGTTATTTAATGCCATAATATTTTACATAATGGCATGAGAATATGACAGCAAACTACACACGCCTTCACATTGTCCTGGTAAATCCGGAATTTTGTTTTCTTCAAGCAGTCTGATCAAGCTTTAGTCCTAAACTAGAAAACATACCATCTACGCCTACATCAGCCAAATCCTTACTTCTTTAATGCCCTACCAGTAAATCAGTAATACATTGGATTTGCATGTTCATAACAACTTCATGGAGTATCAACTATTATTAACACAACATTATTGGTGAAAAACTTACATCCACAGGGGCATCAATTGGCAACTTAAGGACTGTGTCACCAAGAATATTTAAGATGGACATCTCAAGGGACTCATCAGCCTCTAACACCACTGCTGAGAGAGAATTTGAAGGAAGAGCTCGTCCACAATATCCGACAAGGAATATTTCATAAATATCTGCAATTTCTTTCCATATACGTGTTCTGACAGGTTTACTAATGCTGGAATCTGGACCTCCGTTGGTTAATTTGGTGACATAGTCAACAACCACACGGTTGAATGCTTCAACGGATAACCTCCAAAGTGCACTATCTGGATTGTCTCTTCTTGTTGTCATACACCTGAAAAATAACAAAATAGTATTACTGCATCAAACACAAATCTATAGACAAAAAGGAAGATATTATACACATATCAACAATGTGAACATCTTCAATCCATTACAGTCCCATATTTTATGGCATAAAAAAAAAAAAGAGACAATAATGTGGTAAAAAGTTCACAGCTGCCAATTCGAATCATAGCTATATCTCTTTTACCTCTCTCACTATTAAATATCCCCCCCCCCCCCCCCCCCCCCAAGGGTAAGCAGATTATAATAACATTGTTATTTATTACTTGCACATAGAACTGATATTTGTGATCTACACGTAAAAAACTTCGCTCAAATTGTTTTGCGGTGTAATATCATTTCTTACAATCGAGTTGGTAATTTAGTCTCCAAAACTTTTCTGTTGCACCACATTCATGTATGACTAGAATTTATGATTGAATGTGCCAAACTTTTACAATAGGCCCAATGCACAACATGCCACAAACAGCAAAGGAAAAACATTGCCAAATTGGCTGCCCTACTTTGGTTTGGCACTAATGAGGCTCGGCCTGATATCTAGAATTCCCTGCAAAGAAACTAGATCAGAAGTCTCTCAATCATTAAGGTTTTTGTTAGGGTTTAATATAAACCATTAAAGAAGCCCTCACCTAACAGCTTAAAACTTTTTGGTTGAATTGGTTCTTTACATGGTATTAGAGTCTCATGTTCCAGGTTCGATCCTCACCGCCCCCCACTTTCTTTTGTGGAATTTCTTAAACCAGATAGGTGGGCTTGTACATTATCCACCCTTCAAGCCTAGTAGGCTCTTGTGCGAGAGGACGTGTTAGAGATATATAAAACTATTAATATAACCTCACCCAACTCCTTAAGGTTTTGGGTTGAAGCCTTATTGTTGAGTTAATAATAGTTGTATCTCTCAGCATGAACTTCCAGGGGCTCGCATGAGTAGCATTCACCCCAAGCTTGACATGTCAAGTCATTTCTCTTTGCCTTGGTTTCCGATTAAACATTATTAAAAACCTGATATTTGTAGCTATAGTAACATAAAAACTCTTTGCCTGAATCCACTCTCACTTCACAGAAATCTCAGCCTTTTCTTGGCTATGGTATATGTTAGAATATTAGATATGATTGGATTCCGTCTTATCCGTAAATATTCTGACTGTATTCTGACTGTATTAGGATTAGGTTTGGGCCTTTCACTTAAGCCCATTAGGGTCTCTATATATTGTAACTCTCTGACACAGATCAATACACAACATATTATTCTTCTATTATTTTATATTCAAGTTGGTATCAGAGCACTTTCGTTCTGGGAACCCTCGCTTCCGCTTAGAAACCTTGTTTTTTGCTTTAAAACCTAAGCCCACTGCTTAGGAGTCCTCTTTCTTGCCGTGCGTCTTTCCGGCAAGCCTTCTAGGGCTGTAAACAGCCTTTGAGTGATTTTTCCAAACGCGTCAGCACCTCCGACGGCCACCGGAACCACCGCCCACCGTCAGAATCACTGTTCAGGCAACCGGAGACTTTTTCCGGCGACTTTTCTGACCAAACTTCACGCGATCAGGACCCTCTCTTCCCGGCGACCAGGTCTGTGGTGGTCCGGTCAGCAACGCATCTCCCACGCGCCGTCACGCGCCACCTGTCTTCTCTGCGCGTGGGCTTCACGCGCCACCTTCTGCCGGCGCGTGAGCACTATTCCGGCGGCTTTTTCCGGCCGGTCTTGGACAGAGAAGCTCGCCTTCTCCTCCCCTTTCTGGATCTGTGATTGTTTCTCTGTGGGTCTGACTTTAGACGCGTGGTTCTTCTTGATTGGATATCGTTTGCCTTCGTTTACGGCTTTTATATTTTATCTTTAAATGGCAGCAGCATCTCCTGATCTCTCGGAGGTTAACTCTCCTTCTATTGTTGCAAATATAGCTCAGTCAGACAATGCATCATTTGGTTCAGGTTCGGACTATGCTGCACTCCAAACCCCTCTCAGGAAGGCTTCTCCTCAGTCTCAGCCTTATACTGGTAATCCTGTTGCTTGTGTTTCTCATTCTACATCACTTGGCACTTGGATATTTGACTCCGGTGCTACCGATCATCTCTGTGGTAATAAGGAACTCTTTACATCTCTTACTTATTCTGATCATTTACCGTCTTTTACCCTTGCGGATGGAACCAAAGCCCCAGTTCGTGGGATTGGACAAGCTCGTCCGACCTCTACCTTGGCCCTGACATCTGTCTATTACATTCATGGCATCCCTTATAACTTAATTTCTATTAGTAAGTTGATCCACTCCCTCACTTGCACCATTACTTTCTCTAATCATTCTGTTTCTGTGCAGGATCCGGGTACGGGGAAAATGATTGGAGTGGGTCGTGAGTCACGGGGGCTTTATTATCTGGATGTGCCTCGTCCTTCAGTAGCATGCTCTCTCACAGAATCTCCACAACTTATCCACAGTCGCCTTGGTCATCCAAGTCTTTCAAAGTTGCAGAAAATGGTTCCTCTTTTGTCCGGTCTTCAGTCTTTAGATTGTGTGTCATGTCAACAAGGGAAGCATACACGCTCCTCTTTTGCCAGTCGAGTCAATAAACGAGCTGATGCCCCTTTCTCTCTTGTTCATTCAGATATCTGGGGTCCAAGTCGTACCTTGTCTGTCTTAGGTTTTCGGTATTTCGTTACCTTTATTGATGATTTTTCCCGTTGCACTTGGACCTATTTAATGAAAAATCGTTCCGAGCTATTTTCCATTTATAAAAAGTTTTCTACTGAGATCCATACTCAATTTGGTGTTTCTATTCGTATTCTACGTAGTGATAATGCTAAGGAATATGTTTCTATTGATTTTTCTAATTTCTTGGCCACACAAGGTACTTTACATCAAACTACTTGTCCTCACACTCCAAAACAAAATGGGGTGGCTGAACGTAAAAACAGACATCTCATTGAAACTGCCCGTACCCTTCTTATTCATATGCAGGTTCCCCTTCACTTCTGGGCAGATGCTGTACTCATCTCTTGTTTTCTCATCAATCGCATGCCTTCATCTGTGCTCCACAATGACATTCCTCATAATCTATTGCTTCCAGATGTTCCTCTTTATCCTCTAACTCCACATGTCTTTGGTTGTACTTGTTTTGTTCATGATCTCACTCCTGGTAAGGATAAGTTAACATCCAAAGCCTTTCAGTGTATCTTTCTTGGTTATTCTCGTCTTCAAAAGGGTTATCGTTGTTATTCTCCCGACCTTAAGCGTTACTTAGTTTCCGCTGATGTCACTTTTCTTGATCAACAACCCTTTAATTCTATCCCATCTCAGATGTCACAGGTTGATCATGTACTTCCTGTCCCTTTTCTTGACTTGTCTTTGCCAGCTGCAGGTGCTTCTATTCCAGATGAGCAACCTATTGCTTCTATACCTGAGGACCGTCCACTTCTCACCTATCAGCGTCGCAAAACTGTGCCTCATGTCGACTCGACTCTTGCTGACTCATCGCCCACTGCTGTTGCTTCTTCCCCTCCGGATCCTTCATCAGAGACTCTTCCCATTGCTCAAAGAAAAGGTACACGTACTACTCGTAACCCTTATCTTCTTTATACCTTTTTGAGTTATGACCGTCTTTCTTCACCTCATTTCACCTTTGTTTCTAGTCTTTCTTCTATTTCTATTCCTAAGACCACAGGTGAAGCACTTTCCCATCCAGGGTGGCGCCAAGCAATGCTTGATGAGATGACTGCACTTCATTCCAATGGCACTTGGGACCTTGTTTCTGCTCCTCCAGAGAAGTCTATAGTTGGTTGTCGCTGGGTTTTTACTGTGAAAGTTGGACCTGATGGCCATATTGATCGTCTCAAGGCACGTTTAGTTGCCAAGGGTTTTACTCAAATCTTTGGCATTGATTATAGCGATACATTTTCACCGGTCGCTAAGATGGCGTCAGTCCGCCTCTTTCTTGCCCTTGCTGCTGTTCGTCACTGGCCACTCCTTCAACTTGACATCAAAAATGCCTTTCTTCATGGTGATTTACAAGAAGAAGTTTACATGGAGCAACCACCTAGTTTTGTTGCTCAGGGGGAGTCTGGAAAGGTGTGTTGTCTTCGGAAATCCTTATATGGTCTCAAGCAGTCTCCTCGAGCATGGTTCAGTCGCTTCAGTTCTGTTGTTCAGGCGTTTGGCTTAATCCGCAGTAAAGTTGACCATTCTGTGTTTTATAGGATTACATCTCCTGATAAGTGTATCTATTTGTTAGTCTATGTTGACGACATCATTCTCACCGGAAGTGATCAAGACGGAATTCGTCAGTTAAAACAGCATTTGTTTAGTACATTTCAAACAAAGGACCTTGGGAAGCTACGTTACTTCTTGGGAATTGAGGTGGCGCAATCCAGACAGGGCATTTCTATCTGTCAAAGGAAATATGCCCTGGATATCCTAGAAGAAACTGGTATGTTGGGTAGTAAACCAGTTGATACACCTATGGATCATAATGTCAAGTTATTGCCCGGACAGGGGGGAGCCGTTATCTGATCCTGGACGTTATCGGAGGCTAATTGGGAAGCTCAACTATCTTACTGTGACTAGGCCAGATATTTCTTTCGCTGTTAGTACGGCTAGTCAGTTTCTTGATTCCCCTTGTGATTCACATTGGGATGCTGCTGTGAGGATCCTCCGATACATCAAAGGAGCACCAGGAAAAGGTTTGTTGTATTCAGATCAGGGAAATACAGAAATTTGTGGTTATTCAGATGCTGATTGGGCAGGATCACCCTCGGACAGGCGCTCCACTTCTGGCTATTGTGTCTTCTTTGGAGGAAACGTAATTTCGTGGAAGAGCAAGAAACAACCTGTTGTTGCTCGATCTAGTGCAGAAGCTGAGTATCGTGCAATGGCAAATGCTACCTGTGAGTTAGTCTGGTTAAAGCAGTTGATTCAGGAGCTTCATCTTTGTGAACAGAAACAACCCATGACACTCATCTGTGATAATCAAGCTGCGCTACATATATCATCTAATCCTGTCTTTCATGAGAGGACCAAACATATAGAGATTGATTGTCACTTCATTCGAGAAAAGATTCAGTCAGGAGAAATCAAGACTGCTTTCGTCAACTCCTCTGATCAACTAGCGGATGTTTTCACTAAAGCTCTTAGAGGTCCTCGGGTTGAATACATTTGTAACAAGCTTGGTTCTCATAATATATACGCACCAGCTTGAGGGGGAGTGTTAGAATATTAGATATGATATGATTAGATATGATTAGATTCCGTCTTATCCGTAAATATTCTGACTGTATTCTGACTGTATTAGGATTAGGTTTGGGCCTTTCACTTAAGCCCATTAGGGTCTCTATATATTGTAACTCTCTGACACAGATCAATACACAACATATTATTCTTCTATTATTTTATATTCAAGTGTATACAAATCTTTCCAACTACAAATTTTAGAAACAAGTTATCCTACCCCTTAACAGTGGAGTGGCAAAAAAAATTGAAATTAATTGAGAACAATTACTACCTTCCAAAGCTTTGAATAATTTCAGGGTATATAATATACTTTTCAACTGTAGGTGCCTTCAGGAAAAGATCTACCAGCGCCGGAACTAGCTTTTCTGCAAACATATAACTAGGAATGCCAGCATTTATAGCTGCAGTTGATCGAGAACCTGGAGATGCTGCCACTTTACTAGGTGATATCGGAGTAGTGCCATTGGGTGCTCCATTGTTCACCTGAGAATCTGCAAACATGAGCATAGATTTTACCCTTTTACCCAAAGGAAAAAAATAAAAACTAGCTCAGGTACAACCAGATACTTCCATACCTGTGATAAGGTCAGAACCTCTTGCTTGATCTATTTTACCATCCTCATTCTGTAAATGAGAATCCTGTCTAGGAAGATACTGCAGAAACTCTCGAAGAAGAACAAGCCACATTGAAGAAATGTTATCTGTTGGACCTAACAGTGGTAAGATTTCCAGTATAGTCCTTAGCACAGGTGGAACATTCCCCTAGAAAAATGGAACATACATGAGAAAGTTTCTACTTTAAAATGACAATTCTACAACAAAAACTACAACTACTAAATAGGCTCCCTGAATTATACTGCAGGATTCCTTCTTTAAGAGCAAAGTAAAATTTGAGGAAGCAAAGGCTTTGTTCAATAAGACTAGTCACTTGGGACATTGATAAGCTATAATGATGAGACTTCAATGTAAGAGGACATGTTCATTAAACGTATGAAAATTTCCCAAATAAGATTTTTGGTGAGCCCATATATTAAATTAATTTCCCTTTTTTTGACTGAGCAATGAACTAAATATGAAGGTAAAGAATGCATAGGGATACTCCAAAGTTGCCACTCCAACTTCAATTTTTATGATAACTATTGCCTCTGCTTCTAAGTTAGTATAATACATTACTGAGGATGCCAATGAAGTTGTTAGAAACATAATATAAAACCATTCATATGTCTTTACCAAAAACCTTAAGCTTTTGCGAGAGTAGGTTCATGGCATGGTATTAGAGGGTCCATGAACAAGTAATCTAAAGTTCAATCCTTACCGCCCTCGTCATTTTAATAAAAAAAGGTGAAATTTCAGTATAAGGTAGATGGGCCTATACATTATCCACACTTCAAACACAAACAACTCTTACATGAGAGGGCTTGTTATAAATATAATATAATATCATTCATGTGTCTTCACTTAAAATCTAAAGCTTTATGGGCAAGTTAGTTCATAACAAAGTTATAGCAAAACATACTGAATGTACAGCAAGGTACGCAGTTTACAAAAATACGAAGAAAAAAAAATTCTCAAGAACACTTGTTACACAGAAATAGCAAAGTTAAAAAAAATCAAAGTAGCATTCCAACTTTGTGCTGCATTTGTGCTTGTTAACAAATTATAACTTTCAAATAAATTTGCATACTTTCTCTTACGTCATGAAGAAGCATGGCACTGTGGAACTTTCAAGTCAACTTTTACAATTTGGGAAGGGTTTCTTCTGCACCTTAATTTTTACAACTGGCCTACACCTTGTTACAATTGAGCTAATTACTGAATAACATTTATCATTTGGAAACGTGTTTTTTCTAAGCAAAACAAACACATACACATTGTTAACCAAACAATAAACATTGTTAACCAATAAATAACTTATCAGTAACCATGTGTAAAATTTAAGGTGTAGCAATAGCATGACAGTAACCATTTAATGAAAACAGCATTTGATTGGGTAGTTGTTTTAATTTTTTTTTCGAAGGGCACAATACATGAAGTTCACAACTTCACAATAACAGGTATTCTGTGAAACAATATACGTGTGGTAATTGTGAAGAAAAGAAGAAGTGGAAGAAGTGTTTTATCTGAATAATACTTTCTTGATTCATTGAGAGACCCAATGGGTCCTTTTTATATTGAGTACATCCAACTACCTCAACTACTTTAATAAATATACAACCACAAACTACATCAATAAATATACATCTACCAACTACATCAATAAATACTATCTAGAATATTCTACATATTCTACACTCCCCCTCAAGTTGGGAGATATATATTGATCATTCCCAACTTGCTGATCAAATTCTCAAAGGTCGGCTTAAGTAATCCTTTGGTGAGGATATCCGCCGTCTGTTCCTTGGTAGGTATATATGTCAAGCATACACTACCGTCTTCTAATTTCTCTTTGATAAAGTGACGATCAACTTCCACATGTTTTGTTCTGTCATGATGAACAGGATTTTGAGCAATGCTGACAGCAGCCTTATTATCAAAATATAATCTGATAGGTAGGGAATAAGAGATCTTCAGCTCCTCCAGAAGCCTTCGTAACCAAATTCCTTCACAAATACCATGGGCTAGAGCCCGAAATTCCGCTTCTGCACTGCTTCTTGCAACAACAGTTTGTTTCTTACTTCTCCAGGTCACAAGGTTTCCCCAGACATAAGTACAATATCCTGAAGTAGATCTTCGGTCCATTGCAGAGCCAGCCCAGTTTGCATCTGTATAGATTTCAATCATCCTTTTGTGCCCTTTTTTAAAGAAAATTCCTCGACTAGGGGTATTTTTGAGGTATTTGAGAATTCTATAAACAGCACTAAGGTGTTTTTCCTTAGGAGAATGCATGAATTGGCTAACCATGCTCACAACAAAAGCAATATCAGGACGAGTGTGAGACAAATAGATTAATTTTCCCACTAGTCTCTGGTACTGCTCCCTATCAACATCTTCCCCGTCCTCAACTCCCATCTTGATATTAGCTTCAATTGGAGTCTCTGCCGGCTTGCACCCAAGCATACCTGTTTCTTGCAACAGGTCTAGAATGTATTTTTTCTGAGTTAAAGAAATTCCTTCCTTACTCCGAGCAATTTCCATGCCAAGGAAATATTTGAGAGATCCAAGATCTTTTAGTTCAAACTGGTCAGCTAAACATTTTTTTAAAGAGGTTATCTCCTCGCTATCATTACCAGTGACAATTATGTCATCAACATAAACGATCAGAATAGCAATTCTTCCTTTGTCGGAGTGTTTAAAAAATAAAGTGTGATCAGTCTGAGCTTGGGTGAACCCTCTTCTCTTAACAACTTGAGTAAATTTCCCAAACCATTCTCTGGGAGATTGTTTAAGTCCATAGAGAGACTTCTGCAACTTGCACACAGAACCATCCCCTTTTTCAAAACCAGGAGGTGGATCCATGTAAACTTCCTCATGGAGATCACCATTCAAGAAGGCATTCTTAACATCTAACTGTTGCAATGGCCAATCAAGGTTGGCGGCAAGAGATAGCAGAACGCGGATAGTGTTAAGTTTGGCAACAGGAGCAAATGTCTCCTGATAATCTATCCCATGAGTCTGAGTAAATCCCTTAGCAACTAATCTGGCCTTATACCTATTGATGCTATTGTCTGCATTGAATTTTATTGTGAACACCCACTTGCAACCAACAGTTTTCTTTCCTTTAGGTAATGTCACAAACTCCCATGTTCCATTTTTTGTAAGTGCATCCAGTTCTTCTAATACTGCATTCCTCCATTTTGGGTCATCAAGTGCTTCTTGGATATTTTTGGGTATCCTGGTACTATCTAACATAGTGTTGAAAGCACGAAAACCTGGAGACAACTTTTCATATGAGATATAATGGGAAATAGGATGAGCAGTGCAAGATCTAGTACCTTTCCGAAGAGCAATAGGCATATCAACGTTGGTTGTACTAGTACATTCAAGTGGGTTGCTGGAACAAGGACTCGAGTCAGGATCCTGGCAGTCTAGAGTATCTTCATGTGTTTTGCGCCTGCTGTAAAATTTTCCCCATTTACCAGGAGGATCACAAGGAGGATCATTAGATTCAGGTATAGTTGCTCCCCCTGTTTCCTTCCCAATAACTCCACCTGTTTCCAAAGGCAAAGGTAAGAGAGCAACATCATTTGGTTTCCCAAGCTTATCTTCATCCATACCAATACCAATAGACTCCCCCTAAAGAGAAGTCGGGGAAAAAAAGGATTGTGTCTCATAAAAGGTAACATCCATGGAAACAAAAACCTTACGGAGAGAAGGTGAGTAACACTTATAACCTTTTTGATTAGGGGAATATCCTATGAAGACACATCTGATGGATTTAGGGTCAAGTTTGGACCTTTGATGTGGAGGAATATGCACAAAAACCACACAGCCAAATATTTTGGGAGGAAGAGAAGAAAGAGCACTGAAAGAGGGAAAGAATTTAGTAAGACAGGATAAAGGAGAATGAAAATTTAGTACCCGAGAAGGCATCCGATTAATGAGATAACAGGCTGTCAAGACGGCTTCCCCCCACAAATATTTAGGGACATGCATCGTGAATAAAAGAGCTCGAGCAACTTCAATTAGATGTCTATTTTTTCTTTCAGCCACCCCATTTTGTTGAGGGGTGTTAGGACAAGAACTTTGATGAATAATTCCATGTTGGTTTAGGTAATCTCCAAGAACTGAATTAAAATATTCAGTACCATTGTCTGTTCGCAGAATTTTGATAGAAGTCTGAAATTGAGTTTGAATCATAGCATGAAAGTTTTTAAAAGTGGATGCTGCCTCAGACTTATCTTTTAAGAGATATACCCAACATACCCTAGAATGATCATCAATGAAAGTAATAAACCAACGAGCACCCGAGACATTTTTTTCACGAGCAGGTCCCCAAATATCACTATGAATCAATGTAAAGGGAGAAGATTCATGATATTTCTTAGGAGAATAAGTGACACGAGAGTGCTTTGCAAGCTGACAAATATCACAAAGAAGGGAACTTGGCTTTTTATTGATAAATAAGTTCGGCAATAACTTCTGGAGATAAACAAAATTTGGGTGTCCCAACCTACGATGCCATAACAAAACATCATTACAGTCATCTGATAAACATAGAGAGTGGTTCGAAAAAATCCTCTTTACACAATGAACATCTGTAAAATAGTATAGCCCTTCTTCCTCTCTAGCACTGCCAATCATCATCCCCGAGTCCTGTTCTTGAAAGATACAAGCATTTGCAGAGAACTTAGCAACACAATGCAACTCAGCAGTAAGTTTGCTAATAGAGATGAGATTACAAGTAAGAGAGGGAACATGAAGTACTGAGTTCAAAATAATATGCTCAGAAAGTTTAATGGATCCCTTTCCCGCAATAGTGGAGAAATTCCCATCAGCTGTTCTTATTCGTGACGGGTGATAGTAAGGGGTATAGGAGAAAAATAAGGTTGCATTACCTGTCATGTGATCAGAGGCTCCTGAATCAAGGATCCAACGATTACTATGTTCAACATGGAATGCCATACCTTTTTGAGCAACATGAGTAGTTGCCTCAGCAGGTTGAGACATCAATTTCTGAAAAGACGAATTTTCAAAATTTTCAACGTCCATGGTTTTCTAACAACAGGTACCCAGAAAAAAGTTCCTCCAAATACGATTTTGACCCTCAAAACAGGAAGAGGGTTGCTCGCAAAAATCAATGAATGAGAGCAATCTTGGCTACAGTGAAACAGTAATTGCTACAGTAATGAACAGTACTGCTACAGTAATGAACAGTACTGCTACGGGTCTTCTGTGGGCTGGCTCAGAATCTTGTTCTGAACCTAATGGTGGCCTTGGTTTCGTGGTTGGAGGTGTCTAGGTAAGGATTCTGGCTTGGGCAGTGGCTAAAAACGAAAAAAAAGGAATAGGAAAATGACTTAAAAATAAATCAGAACGGGGAACAGACTGGAATATAACCAGCTCTTGATACCATGAAGAAAAGAAGAAGTGGAAGAAGTGTTTTATCTGAATAATACTTTCTTGATTCATTGAGAGACCCAATGGGTCCTTTTTATATTGAGTACATCCAACTACCTCAACTACTTTAATAAATATACAACCACAAACTACATCAATAAATATACATCTACCAACTACATCAATAAATACTATCTAGAATATTCTACATATTCTACAAATTGTAATGTGTTGTGTATTAATATATTGTCTTCATTTGCATTTTGTATAGGATGCTTGCTTCATATTTCCTGGTATTGTGGAAAAAGTTATGAACATAATAATAACAGTTCCAACTTACAAGAGAATAAGAAAAAATAATTTAGGAAAAAGTTATTAAAAAATGGACTTACAAATTCCATTTCAAAGCTATCATTAGTTAACATGGCTTGCTTCACAGCCAAATCTATGATTGCTATCAATTGTGTGTATAAGACATCATTGAAAAATTCTTGAGCCTGCACATAAAGCTCACCTGATAGATGTCCAAAATATCAAGTATGGTCAGTCTCGTGAATATCACTATCTGAAGCTAACTTGGCTATGGTGCAGATAGAAACTTAAAGGCACGACTATTAATCCATGAGTAATGTACACAGATAAATAAAATGAAAATCAATACATTACCAAGACCATGCAAAATCTCCTGCTTGACCTTGTCGGCAGCATTGCCACTGTAACTGGATGGCTTTTTCAGAACAAGCTCGTAAACATCAATCACTGAAACAAGGTAAGGCATCGGCATATTTCCCTAATTCATTAAATTATGTCAGTACTTAAATGAGTATATTACAACTAGTGCTGGTTTCTTATATTTGTTAATTGATTAAAAGCCAATATGGCTAGTGTCAAAGATGACATGCACTTAAGGGAGACTAAATTCAGTTGCATATTTTTCATCTACAAACAGAAGATTAGATCTAATTAAGACCACTACCCCTACCTTCGATGAATGGGAGTTAACAGTTGTCTGCAAACAATTTATTCCTGCAAGTGCTACCTCTTTACTACCATTTAGAATGCTATTCTCAACAAATTGAAGCAATGATTCCCAGCCTACATAGAACCAAACTAAATCAGGACCACTTGTAAATTGCATCAAATGAAACTACCAGATACATCAAATTTTAATGATGAACCCACCAGACCAGAAGTTACTCAAGCTTGTGAAAAAAGGAAAGAACAACCGTAATATACGTGCTATTCCACCAAGAACAAGCACCAGAGTTTCATCCCACTGCTTTTGCGCTGTGTTACGACTGCAAAATTCATCAGACCACAAGCATATATCAAGTAATTTTAGAAAGTGTTACCAAGATTAATGAAGTTAACTACAGTGCATCTATAGTAAAAGGTATAAGTGTCATTATCCAGTCATAGTAACAGCATAAACACAGGTGTAAGGGTAGGTGTTATGTAAACTGTCAGATTTTTTCAAACATACTTTTCTCTATATCTTTCAGTCTCCCTATTCCTCGACATGTTATTATAGCCATGTTACCCTCCTGTCAGTTTCTAAGTCCGTTTTGTTGATTAAAAAATCAGATTATATCTTGTCTTTCTTGTGATTTAACATGAGTCGTTGTCCACTGATTTCATTGCAAGTTGTGGTCTGTTTACCTTGTTAAGTTGTCATTCATTGCCAGTTGTTCTTGAAGCTCATTACAAGTTGTCCCTGTTGGATATTTGACTCAGGTGCTAAAGATCATCTCTGTCGTAATAAGGAACTATTTACGTCTCATACTTATTCTGATCATTTACCTTTTTTTAACTCTTGCTGATGGAACCAAAGCCCCAATTAGTGGGATTGGACAAGCTCGTCCGACCTCTACCTTGACCTTGACATCTGTCTACTACATTCCTTATAACTTAATTTCTATTAACCAATTGGTCCACTCCCTCACTTGCACCATTACTTTCTCTAACCATTTTGTTTCTGTGTAAGATCCGAATACGGGGAAGACGATTGGAGTGGGTCGTGAGTCAAGGGGGCTTTATTATCTGGTTGTACCTCGTCCAACAGTGGCATGCTCTCTCACAGAATCTCCACAACTTATCCACAGTCATCTTGGTCATCCAAGTCTTTAAAATTGCAAAAGATGGTTCCTCTTTAACTGGTATTCAATCTTTAGATTGTCTGTCGTTTCAGCAAGGGAAGCACACACGTTCCTCCTTTGACTTTGAGTTAATAAACGAGCTGATGCTCCTTTCTCTCTTATTCATTCAGATATTTGGAGTCCAAGTCGTACTTTGTCTATTTTAGGTTTTTGGTATTTTGTTACTTTTATTGATGATTATTCCCATTGTACCTGGGTTTTTTTAATGAAAAATCATTATGAGTTATTCTCTATTTATAAAAAGTTCTTTGCTGAGGTTCATACTCAATTTGGTGTTTCTATTTATATTTTACGTAGTGATAATGCTAAAGAATATGTTTCTTTTGACTTTTCTAATTTCTTGGCTACGCAAGGTACTTTACACCAGACCACTTGTCCTCACACTCCACAACAAATTGGGGTGGCCGAACGTAAAAAAGGCATCTCATTGAAACTACCCATACCCTTCTTATTCACATGAAGGTTCCTCTTCACTCCTGGGCGGATGCCATACTCGCCTCTTGTTTTCTCGTCAATCGCATGCCTTCCTCTGTGCTTAACAATGACATTTCCTATAACCTATTGTTTCTAGATGCTCCTCTTTATCCTCTATCTCCACATGTCTTTGGTTGTACCTATTTTGTTCATGATCTCACTACTGATAAAGACAAGTTAACATCCAAAGTCTTTAAGTGTATTTCTCTTGGTTATGCTTGTCTTCAAAAGGATTATCGTTGTTATTCTCCTGATCTTAAGTGTTATATTATTTCCGCTGATGTCACTTTTCTTGATCAAAAACCCTTTCATTCTAACCCATCTCAGTTGTCACAGGTTCATTAGGTTCTTTCTGTTCCCTTTCTTGACTTGTCTTTACCAACTGCAGGTGACTCTCTTCCAGAGAAAAGTGCCTCCATCCCTGAGGATCATCATTTTCTCACCTATCAGCGTCATCAGAAAGTTCCTCCTGCGGACTTAATCCTGGGTGACTGATCGCCTTCTCCTGTCACCTCTTCCCCTCCGACTCTTATACCAGAGGCTTTTCGCATTGCCCAAAAAAAAAGGTATACATATTACTCTAACAATTATAATTATTTCTAATTTGATTCTCTTTCATTGGGTAGATTAGCCTCCCTTATTATAAAATTGATTATTTCCTCATTTTTTTCCTTTAATTAGGAAAGTTATTATTAGGATCTATTCCCATTCAACTTAAGATATTGTAACCATCTCTACATGACAACTAATGAAATAATATTCAGTATTTTCCCATATTTCAACTGATTCTTTGTTTTTTGGCTGAAATTAATTTTTCAATTTGTCAGATTTCGTTTATTAAAAAGAAGCTGAAAGCTTATGTATAGTTCAGCTTAAGGAAGAGTGCTAAGCAATGTAAGAAAATTTAGGGAAGCGTTGTGGGATTTAGAAAATGTGTATAGTTTTAGTGCAAGCAAACTAAATGGTGTAAGTGTCATAATTTAGTCATAAAATTATCAGTATAGAACCTTTTTTAAAAAAAAAAAAATTGACTACGGAAGAAAAGAAGAGTAGTATAAATAGTTCAAGACTTAAGGGATCAGTACTGCATACACTGTTCCAGAGTCTTTTCAGTGAATATGTTTTTTACTTACTTTTTTCTCCACCTTTCATACTCCCAATTTTCTCAACCAAATGTATCACTGAGGCCACAAATGAAAAAAATAAGCATCAATGTCAATTTCAAATACCTATGATGTATGAGCATGTGAACTGCTTTTCCTCCTCGAGTTCCAAGTTCTTTCCCTTGCCATTCATCTTTTGATGAAGTAGCAGCCTACTTATCAAATAACCAAAATTTCAAAGTACATCAACTTATGCTGAAAATAAGCTCTCAAATATCATCTAACAATAGTTTCAGCTTACCTTGTGAGAAGCACGATCCAATGTAGGAAATACATAATTCCAAAGACAATCTTCCCACATGCTCTTTGAAAGCTTTTGCCCGTGAGTTCCTAAAGTTTGGAAAAGTGTCCTAACAGAAGAATTCCTTACCTGTAAAGCAAAATTTTCAGTGCCAGAAAGACGTCCAGCAATAATAGTAAAGAGCAATGTTATTTAGGTGTTACTGGGTTTTTACTGTCCAAATTTCCCTAATTGGTATAGTAATAGTAGAGAGCAATGGACTTTGGAGGCCTATTATAGTTGTACCACTTTATTTAGGGAGAAGATTAGGTTTGTGATTTATGGTCCCTTCTTGGTTGTGTGGTGCAATCAAACACTAGTTGTAATACATAAGAGACCCTAGAACTATGCCAAGATGTCTGCTCTTCTATTATGTTTTCTTTGATTTTTTACACAACCCTTTTATGTTTGAGATAGCAGTTACAATTCAACTCATCAAACAATACTTGTTCCTATACGGAAGTTTCCCCAAAACTCATCAAAGTTAGAACCTTAATCGCACAGGTACTTTCACAACTCCCAAACTGAACCTAAAAGCCCCTTGACCCTCATATTGTCTGCACATCTCCCTTAGACCCTTACTCTCACATACACCCACTGAACCTTCAATTCCTATGCCTCACCCTCCTATTTCCAATCAAAGAGCTCTGATACTTTGACAGACTTCAAGTGCCCAGTCTTCAACCTCACTTTTTACCTTTATATAAATGCACGCGAGAAAGAAATTATTAACACTGTTGACTGAACCACATTCCTTCTGATGATTCATGGCACAGGCTACAGGTGCAACTTGCATCTAACAATAACTACATTATCAGCAGTTGAGATAAATACCAAGAAACAATAAAATGAGTGGTTTTGTTAGGGTTCTTCGTTGGAAAGAGCAGTACTGGTAAGGGATTATGTAGAAACACAGCTCCAGAGATAAGAGAGAAAAGAATGACTTATGTTACTGTGAATGAATAGAACAAGGAGGTAACTCCTACACAAGGGTAACCCCCTCCTTCAACTGAGTCTCCTATACTCGGATAATAAAAACCTTACACATCGGACTGGTAATATTTTTCCTAAACAGACCAAAGCAAATAGATCGTTCTCCTCCCTTGGTAAAGCTACAGGCTACAGCTACCCGTAAGCCTTGGCCAGCCGTTCAAAAGCCAGACTAACAAGTGAAAGAGGGAGTTCCAAAGCAACTGTGACTCATGCAGTAGACAAAAGTAATTTCGACTCAAAGATAGATAAAGGAAATCCCATTGAGTAGTTCCCTATTTTGGATATCATAAAAGTGAAAGAAAAAGGGCTTCTTAGGTCAGCTAGGTCAACACAATGAATATCCAACAAACTACCATATGTTCCCTTCCCTTTCTACTTAATTACTTTTTCCTGCTCAGACCCAACTGCCTTCTAACTAACTTAACTATTCTGACTGCCTATGGTTTTTTCCTTGTTTCTTCATGTGTACACTTGCCACACCCGCTTCCCTTCATGAGGGTGTCGAACAGGTTTCAATATAAAAGTCAATTTCTATGGCCATAACAAGCCCCATAATAATAATAATAAATAAATAAATAAACTTTAATGATTACGTAAGTCCATGAGATCTCCTTACTTCTCACTTAGTTCATAAACTCCATTATTACCCACAAACGATTCTGAGATGCTGCTTGTTCCCTTTCATACACACAAGAAGCCTCCTCAGTACCCTTGATGAAGAGATGTCAATTATACAAGAAAATACTACATCAGTATCTTCAAAGAAACATCCTCAAGGCTTAGCTTATCTAATATTAAAAAAATATCTTATTCACACAAACCAAGGCAAACAAATCATTGCCACCTCTGAAAATTGCTTATGACAATCCTTCTACTAATGTTCTCATCGATACTATTCATATTGACTTACAGCAAGGCTGCCATTGGCTTTCAATAGTACACTGTCAAAGTGTCTCATAAACTGAAATGTGTTACACCATTACGGATTCAAAATAGAAGAGTCAGAGAGAGATTCAAATGCACATCACTGGTACACTCAATGAGACTCGATTGTTGATTAGAAAGATGGCAACAGGAGAATTCATCTTTACACATAATGAATCTTTCATGGACTCTCTTCTGGGAGAAAGCAGCAAAAGGAGGAGAGAAAAGGGGGAAGATTGGAAAGTAAAAATAGGATTAGAAATTTATTTGTCATACCTCTGGTCTCTCATCCGCCCCAAGGTTTTGAAGTAATGAGAAAACAGAGAATAGAAGCATCTCATAATCAACATCATCTACATAAGAAGCTTGGTCTCTCACATTATTAGAAATACTATATGTTTGATCATCCATCTTTTCACCATGTATCTGCTTCTCTATTGAACCAACACCTGAAAGGTAGTAACATCGTAAAATACATAGTATAATTTCAGAACAATGACAGTTTATAAAGAGGTGGCTTGACAACAAAATCTGGACCTGTTTCCTTTTCTTCAAAAGGTCCATTGAGAAGGCCCTTTGCAATGAAATCAGTCATAGTCCACAGGAGTCCAACAGCTGTCAAGCTTATGTTCAACTCCGTCTTTTGAGCACTGTATGCTCCAGTCACATCAACACACCTGTAATATAAGTTTTAATGAACATAAGAAAACAGAAGGAGCCCATCTACTAGCTAATATATGTGTGGGCATGCATGCATGTCAGTATGTATGTGCAACATGAATACAACATTCATGAAGAAACTCAAGCACATAATTTCTCTCAGGATTCCAGCCCAATAAAGAGAGTCAGAAATTAAAAGAAATCGTATGTATGCAGTATGCATGCAGGTAAGATGGAACTTGGGATCTCACACTCGAAGGCAGTCTGTGGGTAAGGTGGACAGTCCATCATTCATTATCACTCTTAGGTTCTAGAAAGGAACAAAAACTGGAAATCAGAGCACATTATAATTTTACAGAGAACAGGATAATACTAAAAAAATATGAAAACTAATATTTTTTGGTAGAACATGAACTATTTAGTTCAAATAAGAAACTACAGCTAGTCATGCAAGACGGGTTTCAGGAAACTTTAAATAAGCATGAAGTACCAAAGAACAACATTTAAGAATTGGATACATGAATAAGAAATTAAACAAACAGGGAAGTATTGGAATAAATTCACAAGTGATTATCATTTAAAATAATTCCACTGAATAAACATGTAGATTGTAAAGTAATGAGAATTGACGCATATGAAACATTTAAAAGCATTCTCAAATGACAGATTAGATTCACGGCTTGAAAATGCCATATTTAACAACAGAAAATGCCATATAAATACTTTTTTGACATGTAATAGTTGAAAACCTCATAAAAAGGATGAATCAAAAGTCAAATGAGAAATAAAAAGAAAAAAGAAAAATCCAAAATAAAAGAAAGCCATACTTATCTGCTATCGTCTATAAATAAACAGACAGAGGGAGAGAAATCTAACAAACACAAATGAAGGTTGAACAGCTCTAAAGATGATATTCACGTGTTTCAGAAGTAAAATTCATAGTCCATTCATTTTGAGTAATTTTACTGAACTCAATTTGTCTGAGTTTTATGTATTCTGATAGATTTTATCAATAAAAAAACAATAAGTAGAGTGAATCACTATTTTAAAAACCTACACCAAGCTCCCTCATACACTGGAAGTTTGTAACAGGAATAGAGCTTTCAAGAGAAGTTTGTGAAAAATAGGGAAAACCCAAGAAGGTTTGTGTAGGTTTAGAGAACAGAGGGAAGGTATATGGAAAATAAGGAAAATAGAGGTAATGAAGGATAAAACAATTTACTTTTAAAACTATTCGACTAAATAGCAAAAGAATTATGACCAAACATTTCATAAATTTAGAGAGAAATTTTTGAGGAAAACTACCAAGAGTAATTGGACGCACGGAGTGTAGATAGACAAGCAGTATAGATAACAACAGTCAAGAAAAGGTCACCATTTAATTAACAATATTTTTCAGAATTTAAATCATAAGTAGCTAGAGAAAAGTGCTCGTGGTCAATTCAATATACCATTAGCCCCACTGCAGCAATAAATGCAGCAAACTAACTCAATATACCTGGAAACCGAGAGTAACCAGATCCTTCTCTGAAACATCTGCTACATACCTTGCAGTAAGACGAAAGTACAGAGATTAAGCAAAGTATTACCATTAGACAGGTGCATAGACGGAATGATAAGAAGGCCAACCTCAACATTTCAAGTATACTAGGCCAGCTGTAATGAAGTTTTTCTCCATATCTCTGGAAGAATTTGTGAAAATGATATCATGCGAAGAAACTAAGAGTAAGGAAATAAAAATAATGACAAAACTTGACCAATCAGCAATAGCATTACCTCTAAGACATGCAAGAGAATTTTCAAAGATCCAACACGGACATCTATGCTTTGAGTAGAAAAATAAAGAACCTTCAGTGGAGATATGACAGAACATTCAAGAGACCTCAACTTATCAAGACTGGCTTCCATCTGCATATCATGGACACACATTAAACCCTGCTTTTGATAAAATATGGGGTTGCCAGCTAACAAAGGGGTAGAACGCCTCACTTCCTGAGATGTTTCAAGAGACTTGGATTGTTTGTAGTCTTGGAATTGGTCAGAACCTAAGACTGCAGATATAGATTGATCAAGAGCATCGAGTGCCATGCTTTTCAAATGTGGATTAGAATTATCAGCAAGCTGCAAAAGCACATCACGTCAACAGATCAAGAGGGACGAAAATGAAACTAGCATTGCGACATCAAGGAAACAAAAAGAGAGACAATAGGAAACCTCAAGAAAGTGACTAACAACTTGATCCCAAAATGGCTCTACTCCTGTGGTGAAAAAAGGATAATAAAACAATCTTAATACCTTCACTCAATAAAACATTCAAGAATGAAAATATTCACAAAATCCAAATAACTAAATAGAACCTAAATATCATAAATATCTACCCTTGAAAAATGGGGACGTGAGAATGAACAAATAAACAACATCCAGCATAAAAGTACATTTACTATCAGGCTTATAGTTATTCAAGCTACATACTGTGAACATTATTCACAAGGATTGATATCATTCTCTCCACTGAAAAGCTGATGCTTCCAATTTTTTGACTTGTTGTTGGTCCCAAACCGCTCGAAGTAACAGACATGCATTGATGTGAAAGTTGACATAATGCGGAGAGGAGGGACTTTACAGCAGATGTATGCATCAGAGCAGAGCTCTCAAAGAGCTTTCAAACAGATAAAATACCGGGTTAGATCAAATGGCGCATATATTCTGAAAGGAAAGATGCAGAAAGAAACAAAATGAATGCTTAGCAATAAAAGTCAAACTTGCATACTCGACAGTGAAATTGAAAAAAACTTCCAAGAAAAAGAGTTAAAAAAGGAAAACATATTTTGACAAGACGAGCCCGCCAGCACAGTAAAAATATTATAAAGGCATCCATACTCATCCTAGTTGGGTGTAGTAGTAGAAAAATTAAAATTGGTTTACTCACCTGAGAGTTCAGAGAAGATAGTATATTGAAGTCACTGTATTGGGTAGATGACTCCCTTGTGAACTTTGGGACAGGAGTAGAGACCTCCTGCAGGTTTCATGGTCATTTACTCTGTAAGCTTCAATTGAAGACACACCAGAAAGAAATATCCAACAAAACTATGATGTATATGAAATTTAATTTGACAAATATATATACAAAGGGCAAACCCAAGTACACAAGGCTTCCCAACACAACACAAATATATATGTGTGTGTGTGAGAGAGAGACAGAGAGAGAAAGTCATATTAGAAGTAAAAAGGAATAGAGTACAACAGGAGAAGATAAGAAATCATTGCTAGCAGAGGCACAAAAGAGAAACAGAGAAAAACCAAACGAAAATGTCAAAAACAATAAAGCTCTCCATATCGCTTCATGAATTATTTGCTAGGGAAACTGTTACAATCCAATTGCAAGGTATGGGAGTTAGAGGCTACATTAATGATTTTATATATCTCAACACGTCCTCTCACACGAGAGTCCACTAGGCTTGAAGAGTGGACGATGCATAGGCCCACCTACCTGTGCGAAGAAAGAAATTCCACTAGAAAGAAAGTGGGGGCGGTGAGGATCGAACCCGGTACACCGAGGCTCTGATACCAAGTAAAGAGCCAATTCAACCTAAAAACTTAAGCTTTTGGGTGAGGCTACATTAATGATTTTATATATCTCAACAGAGTCCCACATCGGAAACATCAGGTTCTGGTGTGGGATTTATATGGACTTTGGGCTCTCCTACCTTACGAGCTAACTTTTGGGGTGAGATTCTCCCAAGGATCGTATCAATTGGTATCAGAGTCTTCCACTCTATCTCCTGGTTGCAGTCGAGCGGCACTTGTGACGCTGGCATTGCAATGTTAGTCCAAGGCTAGTAAAAGCCTAACGAAAAGTCAGGCCGCCTGAGGTTGCGGAGCATGGTGGGATGTTACAATCCAATCCAAAGTATGGAACTTGGAGTCCAACATCGGAAACATAAGGTTCTGGTATGGGGTTTATATGAACTTTGGACTCTCCTACCTTACGAGCTAGCTTTTGGGGTGAGATTCCCCAAGATTCGTATCAAAAACTAAGAAGAAAAAGGAAATAATTGTACGAAGCCTGTATCTTGAGCCTAGAACTTCAACTATAAATAGAGGCCTAGCCTAACCAAACCAAATCACTTTCAATTCTCAGCATTTCTCTTCTTCTCCTCTGCTACTCTTTCTTCTTACTTCAAATTTTTATTTTTATTTTATTTTTTTATTTTGTTATTATTTTCCTTTGGCTACCAATCATACTTCTCTTCTCAAATCGCTTTTCCTTCAAGAAGTTATCAAACACGAAGACCAGGTAATCATAATCTTAGGTTATCTTTTATTTGAAATTTGATTTAATCTTCATGAAGTAATAAACTAATTATATATGAATTTTTGTTTAACGTAATCCTAGTCCCTAGAATTCATATGTTAATTTTTTATAGTGAAATTATGATCCTAATTATATCATAGGGTTGTTTTATTTGAAATCTGTTATATGAAATCTTAATCCTTAGGAAATTTTAAGATAGTTTCAATTGGAATATTCTATATGTAATCTTTGGAATATTTTAAATTAAATTATTTTAACATCAAGAAATTGATATGTTAATTAGAAAATTATTTCTGGTATAACTCTTTAATGATATGAGTTGGATAATTGATATGAATTTGATAAATTCATAGGATTAATTCAAATAATGGATAAATGATATGATTTGAATTAAGAAATGATAGTTGAATTTGGACTTTGCTCTAATATGATTTGAATTATGAAATGATAGTCGGATTTGGACTTTACTCTGATAGATATTTGAATTATGATAATGGATATGAGTTGGACCTTATATTGTATATTTGAATAGTTTGTAAAGTTATGATGCCCTTGAGCAACTGATATATTCAAAGAAGAAATTTTCAAACATGATAATTGTGACAAGATTGAATTTTCTGATTGTGTGTGATTGTAATAAATTAATAGTGGGAAGATAGCTTTTAGGATGGTACCTCCTAAAGTGATGAACACAACTTTTGGGCTTTATGCCTCTGATATTTATTTGATGCGAAAAGATATTATCACTTCTTCTCAAAGTGGTATCTGGCAGGATATCCGGGATACTAGTAGCAGCTTTGGAAAGAGGTGTGCATACTAGGAAGAGATGTTTTGATAATGGCCAAATTTGTTTATATGTGACTGGCGGGATTTCTCGGGTCACAGGGTAGACTGGCAGAATCTCCGGGTCTACCACGATTCTCTTCCCACTAAATGAACTTAAACATGATTAATAATGGAATTGATACTTGATTATGATTAAGTTATATTTTGATTATTGCTGGATAATTATTTATTAATATCGTGATTAATGTTGAGATTATTATGCTAATATTTGAGTTATATTTTGTATTGATACTTAATTTGATTATTATGTTATATTTATTACTTTATTTGAATAATTGAGTTATATCTATTGTATGTTGGATTGGGATTACTAGTTTTTGCTGATTGTTTGTGTTTGTGTTTGTGTTTTTGTGCTGCAATGATCTTTCGGGGGAGCAGAGTTTCAGTGAAGCAGGTTGCAAAGTTTGGGGTGAGCAGTGAGAATAACATCTCAGACTTTTCAAATTAGGCTTAGGATTTATGAATGTATGAGATATGATCATGAATTTTCATTTTAAAATTTTAAATGTTTACATTGAATATATTTTGGAATAAGATTATGTTTTAGTTAGCCTTGCACTTGTCCTTGTTACATGTTCGTCGATAACATTTTCCCAAATTGATTTATTTTAGCTTCCGCAATATTTATGTAATCTTAATAAATAATTAAATGTTATTTTTGACAATTTCTCTATTATAGGAATATTTTATTTTTGTTAAAATTGTTAGAAATTTAGGGGTGTTACACTTTCTCCTTTCTCTCTCGTTCTCTCTAAACTCTAATAAAAAATAAGAGAGAAAGGTAAAGTACTTATCGAAAGAGGATAGGACATGCACCAAAACATAAAAGACAAAAGGCAACAAGGAACTTTAAAATTAAGCAGTATTGGTCAACGATGGAATAAAAGAGAACAGAAGTTGAGCTAAGATTTAGGCTGAAAGATGGGACAAAGGATAGAGTCCACTAACTTGTGATGACTGCAAAAATTTAATTTCAATTACGATAGCCAGTAGAAGGAAGTAAAATTCAAACTCCTAACACTGCTGAAAAATACTCAGGAACTAATTACCCCAAAAGCTTAACCTATAAGAAGAACGCCCTGAAATTGTTTTGATCTATATCTCTGACAACAATAATTACATTGGGACTCAGTTATCCCTATACTCTACTTTTAGCACATAGCTTGGCACTATATCTTAATAAACACATATTGTCCACAAGAAAGAAGTCGCTGATAACGTGTTGCTAATTCAAGACTTCCGCAAAACTCTTGGATGGCAATTGAAGCCCATTTTCAGTGAATAACAGAGCAATAAATTAAACTACCTGAGTAGTGGCATGTGGGGAATGAATTGCTCGATCTAAAGCAGCTAGAGTTTCCAACACCTGCAGGTATTCATCGTTACCACTCATTAAGTAAAAAATTAAATCTACTAACAGATACCGAGAAAAATGTAACAACGTACCAAAACCCAAGATGGGCCCAAAACATTATGCAATCGATGAGCAATGTTAAAAAGAGTTCTCAAGGCCTGGTTCACAAGATCAGTCAGGGTGAAATATATGAGTAGTCGCAATCAAATATACAAATCCACTGAGAAAAATGAACTAGAGAAAAATGAAATTACAGTCAAGTCAAGTGAAGGCAAAAAGTACAAATTGCCATGCACAAAACCAGAAGGACCACCTGTACATTCTTGGGAGTAAGCACAACGCTATCCCTCTGATCAACTGATAGTTCTGATCGTTTTGATACAGGAGACGGCAAAGCACTGCTAAAATCTCAAATTTTAGCCAAAATCTCAATACATAGCTTTGAATTCTTGAAAGGCGCCCTAATAAATGATAAGCAGAAACTCCATACCTCCTTTTTTCTGTTTCAACAGGAAAATTGATGGTGAATTTGCAAAGCGATGCAAGAAACGAGTTTAAAGGTTCTACAGCTCGGAGTATCCCACAAGCCTGTGGAATCATATAATCCATATATCATTTTTAAAAGTTCAAAGTTGACTTTGAATGCCACCCAAATTATAAAAAAAAAAAAAATAACCAGAACTGAGTTACCTGAGTGATTGCCTGATATCCCTTTAATATTTCCAATACAATGGCCTCTCCTTGTGACCTTCAAATTAACCATGTACAAAATTTTATAGGATGAATTTCTCACAAAATCCAGCAGATTATAAAAGTCCCCACCATGCTGTTCAAACTCAAAATTTCAGATAAATCAGAAACTAAATTTGTGCTCTATCTGTATGCCTTAATAAATACTAAGAAACTATTTTACTTTATTTTCAAATATAAGAAAATACAAGCCATATTTATATCCAGTTTTTCTCAAATTTCTCATGCAAGAACATGGAAATTACTTAATAATCAAAAGGTTGAAATTGAAGGAAGTCACATTTTATAATAGGCTATTTAATGGTGTAAGAGCTTTCCACCAGTGTCAATATCTATTTATACAAAATGCATGTACAAAAACAAACCTTGATAGAATAAGGGATAATGCATCAAGTATTGTCAACCACAGTGAGTCAACCATTGAGATGCAGAGAACTGCAGTTTTACCAGTCCATTTTACTGGTGGATCGTTACCACATCTAGGGGACTCAATCTGAATGGACATAGAGAAAGCAGGCCATTAAGAAACATAACCAAAAGAAAGTAGAAAATTGAAATGGAAAAACAGAGAGAACATATAAAATTACCTCTCCAACATCTATGGCTTTATCTGTTAAAGTTGCAACAGTGAAGACAACACCTAACAAGCCTTCGACTGCCAAAGTTATGGCATGTGCTTCACTGGCAACTAAGACTGCAGCATTTGATGCATCATTATCTAGACTCCATTCAATACCTACAGAAAGAATATCTCGTTTATTGCACACATCACAAATCATTCACATACCACTACTACACTTAAATAACCAGTAACCACCCGGATTAAGTAAACTTAAGACTTGAGCAAGACTGGTAGCTTTTGCGAAGGTTTAGTCAGAGAACAGAAAGGTATACTACAAGCAATCAACCTCATCAACTATACCATGTCATACACATTAATATTTCTATCAAGAAGCAACTCTCCCAAAAAGCTAAAGCTTTTACGTGAAGGCACATGAACGGTTTCTATATTATATTTCCAACACATCTCTTCACGCAAGAGTATTTTGGACTTGAAGGGTGGACAATGCATAAGCCCACTAACCAATGGTAAGAAATTCCATATTATTTATCAGAAGAATGGGGTGGCAATGATACAACACTAGACCACTTTGTCATAGAGGCTTTAATACCATGTCCAGAACCAATTCTCCCAAAAGTTTAAGCTGTTAGGTGAAGGCAAATGAATAGTTTTTATATTATATTTCTAACAATTTCTTTTGAAGTGACTTCCAAGACAAATTCAAATTTACATTAAAGAACATTTTCCGGTTGGTAAAATACAACCTGATTTACATCAATTGACATTTCTCCTTTGCAATCTACTTATAAATTTGATTATAAATTTACATTAAAGTTATAAGCTCAGCACTATCTAGTACAGAAATTCAAGTAGATTAAAGTTACATTTGGTTTGCTTTAATTGGGGTCGAGGGTTGGGAACAGGCCAAAAGTGTGTCTAGAAACTACTATTGAAAGGGAATTGGTATTCCTTCACTTGAAAGTGTTGAAATTCTAGGGATTAGATGAAAAAGTGAAAAGAGAGAGAATATGGGTGTGTTTGACTGTGTTCTGGTGTTTTTTGTTCTTAAAACTGTTTTATAGAATAGTAAATGAAATACGTGTTTTCTATTTTATTTTATTTTTGAAAATTAAAAGTTAAAACACAAAACAAAAACAACACAAATATGTTCTCTGAATTTGATTCTAAAAACAAAATAACAATTACAATCTTTAAAAAAAATTTACAAAACAAGTCTTGCTCTTATCAAACGAGTTTTTCAAACAGGCCCTATATTTTAATAATAGAACTCTGAATAAATGTGATGTTGCAATTAGAGGTGTGCAAAAAAACTGGTTCACTTGCCCTGCCTTTGATCTAACCTTGACCTGACCCATAAATACCTATTTTTTTGAACTGGATTTAAATACTGACCCACTTTTATTTGGGTCAATTTTAGACCTGACTTATTTAATAATTGACCCATTGACTCAAAACTCGACCCATACCCATTATGTGAAAAAAAAAAGTAAACAAAAAATCACAATCTCGGGTCTGTTTGATTGTGTTCTGATTTTTTTGTTCTTAAAATTGTTTTGTAAAATAGTTATGGTAACAGTTGTTTTCTATATTTTTTAATTTTTGAAAGTTAAAAACCAAAACAAAAAACAAAAACAACTCAGACATGTTCTCTAAATTTGATTCTAAAAACAAAAAAACAGTTATAGTTTTCAAAACATTTTTTACAAAACAGACCTTACCAAACAAGTTTTTTAGTTTTTTTGTTCTGAAAACTAAAAAACTGTTTTTAAAAACAACAATCAAACAGAGCCCTCAGTTCCTATTTAAACGTATTTTATTTTGGAAAACACTGTATTTTATGTATACACACAACACACGAGATGAGTGGATATTATATGACATAAACATCATGATAATGTTCTAAAGTTTCAAATTATGTAATGATATCCACACGAGATGACCAAGGCAATGAAAAAAAATTGTTACACTAGTGTGAATAAAATACAGTCATTAATGTGAAAGAATTAATTGATGACTATAATCTATTATCTAACAATGATTTATACCTTTGATTAATTTACATAAAAAAATGTGTATTAGTATCTGGGAAGAAGTTTTGAACTTGTAGTTTTGCTATCTGAAGGTGAAAGAGGAATTGTTAAGAACTCAGAACCAACTTGTTCAGAATGCTGAAAATATCCAGGAGGAAGAGGATTGTTCTGATTAGTGGGTGGATTAATTGTTGCTGTTAGAGGGCTAAACATCTGACTTGAAAGTGGTGGAGAAGCAGAATTAGTATTTAGACTTTTATCATGTAAATCATCCATCCATTTAATTGTACTTCCTGCTAACTCCCTCTTCTCTCTCTTCTGTTTCCTTGAGAAGAAAATCAACCCACATATTTGCAAAGCATTGAAAGGAGAATAAGAACTTATTCAAATCTAAATTCGTGATATGGAAAACTCGTCAAAGTTGATTGAGTTAAATGTGACAAGACCAATATGCAGTGCAGTATTTGTAAAGAGCATATGAATAAATCAATAAATTACATGAGTTTAAAAATTAAATCAATAACTATAAAAAAAATCAAATTAAAAACAAATTTTGAAACCAAGTCAGAAATGGGTCAAGTCGGATTTGACTCAATTTTGAAACTAAGTCAGACCCACTTTAAAAATCAAGTCAGGTCAGACCCAACCCAGTTTTGAACTAGTTCAAAAAAAATCAAACCAAGTCAGACCTGACTTGGATCAATTTAAAGCGGGTCGGGTCAAAATACCTGATTTATAAAAATCAAGTTGGGTCGGGTCGGCACAAAAACCTGACCCGACTTGACCCATACACACCCCTAGTTGCAATCCACTCCAGCCTTAGATAGAATTTGGAGTGCAGAGAAAATGGAAGAAAAATTAGAGAAAGAGAGATCAGAACTGATACAAATGTTGAAAATGTAGATTATTTGAGAATATTCAGAACATTGTACATGTGTAGTATATATAGCTAGGGATCTGCAACTGTCAATCTAACTGTGAGCAACAAACTGAGCAGTTACTGCAGTACTAACTGTACTGTTACATACAAGCAAACAGAATAGTAACAACTGCTATAATATGCCCTGCTCAAACTCGGGGTGGGTGAGTCAATGAAAATTGATCACAGACCCTGAGTTTGTCTCTCAGTTCACGGAATCTGCCGGTGGACAGAGCCTTGGTAGGATGTCTGCATATGGATCATGTGCATGAATATGTAGGACTTTTGAGTTTTGTTTGGCACCTTTCCTGTGACAAAGAGGTCAAGCTCAATATGTTTTGTCGAGGAGTGAAGCATAGGATAGGGTACTGTGCTGAGATAGTCAGTATATACTGGGAACCTGAACTGGAATATTCAGCTCTGCAAGAAGACATCGGATCCATAGGAGTTCAGTTGCTGCGCTTGGCAGACTTCTGTGGCCAACCAACCAACTATTGTTTTTTTTACCACCAGAAGTTGAGATTTGGGCCGGTGGGCCCAAATAGATGCATGATCCAGAAGTGTACCTCATGTCATCCGGATCAGATTTTGATAGTCTCCAACATTCTTTTTTTTTCATGGAAATTCCACTTTTTTTGCAATTTAAATGACACGGAATATTCTGAATCTGAGTCACTTTTACACCTCCTTGACTGTATTCATTTATCTTCCAACCTGGATAAAAGGATTTGGCCCCTGATACTTATGTGCAATTTTCATGTAAATCTTTTTTTCAGCTCCTCACTCATTCCCTGAATAGGAAAACCTTTCTTCTTCTAAAAATTTAAAAAAAAAAAACGGCGGATATTCTTCATCTTGATAAACTGTCGTGGAAATCCAAAGCTTCCTCTAAGTCTTTGATCTGCTCAGAATCTGTACCTTGCATGTTCTTACATTTTTTCTACTGCCATTACTTTATGGCACTTTTATTTGGCCCTTACGGTGACTGTTGGCTGTGTCCTAGATCCCAGGACCAATTTTTAATGGTTAGATGCCATGTTTTTGGCAGAAGTAAAGAGGCTAATTCTTTATGGCAATGTGAGTATTTGGTTAGAGCAGAACTCACATATCTTTAAGAGGAATACATAGAGTTGAACATAGTACAATAAGAAATTGAAAGATTTCGTTGAAATTGTTCGTTTGGAAATTTCCCGAAAAGCTAATCATAGGTTCTTCTCTCCATCGGAACAATAGGAGGTTTCTTTTTGACCACTTGGGAGTTGGTATATGATTAGGTGGGTTGGTAATGTAAATATTAGAATTATTTTATTATTATTTTGTAATAGTTAGAATACTCTATAAGTGTATTTGGGCTTAGCCCATTAGGTTTTTTAGTCTCTTTAAATAGAGAACTCTTGTACAAATATTATACAATTCAATAATATAAAAATCTTCTTTTCTAGTTGGTATCAGAGCTCTCGATTCTGAGGGCTCTACTTCAGCAAATCACTGCCTCTAAAAACCAAACCCTATATGCCTCTCTCCGCCACCTGAAAAAAAAAATTCGGGAACCTTTTGGACTGTGAGGACTCCTGTTTCACTCTGCTTTCTCAATCTATCATTCTACGGAGATTTCTTTTTTATCAAACGACCAGAACAGCTCAGGAAAAAAAAAAAAACATATTGTTTACCGGTACTGTTTACGCGTACTGTTCACATGCACTGTTCACCGGCACTGTTCATCGGTACTGTTCACGCATACTCTGTTCATCAAGGAGAAAAAAAAGGGAAGAGAAATTTATTTTATTTTACTGTTCTGATCGACTATGTTTGATAAGATCACACACCCTATATCTCTTCTCACATCTTGCACTGATTTAAAAAATTCATGGATTATGGATTCTGGTGCAACTGATCATATGACCTGTCTAGCTGATTCTTTTCTTTCATATCACCCTACTAGTGGTATCCGTACTATAGTTGTAGCTGATGGATCCCACAAATCAGTTGTGGGTTCTGGTAACATTCAAATTCAACCTTCTTTATTTTTTAAAAAAAATTCTTTATGTTCCTCAGCTCTCTACCAATCTTATCTCCACTTATAAGCTTACAACTGACATGAATTGTGTTGTCACTTTTTTTCCTACCAATTGTGTTATTCAGGATATCACCACAGGGAGGACGGTTGGAGTTGCTAAGGAGCAGGGTGAGTTGTACTATCTCATTCCACAGCATGCTACAAGCGATACCGGGAATCAATTATTGATGAGTCATCACCCATCTTCTTCATTCCCACAGATTTGGCTTCATCACAAACGCCTGGGGAACCCGTCATTTGGCTTATTGAAGTCAATGTTTCCTTCTTTGTTTAAGAATCAGTCAATTGATTCCTTCCATTGTGATTTTGTGAGCTTGTGAAACACCACCGTGTGCCCTTTCCTTCAAGTTCAATAAAGAGTATTGAATCCTTTACTCTTATCCATTCGGATGTTTGGAGCCCTTATAAAGTACATAATATTTCAGGTGCTAGGTAATTTGTTTCTTTTATTGATGATTGCACTCGGGTGACATGGATATTCTTGATGAAAGATAAGTCAGAAGTACCAAAATTGTTTATTCGATCTTATCAAATGATCGAGACACAGCTTGGTAAAAGTATTAAGCGATTAAGATCTGACAATGGTACGAAGTATGTCAACCAGCGTCTGTCACAATTTGTTTCAAATAAGGGTATGATTCATGAGCTCACATGCGTGGATACCCCTCAACAGAATGGGGTTGCTGAAAGAAAAAATCGACATTTGCTTGAAGTCACTAGAGCATTATTGTTTCAGACACCTATACCCAACTCTTACTGGGGAGAAGCCTTATTAACTGCAGCCTATTTGATTAACCGTCTGCCTTCCAGAGTCCTTGGCCATGTAAATCCTGTTGATCTCATGACCTCTTTTTTTCCCTTCTGTTCCAATTATGCAAAGTCTCCAGTCTCGTATCTTTGGATGTGTTGCCTTCGTCCATATCCATAAACAACATCGGAGTAAAATATAGCCTAGAGCTCTTAAGTGTGTCTTCCTTGGTTATGCTCCCAACAAGAAAGGATACAAATGTGACCACCCCCCATATCGTAAATTCTTTGTCTCTATGGATGTTAGCTTCCATGAATCTGAGTGTTACTTTCTACACCCTCAACTTCAGGGGGAGAATAGTATAGAAGCTTCATCCATTTTCTTCAAGTCTGAATCTCCCTTTCTGTTACCTGCATCTTCCACTCCAGTAGTTACACTACATGACAATGAAAAGGAAGACTTAATTGCTGAGGCTGAAAATTCATCTGATTCCTCATGTGATATGCCTCCTATTGATAGACAAAAGTACGCAAAGCTAGGACACCCGAACTGTTGTACCAAAGGAAGAAACAACCCACACTGCCCCACCAGCAATTGCAATCGCCTAAACCGCTGGTAAGTACTGAACCCACTACTTCTTTTATTCTTGAGCCTGATATTAATTCTGATGACTTACCCATTGCTGTAAGGAAAGGTGAAATGTCTTGTACCCAATACCATATTTCTCATTTTGTCTCATCTAAGAATCTCTCTATGCAGCATAGAAGTTTTATTACAGCACTTGACTCCATTTCAATCCCGAAATCAGTACATTAAGCATTAAATGATGATAATTGGGTTCAAGCCATGCATTAGGAGATGAATGCATTGGAGAAGAATAATAAATGAGAAGTTGTTGCCAGGCCAAATGGAAAAAGGACAGTAGAGTGAAGATGGGTGTATACTTCGAAGTATAATTCTGATGGAACTCTTGAGAGGTATAAAACTCGATTGGTAGTCAAAGATACACACAGACATATGGCATTGATTACGAAGAAATATTTGTTCCAGTGGCTAAAATGAACACTGTAAGAGTTCTATTGTCCCTCGCTGCTGATTTTAGCTGGGATTTGAATCAATTTGATGTGAAAAATGCCTTCCTCAATGGTGAATTAGAAGAGGAGTTTTACATAGAGATTCCACCAGGATTTAACTCTACAAATGGAGATAATAAAGTTTGCAGGTTAAAGAAGACGTTGTATGGCTTGAAGCAATCCCCGCATGCTTGGTTTGGAAGATTTATCAAAGTTATGCTTTCATTGGGATACAAGCAAAGCCAAGGGAATCATACACTTTTCTTTAAACATTCTCAGGAAGGTAAGACCAATATCCTTCTAGTTTATGTTGATGACATTATTATAACAAGGGATGAAATAGTGAGAAATATGCTCTGAAAAAAAGACTGACAGCTGAATTTGAAGTTAAAGATCTTGGAAAACTGAGATATTTTCTTTGGATAGAAGTAGCTCATTCAAAGCAAGGGATATTTATTTGTCAAAGGAAGTATGTTCTTGACCTCCTTAAAGAAGCAGGAAAACTTGGGTGTAAACTTTCCAGTACTCTGATTGAGCAAAATCACAGACTAGGAAGTGCAAATGAGAGCTCTCCAGTTGACAAAGGACAATATCAACGAATAGTGGGAAGACTGATATATCTAGCTCATACTAGACTTGATCTAGCTTATGCAGTTAGTGTTGTTAGTCAATTTATGCATGATCCGGGGGAGAAACACTTGCGAGCTGTGGACAAGATTCTCCAATATATGAAAGGCACACCAGGTAGAGGACTATTGTTCCAGAGAAGAAAAAACCTATCTTTAGAAGTTTATACAGACTTCGATTATGCTGGATCCGTGACTGACTGACGGTCTACTTCGAGCTATTGTATGTTCCTTTGTGGAAATATTATAACATGGAGAAGTAAAAAGCAAAATGTGGTTGCTAGATCAAGTGCAAAAGCAGAATGTCGAGCTATGGCTCAAGGTATCTGTGAGTTATTATGGCTGAAAATCATTCTCAATGATCTCAAGGTGAGGTGTAAAGGATCTATGAAGTTACTTTGTGATAACAAGTCAGCTATCTGTATAGCCCACAATCCAGTTCAACACGATCGAACCAAATATATTAAGATTGATCGCCACTTCATTAAAGAGAAATTAGACAGTGGACTGATCACTACTCCATATATTCCTTCTGTTCGTCAACTGGCTGATGTCTTAACTAAGGGTCTTCCTAATAATAGATTTCAAAAACTTACTACCAAGCTGGGAATGATAAATATCCATTCCTCAGCTTGAGGGGGAGTATTGTAAATATTAGAATTATTTTAGTATTATTTTGTAATAGTTATAATACTCTATAAGTGTATTTGGGCTTAGCCCATTAGGTTTTTTAGTCTTTTTAAATAGAAAACTCTTGTACAAATATGATACAATTCAATAATATACAAATCTTTTTTTCTAGTGTTGGTGTCTATTTGGTGCAGCTCATGGCCTTTTTTACGGGGTTTCCTCAAACAGATATGTCGAGGGATTGGGAAGCTGTTACATATTTACATTAATCTTCTTTTTCATGTTTGTTTTATGTTTTATTCTTTTGTTTAAGAGGATCCCTTATCCTCCTCACTCTTTCCAATTCCTTCTCTTCATCTCAATAAACTTCTTATTTTATAAAACAAAAAATCATTTACACAAAAATCATTCCAGCAAACTAAACTAACCTAAAGGTGGCCAGACATGAGCTCTGAATCATTAGGTCAAATAGGTTTTAATAGTTTGATTAATTTCCAAAAATAAAATAAGAATTCAAGAGAATAAATAGAGGAGTTCAAAGAAGCCAAACAACAAAATATACAAAGAGCAGAAAACATAAGCATCAGCACATAAGAGCTATCAGCTAGATGTGTTAAGCATAATCCTGGTGCACAAAGGCTCCCTAACTTTGTTATGATTAGGGTGAGGGCTGATTGTATACAGCCTTACTTTTGGATTTTTGCCAAAAGACCGTCTCTTAGACTTGAACCCATAACATTCTGATCAAAAGGAGCAACCTCACCACTTGCTCTAAGGCTCGCCCTCATCAGCTATATGTGCTAAGATATGAAAAACCACAATTCCAAAATAAAAATAAAACCTTAGGAACAGAATAATTAAAGAAGAATTGGCATAATATCTAACAAGCAATTTCTGAAAACAGGAAATGATATTAACGTATAATCCAAAATAGACTGAACAAAAGAAATCTCCCTATAGGATTACTGTCAGACTTCCCACTATGAGCTCAATATGAAACTCTGGGTATATAAAGGGAGTCAAAACAAATATTTGACTTCAAAAAGAAGATATACATCTCAACAAAATTGTTCAACTTAAATATGAAAATAAATACCTTTGGCTTTGCTACTAAACATTCCTGCAACAGCTGCCAGGCTCTCCTCACTTGATTCTTGAAACTACAGAATGCATCAAATTCAAAACGTATTTTCAAATCTACACAAAGGACAGAGACTCTATGTTCCATAGTCTATGCATGTTAATTAAAAGTTTGATGAAAAGACGCATTATAGTCAGCTGAAGAAAGCAGGAAGTATTCAAAACAAAACAACCAGAGTTATACCATTCAATTATTCTTTGTACCATGACCAAATGACTGTGAAAAAAGAATGGAAGAATATGCTGACAAAATCATACCTGTACATTTGAAACAACCCTAGCAAGAGCTTTGACCATTCCCTCCACAACATTTGTATTCTTAGGGTTCCTACGATGCCAATGGATAGCAGCAATGAATACATAACAATGAACTAAGGTCATGTTCTTTTAATCCATATATCTTTACACCAGAGATTGTCATATACAATAATTATGATTATGGCTTTATCAATGACAAATAAGTAATTGATGAGAGAAGAACACAAAAGATTTGGATATGGTACTAAACTTCAACATATTTTTGCACTACATCAAGTGACCACCACTAACCTCGTAAAAGAAAGCACAATTATAAATTTTCTTATGCCCATGGTACTGAATATACTATAATACTATGTGGAAGTTTCATATAACTGATGGAAGTATATTGAATCTTGATAACTAATGTTCCTCCAACAAATGGGTCTCCGATTCATGTATACCATAGAAAGAAGAAAGGGAAGGTCGGCGGCAGAATAGGTAATGAGTAGTGGAGGATTCTGTTATAAAGGACCAGAGAGAGGTCTAACCAAATGTAAGGATTGGTGCAAAGGGTACTGGAATCATGGGCTGGAGCATGAATATGATGGACAGAGAAGATGAGGAAGGGGCATCACATCATCTGGGTAGTTTGGGTGGTTTAGGGCCTTTAGGCCATTTGAGCAGAGGTAGCACCTTGCCTCTCTGATTTTCTTCTTTCTATTTTCCATACTTGTCCCTTTATTCTCTGATTCCTATATGGGTAATTGGAGATTGCTCCTACTGTTTAACACTATTAATACCAGAACCTATCAATAACATTGCCGAATTGTTTCATCAAGACAAAAGTTAAACAGTAAACTAAAAAGAGGATGCGGTTGGTCACACTTATGGAAAGTCCTTAGATGACCAAGTAATCTTATTTTAGCAGTTGCTGGTCAACAATCAGAATTTATGTTAATAGGAAACTAAAAAGTAATCTTATACCACCATCTGGAAGGCTAGGGAAGCACAATTCAATATTTTCAAATTTCAAGTATACTATAGACTACCAAAAATTAAGTAGTTCTCCTGTCCAGGATTGAAAACTGCCTTACTAAAGAGCAGATTTTATGACTTACCAAATACCAACCAAAGGAAACTCTATGAAACATCCAAATATAACCCAATTGGTAACAAAAATTTGAATTCTATTTCATGTCTCTTCATGCATTATAAATTTATATATGACATATGGTCCATTTCTTGCAGTCAATCAGAACTAAAGAACTATATTAGTCAGTCAAACAGTCATATTTGTGTCCTTTTATCTTTTTCTTAAAGACATAGGAATTTTATAAGAGAGAAAAAAGGGAAGGTTCAAATTTCCAGAATCCAGAGGAAAAGATATCATACTACTACTCTAGGTTGTCAGTAGCGGCCTGTAGCGCCGCTAAACCGCTACCGAAGCGGGTAGCGGCGGTCGGCCGCTACAAACCGCGACGCTACGCAACATTGGCCGTAGCGGAAGATAGCGGCGTAGCGTAGCTGCAATACCGCTACCCGCTACACCACTCCCATGTTGGAATTTGATGGAGAATCCGGAGATGATGATGATTTTCTTCAATAGTTCACTTCTTGTACTTGACTATTTGACAATTTTATTGTTCATTTGTGTTTAGTTTTGGATCCTTCCTTTATGTTCCTTGTATTTGACATTGATTGTGGAATTATGTGTTTGATTTTGTGTGACTTCTTATGTTTAAGCATTAATACTAAAAGCGGTGTTGCCTCGTTTCTTGACTGTTAGTATAATATATGTGGAATTAATACTTCACCGTAGCGGCAATACCGCTACCCGCTACACCGCTATACCATTTTCGGGGTCGTCCGCTAACTGCTGCTGACAACTATGCTATTACTACAAGAAATATGAAAAAATAAAGAATGTAGCAAGGCTGCCCAATCTCCCTGCATGTCAGAAATGGTCACTCCTTTAAAACATCAATGGGTAGAACACCAAAGAGAAGCCACATATATTATCCTATCCCATAATGAGTATAGAGGCAAAGAGACACCCTTAAAGACCCAAGCATTCAAATGCCCATATGCACCAAAGAATTGCATAAAATTGTCATAAAGGCTTCACAATGTGCATATCCTCAACTACGATTTACTCCCTTTTACAAAAGTTCTATCAGTTTCTTGATTATGTAAACATGCTGGGTTTAGTTGTATCTTCTATAGACTTCCCCAATTCTATGTTAAATCTAAATCTTTAAAATTTTCAATGGGGCCAATTAGCAGTAATCTATCACGGCAAGGTTAGACACACATACTAGTAGGACAGAACAATAGTTATGAGGCATACCAATAAACCAATGCCTCCTAGCATTATGCACAATATCATTAAATGAAATATATACACATACACACACACACATATATATTGAACATACATATCAAAATTTTGGAAAAGAATCCGCAATGTCCGTGCCTCGACACAAAATCCCTACACACCACCATTTCTAGTTGTTAGGTTAAAGATTTACAGAGTAATTCAAAAACTCATGAAAGAAATTTAAAAAGAATAATACTGCACATCTACATTACCCTCAAAATCTCAAGAACAAGAATCCGATGCCATAATGGCAAGTCAAGAAAAGTAACCTTTAGTAACATACTAAGAAAAACCTGCACATAAAAGAAAAATTAGCATCTGTCAGTTTTGTTGAGATGCTATCTAAAATATATTATGACATGACATAATAAAAGCTTTACATGCTTAGCGTACGTAACATCATGCAGTTACCAAATTTATCCCCCAAACCAAACCCAGAAAAAGAAATCTGCACTGAGTATTTGCATATATGAATTGGAATGAGCTGAGTGACATGATGGAAAAGGAAATAGAAAACTTACCTCACATTCAGTGATAAGGGAAGAACTGTAAAGCCTTATAATATGAGCAACTGAGCGCAAGACCAAACGACAAAAGCTAGGCTCACCAGTTTCTCCTTCAAGCTGATTAATATATTAAAGAATTATGAAAAGTATCCTTTATACACTTGAATGACAGGAATAAAGAATCTCAATGGTTAAACAGAGTCATCATAGATTCATACTACGTGTTTCAGGGCACTAATTACCTCAGCATTGGTACGGAGTGAAGTCATGAGAAGTGAACATATCTGCCGTTGTAAAGCCTAACAAGTTTTGAACAAATATATTAACATAAAAGAACAAATGATATGGTAGCATCATTAAAGTAAAGAGCAGCAACAATGGTTACAATAAACATATTCACCTGTTGATAGGGCAACAAGGTTTGGAAAACAGCCACATAATTGGACAAAATGAACCTGTAAAAGATGTCCAGATTATCATAATGAAGATTGAAGGGCAATGCAGATTCATATATTGTTTCAATAGAACAATTAAATAGAAGTCACCACCGTGGTGTAGCCAATTCAAAACCATTAAGATGACCTAATCTGTACAATACTATAATATAAATGGCAATGATTTGATAAGTGATGTAAGTTGAAACAAGTGAATGTATAACTAACTAAAACAATTTATTAGACTTTCAAAAGTCTAATAAATTGTAGACTAATGAATTGTAGTCTAATAAATTGTAGTCTAATAAGTCGAAGGCTAATGAAAACAAGAAGCCTCATGCCATGGTAGACTATGACATCATAAGAAAATAAAGTACTAGTGAAAAGATTCTATTAGAGGACGAACGACTGCATGAGGTGTGTTATAAACCATTTTGAAGCAAAAAAAATAAAAATAAAGGAAACAAACCCAATGCAAATAGCTCATAAGTCATAAATTGTATAATAAGAACTAATCAACAGATAAACCAATAATTTAATTTGTACCTCTAAAGCATTCCAGTCATCTAATTTAGATGTTATTTTCAATTTACAGAACAAATTGTAGCTACATACGCAATTGGATATGTGACATATCATATCTAAAAAGTAGAGGATGTATGTTAGAGTCCAATCAGCATTATCTATATGCAGCCAAATTTAAATAGCCAAAAACATTAGAAATTTAGAATATGATGTGACACCAACATGGACCATACACCCTGTGTTAAGAAAGTCAAAAAGTATCCTCTCTCTTTGTTTTGACAAAAATATATTATTAGAAAGGAAGGATAGAAAGTACATCTCTGAGGGGTGGAGGCAATTTCCTCCTAAATAGAAAAATGAAAGAAAAATTTGTGTGTAAAACAAGTGGCTCATAAATGCAATGTAATGTAGCTGTCCCGCAAATTGCATCTTTCCAAAGAGATAGCTATCATCATAAAGAAATGACATCAAGCATCAATAGCAGCTGGACTTCATAACAAGCAACTTTTTCAGCCTGTAAGCTTAACATATATCAAACCTCTAGCACCGAGTAACAAAGAAAAGGAACGTTTAGCCAGACACTTCTATTTATTTTCAATTTATTTATTCATCCGAAATTTCCAAACTTTATGCATTATAGACCAACAGATTCTCCATACAGCAGAAAACATAAATGCAATCAGTAAATGAATTTAAAATAAATTATTAAATTAATACCTTAAAATATTTATAAATCACACAAGCTATTTTGCAGCTTATTACTTTCATGTTGCAACATATTTTGTTTTCCTACTTTTCTTCAGTGAATAAGAAACGCAAGCACTTCTATTTTCAAACAAGAAAGAAAGACATAATAGAATAAAAAAATGATGTATCAAATTAGTAAGATGTTATCTACTTCAAACATTTATTTTGATTAAAAAAATTATAAATGTCAATCATGGTTCACTTAAATGACATTTAAACGAAGAGCACAAGGAATAGATAACTGATTCCAGGTATCTCATTCAAATATCTGATTGCATGAGAATCTGCAAATGACATATACCACATGTTGAAAAATATTTCTTACTCAAGAATATCAAGTGCAAATGTCCTCTGAAGAATATTAACACGTAGCCAAATCGCCTGTAGAATATATAGGAAGTTGATGTCATCCGGTAAGAATTTTTAAAGAATATCAGAATCATCATTAAATGCATGAATAAATACAAATGAGCACCTAAACGAGTTTCTAAATACTCACAGACAAGAAATTCCAACAAAATGGATCTAATGCTACGGGGAGAAAAAAAGTAGTTCCAAATAATCACATACAGATCCACCTGCGGCAAGAGATGTCAGGTCTTCAAGCAAGCGCAGCCCAAGTTTTCCAGTTTCAGTTAAAGTCTCCCTCATCACAGCAGGCCCTCCAGAAGCAGAATTATGATCTAGTGAGCTGTGCACGATTATGAACATGGTATCACTGTATTAGTTAAAATCCTGAGAGTTAAGCAGTCAACTTGAGACAACACCATTAAATAAGTCCTTATCAACAGGCCCCTCTAATAATATGCAAAATCAAGTAACATACCCACTTTCATCTACGAAAAAGAATAAAAGAACAGTGATCCGGAACCACAAGGGGGAAAACATACTCAGACAAATTGATGCTACGGTTAACATCACCAGTAACTGAACTTGTCCGAGAGAGCTGACCTCCAAAACCAAATTTGCTGGCAGGAAGAGACTCAGCCAAAACTACCCTATCGAAAATCAAGGCCACAGCTTGCCTGAAGGTAGCTGCAGCAGTACTGCAAAGCAATTGCATAGTACACATATAAATAAAAGGGAAAAATATTTAAATCTTTAGAAACATAAAGCAACTGATGAAGGACATAACACGGACAAAGGTTACATGGAGAAAAGCTTGCTGAATCACAACATGATAATATATATAAGCTTACTTGCGAACACTATCAGAAGATCGAGTGTTTTCAAGAAGCCTGAGACAGATACCAAGAGCTTGAGACATAGTATCCTGAAATTAAAAGGATATATTGATAACAAGTCAGACACACACACAAAGGTGATTCCAGTCTGTCTATTTTTCAGATACAAACATTGAAATCGAACAAATCTAGGAAAGCATAATATCATGAAACTAGCCTCCCATATCCTTTTTTATTAGTATTTTCAGTAATCACATAATGATTTGGCCATTTGGCTGGATGCTGCACCACATGGTTTGTCCAACTGCCAGTTCCCCGAATGCCCCAGGTGTATAAAGAATTTAACCATAAAACCAAATGAACCATCTTTAGATAATTTTTATTACACAAGGTTCGTCTCTTTCTAAGTGCAAAAGCGTACAGAATCTGCACACAATAAAATAAAATTAATGAATTACCATTCAACCTTTTGCTTATACTGGATTTTGTGCAAAGTATGGACAACCTATACAGCTAAGATGAATATATACTAGTTCAGGTGGAATATGATCATTTGGCACTTCGGGCAGTAGGTTCAGCGTCTACTTTCACACATCCCTTCCATGTAGTCCAACTTGGAAAAAAATCAAATTTATTAGAATGCTTTTATTTAATTTTACGTAATTTTTCTCTTGTTAATACATATCTCATTTAATTCATTTTTAATTTATTTTAGAAAAATTCAAAGTGTGGAATAAATATCTTTTTGGTGAATTGAGAGTAAAAAACATAAAGCAGTAAATGATATAGCTTCTTCAGACTTGTTAGCTAGTGCAATTGATGTGCCTGAGGATCTACAAGCCAAGTTAGCTTCTCTGCCTATAAGTTTCAGGAACTTCTCTCCAAAGAGGAAACAAGGTAGAGGTAAAAGACTAGACTTAAAAGGGACGAGAAGGAGATGCAAATTCCAGGATTTTTAACAGGGATGCAAGCAGAAGGCGTAATTTTGATTAAGAAGTTGGAAGTAGAGGAAGGAAGAGTTAATAAGAGTCATAGAGATCATAGGAATATTGACTTGGAATAACTACATTTTATAAGATTATTTCAGGGAAAGGAAACAGTGTGATACAACTGGATCAGAAAAATGCAAGAACAGAAAAGAAGAACAGGGATTTTTGACCCAGAAAGAATGCTTTCTGGAATTTTTTTTATATCATAGAAACTGAATTTACAAACCAAACAGAAAGGAAACTATCTGCAGAAAATTAACGCAATTACAATTCAGATCTCCACTACCAGCTACAATTACAGTAAAAGAGAAAATATAATCTCAACACGTTAGAGAGGTGATGATCTGTCCCAAATCCAGGTCCCAATTCCAGTCTGAATCTCTCTTTGCTAGTACCTGGCTCATATAATTTCCTCAACCTCCTGCCACATCATTATTCCCTCCCCTCTCTCTACTAACAGCTCTAACAGAATTGCCCTCTGTTAGAAATAATATAATATTAAATAGCATTGTCTTATTTATTATTCTGTTATTCTAGCAGGTTATTTGGGCTTGGCCCATTAGGTCATTTAACCACTTTAAATAGAGGTCTTTTGTACCGTTCTATACACAATTGAATACAATATATTCATACATTCTAATTTGGTACCAGAGCTCTTTGTTCTGAGAATTTTCGCTTCCGCTAAAACCCTAAGCCCACTGCTTAGGCGTTCTCTCCTTCCTCCAGCTTGGTTCTACAATGTTCACGCGGGGTTTTTTTTTTTTTTAAAAAAAAAGTACTGCTCACTGCATCCGTACAGTCCGTACAGATTTCACTGTTCACCGTCTGTACAGTCCATACAAATTTCATTGTTCACCGTCCGAACAGTCCGTGCAGTTTTACTGTTCATCGCGTCCGTACAGTTTTGCTGTTCACGCATCTTTTCGGCCATTCTGAGACAGAACAACTCACCTTCCTCTCCTATTTTCAGATCTGGTCATCTCTTTTATTTTTGTGACGGAGGGCTCAAGTAATGTGTCCAAAAACACTACTGGCATCATCTCCAGTACTATCCCATCTCCATTCTTTTCTCGGGCCAGTGATTCCAATTGGAACAGTGGACGCGGTCGCTGACGTGGCCGCAGACAGAGGCCTCGTTGCAATTATTATCGGAATCTTGGGCATTTTGAAGAACGCTGCTATAGGAAGTACCCTCATTTGAAGCTACCGACTGCCAACTTTGCTCAAACTGATGCTACACCACCTGCTACTGGATTAGTAACTCTTTCAAGTGCCGACTATGAGGCACTTCTCAAGATAGTTCCTTCTCAGCATCCTACTCAAGACATTGGTAATCATGTTGCTTGTTTTTATCAATCATCTCTTGGACCCTGGATAATAGACTCAGGTGCTACTCATCATCTTTGTAGTAATAAAGATCTCTTCACTTCACTTTTTTATTCTAATAACCTACCCTCTGTCACTCTTGCTGATGGCACTGAGGCTCCTGCTCGTGGAATTGGGGAAGCCAACCCAACTCCCCTTTTAACTTTGAGTTCTGTTTATTATATACCTGGCATTCCTTTTAATTTAATCTCTGTTAGTCAGTTGATTCATTCTCTTTCATGTACTTTTACCTTCTCTAAACAATCCTTTTCTATGCAGGATTCAGGTACGGGAAATACGATTGGAGCGGGCATTGAGTCACGAGGTCTCTACTATCTGATTGCATCACCTTCTCCAGTAGCATGTTCTCTCACAGAGACTCCTGAGCTAATTCACAGCCGTCTGGGTCATCCAAGCCTCTCCAAGCTATAGCATATGGTTCCCTTTTTATCCAGTCTTAAGTCTTTAAACTGTCATTCTTGTCAGCAAGAAAAGCACATTCGCTCCTCCTTTGCTAATAGAGTCAATAAAAGAGCTAATGATCCTTTTTCTATTGTTCATTCTGATATTTGGGGTCCGAGTCGAACAATGTCTATTTTGGGTTTTCAATATTTTGTCACCTTTATTGATGATTTCTCTCGTTGCACTTAGGTTTATTTAATGAAAAATCGTTCTGAATTATTTTCAATTTATCAAAAAAATTGTGCTGAGATAAATACTCAATTTGGTGCTTCTATTCAAATTTTGCGCAGTGATAATGCAAAAGATTATGTGTCTCTTGAGTTTTCTAATTTTTTGGAGAAAAGTGGGACGTTACACCATATCACTTGTCCACACACTCCACAACAAAATGGAGTGGCCGAACGTAAGAATCGACATCTGGTTGAAACTGCTCGTACCCTACTAATTCATATGAATGTTCCACTTCGTTTTTGGGCAGATGCTATAATCACCTCTTGCTTTCTCATCAATCGCATGCCCTCTTCCGTACTCAATAACGAAGTTCCACATAGTGTTTTATTTCCAGGAGCACCTTCCTATCCTCTGTCTCCACATGTATTTGGATGTAACTGCTTTCTTCATGATCTTACTCCAAGAAAAAATAAATTAACATCCAAAGCCGTCAAGTGTATTTTCCTTGGATATACTCTTTTTCAAAAAGGGTATCGTTGCTACTCTCCTGATCTCAAGCGTTATATTGTCTCGGCTAATGTCACTCTCCTTGATCAACAACCTTTTCATTCTATCACATCTCAGATAACACAAGTTGATCAAGTTCTTCTTGTTCCTTGTCTTGATTTGCCTTTACCAGTTGCAGGAGACTCTATCCCGTAGGAGCGGCCCCTTGCCTCCATCCCTGAAGACCGTCCTTTTCTCACCTATCAGCGTCGTCAGACTGCGCCTCCAGCGGATTTGACCCTTACTGACTCACCGCTTGCTGCTGTCGACTCTTCCCCTCCGGATCCTCCATCAGAAATTACTCCCATTGCCCTTCGCAAAGGTATTTGATCCACTCGTAACCCTCATCCACTTTATAGTTTCTTGAGTTATGATAGACTTTCTTCACCACATTTTATTTTTGTTTCTAGTATTTCATCTGTTTCTATTCCTAAAACCACAGGTGAAGCACTCTCTCATCCGGGTTGGCATCAAGCAATGATTGATGAAATGCAAGCACTTCACTCCAATGGCACATGGGATCTTGTTCATGCTACTTCTGGAAAGTCAGTTGTCGATTGTCGATGGGTATTCACTGTCAAAGTTGGTCCTGATGGCACTGTTGATCGCCTCAAAGCTCGTTTGGTGGCCAAGGGATACACTCAGATATTTGGTCTTGACTATGGGGATACTTTTTCTCTTGTTGCCAAGATGTCATTTGTTCGCCTATTTCTTGCACTTGCTGTCATTCATCAATGGCCTCTTCTACAACTTGATATCAAAAATGCATTCTTACATGGTGACTTGCAAGAGGAAGTTTATATGGAGCAACCACCAGGTTTTGTTGCTCAGGGGGAGAATTCTGGAATGGTATGTAAGCTTCGTAAACCTTTATATGGCCTGAAGCAGTCCCCTCGGGCTTGGTTTAGTCGCTTTAGTTCTGTTGTTCAATCCTTTGGCTTAACCAGAAGTAAAGCCGATCATTCTGTCTTCTATAGGCATAGCTCTTCTGGCCAGTGCATCTATCTCCTGGTCTATGTTGATGACATCATTATTACTGGCAGCGATCAAGTTGGGATTGATCAGTTAAGGAAGTACTTATTCAAACAGTTTCCGACAAAAGATCTTGGCAGACTTCGATATTTCTTAGGGATCGAAGTGGCACAGTCTAGGCAGGGCATCTCCATTTGTCAGAGGAAGTATGCACTGGATATTCTAGATGAGACTGGTATGTTGGGATGTAAACCTATTGATACACCTATGGATCCTAATGTTAAGCTGTTACCCGGGCAGGGGGAGCCAATGGCAGACCCTGGTCGTTATCGCCAATTAGTTGGAAAGTTGAATTATCTTACTGTGACAAGACCAGACATCTCTTTTGCAATTAGTGTGGCAAGTCAATTTCTTGACTCTCCTTGTGACTCCCATTGGGATGCAGTTATCAAGATTCTTCGATATATCAAAAGAGCACCAGGAAAAGGTTTATTATACACAAATAAAGGGAATGCAAAGGTATCTAGCTATTCAGATGCTGACTGGGCAGGTTCTCCTTCAGACAGACGATCCACCTCGGGGTATTGTGTTCTCCTTAGAGGAAACTTGATCTCTTGAAAAAGTAAGAAGCAAACTGTGGTCGCAAGGTCAAGTGCAGAGGCAGAATATCGGGCAATGGGAAATGCAACATGTAAGCTCATCTGGCTAAAACAATTGCTTAAGGAACTACATCTCTGTGAACAGCAACCCATGAAGCTCATTTGTGACAATCAAGCAGCATTGCATATATCCTCTAACCCAGTCTTCATGAGAGGACCAAACATATAGAAATTGACTGTCACTTTATTAGAGAGAAGATTCAATCAGGAGAGATAGAAACAGCATTTGTCAATTCCAGTGATCAACTTGCAGATGTTTTCACCAAGGCTCTGAGAGGTCCCCGAATAGATCATTTATGTAACCAGGTGGGAGCTTATGATATATACGCACCAGCTTGAGGGGGAGTGTTAGAAATAATATAATATTAAATAGCATTGTATTATTTATTATTCTGTTATTCTAGCAGGTTATTTGGGCTTGACCCATTAGGTCATTTAACCTCTTTAAATAGAGGTCTTTTGTACAGTTCTATACACAATTGAATACAATATATTCATACATTCTAATTCCCTCCAAAACTTCTTCTAGAATATTCCTTGTTGCGTCAGCAGCATTCCCAATTGTACCCCTAGAACGCTTTCTAGAATAAACCTTTAAGGCCATCGCATCACAGTGCCAGCCAGCCTTTTATCAATGTAGTAAATTGGTGTTACACAGATGCTGGGAAAAGCATAGGTTTGGAAAGGCCATTTGAGGAGGAAGAAATTCAGACGACTGTTTGGATTTAGAAAAGTCTCCCCATCATTAAGACAAATGATCTTCCAAATGCATGGAGACAGCATAAAACCTTGTCCCCTGACATTGACATTTGTGTGATGTGGTTTTGGAATTTAAAAGCACGCAACCACTTGTTCTTAAGTATAGAATTGGCTTGGCAATTTTGAAACCAAATCTTTGCTGTTTCTGGGTCTCGGAAGCTTTGGGTTTCCCCTGCTACCTTAGGAGACTTTCTCTCTGTCCAGTATTAAGGTTTTGGGAAAAGCATGGATTAAAAAGCCCTTAGCAACTGTGCACGTTTTATTGGTGTTTGGTGCCTTTGGTAGAAGGATAGTGCAGGAAATGTTTTCAACCATTATATCCTATCAGATAGATTCCTGTCCTTGGCCTCCTTCCAAATCAAAGCCAAGGATTTCTTTTAGGGAAGGGGGTTCTTTACCTATTTTACAAAATGGATCAAGCAGCTCATTCAAGTAGATGTATTCTATTTCCTCTTTCTTTTGCTCTCAGGCCTTTGGCATTGTTGGAGGAGACCTTGTCTCCCCAAAACTGATATGAACCCCGCCGAGAGCGACGAGACCCATCAACGAATAAGGATCCAAAGACCGTTTCTACGTTCAAGTTTAAGGTAAAAAGACCATGACTCATTACCAGTAAAGAGGTAAGAACCTTGGTATAGTCAAAGACGCCACAAACTCAGATGGAAATCCATTTGATAAGTCGAAGGGTGAACACCACGGAAGAATTCCGATAAGTTCGAAAACTCGTCAAGGATTCAAAGAGAAAACTCTCAAAATTATGCATAAAATATTTGTCCTGTATTCTCATTGATAGTTTGCCTTTAAATAGGTTTATTATAATCCAAATTCAAATCTTCTAAAATTTAGACAAAATCTCTAAAAATAAGAATAATAACAATCTACGTCCTAAAGATAAGGAAACTTTCTAATTTAGAGCAATCAGAATAAAATCTTAATTAATTAAAAATAAAACAAAAGATAAAATCTAAAATCAAATTAAATCTGAACCAAATTAGCTTTGGCAACCAATGGAATTCGAAACACATCCCAAATCTTATCCTCCAAAATATGCCAAATATTTTGAAGCCAAAATTCTTGAGAATGTGGGTCAACCTTAAGGTGCCATAAATTTTATTTAAACTAGATTTCTTGAATCAGCCAATTGAATACTTCCTTGAATTCTTTTTCTTCAACTCCCGTAATTTCACTAAATTGGACTTGGACTGCACCCCTTAATATCGTTCTCAGATTCACATCAAGAACTCTATCTCTTTCTAATGGAATTTCCTTTTTTCATCAGAAAAGAATAAAAAAATAAAAGGATAATGTAATATAAGCTTAAAAGGGTTATTGTTTTCTAGCTCAATGGCATTGATTGATCCCTTAGCCAACCCATCTGGTGGAATAAGGCTTGGTTGTTTTTGTTATTTAAATAAATTTCTAATTATATATGTACTCAATTTGATACTCTATCGTGGTAAACATTCTCCAAACTGAGCCATGTAATGACTTATGTTAAAATATCAGTTAAAAATTCTACAGCAAGTTAAATACCTCACTTCAGTGACGCACCAATTTCTTGTTTATTGATAGAGTATAAAATTTTTACTAACAATAGCTCAAATTTTAATGTGTCATGTATTGACTTATTCAATAATCCTAATGAGACTTATAGGTAAGCAGCTTTAACTCATTGATCCCAACATGTTCTTAATAGAGTTAAATATAGGATAAAGTTCAATCACTCCAACCAGGAAATTGTCAAATCTGAATGTGTTAGCTATATCATACAGTCCATCTCACAATACATAATCCTTATTTAGATCTATTACATTTAACAGAGTACAGTCAGCTTACCAGCCAACAACCAGGTCCAGCCATAATATAGTTTATATATAGTAAACAGTAACACTATAGTTCATGTAGTTGAAGCTTACCTCGTTTTCAGGGTGTAAGCGTGACTGAAATATTATTGATACTGTTTGAAGGGTCTTGAGCTGAACACCTTCATCCCCCATTTCAGCATGCTGCAGCAGTCAGAGGACAGGAAAAATAAAGATTGGCAGTTTATCATGCATGATTTAGCCTTCCCGCTAAAATGAAACTTAAACATCATGTTCCAGCTCTTGCACAAATCCATAATAATTAAACTCAATCATTGAAATAATAAGATTTGGAAAAGCTTCTATAAACAAACATATCTAGGCCGCAAAATCAACATTATGACACAATCATTATGGCCAAAGAGCAAAGCCAAAAAGAACGATCCCACTGAAAGTTTTGAGAACGTCATTAGGTCTAACTAGTTAACTAAACTTACGTCTTTCAGTGTAGATAAAATCTCCCTCAGAGCTGATGGAGAAACAGCATCATGAGATATCAGTTTCTGCAGACACGAAAGTCCAATAATGCTAAGCTTGACTGTTCGGACCTCACAGGCCATCAAAAAGATTCGTAATATGTCCTCATTATGCGCAATTTCACTAGGACTTGACAATGAACGAAGCTGCAAGTGAATAATAAGAAATGTGAAGACTTGATGATTTCCATCCTTTATCTATGAGATGAAATAGAGAAAACGCGCACACACGTGACACTTTCAAAACTGCTTCTTAGTATCACACTTCTGCATCTAACAGAATAAATTCAGAACGCTGCCAATGAATTTTCTGTATAGTTCACGCTTCCCTGAATATTTATTCGAGCATCATTCAAAATTTTGAAAAAAAAAAAAAAAAATCACATGTTCCTCATTTTCCAAGCAACTTCAAACTAAAGCCTACAATTCAAACCAGACACACGCCATTTCAATAACCGTGATGACCGCCACGGAGTGGAAATTGAAATCCATACAGTCACATTTTCCTTAATTTAAAATCAGCTCCTAAAATAACAAAAAAAACTGCCGCACAATCTTCTGATTTGAAAAATGGAATCGAAATGCAGCAGAATCTCAGAGGTAACAAGCAGCTAAAACCAGATGCAATTTCAAAAGCAATAATTTGAGATGAGACATCTGCACTGAAGAGTAACCTTGAGGATTGCGTGCTCTGCGCCGTCTTTAACAGCAGGATAGCGACGGCGAGCTTCTGCTGAGAGAGAGCGGAGGTCGGATTCCAAGACCGCCATGAAAGCCATCTCGGAAGTGCGTCGATGGAGTGAGCACTCCTGTCAGGATGATCGGTTATTCTGAAATTTCACCACACGGGGAGACAAGCACAGCGCTCATAGATCTTGAACCAGCGAGAGGCATAGATCAGCTGCACTGCAAGTCACACGTGTGGAGGAGACATGGATCGGCGTGGAAGAGAAAGAGTTTGGGCTTAGCAATTATTTAAGCCCGCTAATAAAAACCCATGAGAATGCCTCTGAAACGTGGGCTCTTCTCTCTTCCTGACCAAAAGAAAAACCCCTTTCTTAAACTGACAAGTACACCACTACACGTTAAGGGACCTTTGGTACAAAAAAAAAAAAAAAAAAAAAATTCAAGAAATAATTATTATCGGAATGTAGTGAAAAATATATTTTACTAGAATGTTAATAAAAAATTGTTTAGTAGACTCGTATTTTCTCAAAAAAATAAAGTTAGTTTTACTAAATTTGTAATTGGTTGGTTATGAAATATTAATGGGAATGTAAAGTTATTTTACCAAAATAACCTTACTTTCACATTTTTTATTCAAACATGTGTTTGTATATCCCGAGACTCCATTAGCTGATGAGAAACATATGTCTAATCAAATAGTGAAATAGTACATTGAGTAACAATCACACGGAAATAACACAATACAATTATTAGGGTTATTTTGGAAAAAAAAAATTCGATTTTTGTGCCTCTTACGCTGGAGAGGAAGAAATCCAACTAATATGTGGTATTATTTGTTGGTTGTTCGTCTTTCATTTTACATTGCATTCTTTTTTCTCCAATCTCACTTTCCCAAGCTTTTACAAATAAATCTCCCACCTAAATGGTAACTTATGAAATCATGGCAGTTGATTGGAAAATTAAGAAAATAGATTTTAGTAACTTTATAGTTAGTTACATATATATGTCCATATTATCACATTATCAACCATTGGTTTTTTAATTAACAATTATAATTATGTTATTTAATCTCTAAAATATAGGCTATTTGACCATTTTGCCCCTCATTAATTAATTAATAACCATTTTGTCCCTGATTCGAAACTATCTACCAATCTGCCACTCTTTAATCGACTAACTTGAATTTTTAATCGACTACATGGTTGTTGGGAGATTTAATCGACTAAATCTCCCTACTTAATCGATTAAAAAATCATACTGACTTGTTTTCCTTTGTTGTCTGTTGGGAGATTTAGTCGACTAAATAAGGAGATTTAGTCGACTAAATCTCCCAACAGCCATTTTTGCTTGTTTTGACCATTTAATCGACTAAAAATGCAAGGTAGTCGATTAAAGAGGGGTAGATTGGTAGATAGTTTCGAATCAGGGACAAAATGGTTATTAATTAATTAATAAGGGGCAAAAGGGTGAGAAAGCCCTAAAATATATCCCTTCCTTTAGAGAAACCAAATTCTTATTCTCCCGGGAGCATGCATAGCAAAAGAAAAGGAGATTAATTCTAGTTGGAAACAAAAATTCTAAATAATTTACTCTTCCTCTATTATTTAAAGAACGACATATATCATTTTCTATTTATTTTTTTTTATATCTAAATTCAAATTATTTTAAATTTCATACATGATTTTTAATATTTTTATCATTTAATCTATATTTGTATATTTAAATTAAATTAATTATGCATATCTTTTTTAATTTTAAATATTATTTTGTTAAATATTTTTTCTATCTTTATTTATACTTTTATATTTTACCAAAATTTAAAAATACTGATATAATACTAGCTCCTATAACTTTAATTTTGTATTAGCTAAGTTCAAGAAGAGTTGAATAAAAGAGGTAAATAAAAATGTCTAAATAAGAAGAAATCATTTAAAAGAAATATTAAAGAAGAAGATAAAAATCTATACCAAATAATAATAATAATAATAATAATGATAATAAAAGTCAACAAGGACTTCATGCATCAAAATGATCACAAGGCAAACACATATTATAAGCAGAAGTGTTAACTTGGGTTGCTCCGAGAGCCTAAGCCATTAAGGTAGTTTGCTGCCAAACAAAGTTAAATTTAAGGTGATATTCCACGGTCATAGACGTAGAAGAAACCACATTGATACCTTGATGAATGATGAAGGTACTTGGGTGGGAGAGTCCTCGAGACTAATGACCATGGTAGTGGAGTTTTATAAGAACCTGCACAAGGAAGAAGCTATGTGTGACCTATCTTCCCTATTAGGAATAGATTCTCTTATCTCGACCAAAGAGACCTATAGAAACTAGAGGAATTCCGGACACGATGTTCTCAGTGGGCCGTACAAAGCATCTAGAATTTATGGCATCCATGGGTTATTCTTCGAATCCTAGTGGAATGTTGTGGAAGATTCGATTTGCTCATTTATTGAAGATGTTCTTAACAACCACCAACGAGTTTAAAATGTTAATCAAATTTTGCTTTGTCTGATCCCGAAAGTGAATGTTCCCCAATTGTTTAAGGACTTTTGCCCAATTAATTTATGTAATGGTAGCTATAAAACAATGACTAAACTTCTTGCTAACCATTTGAAAATGCAAATGGCAAGGCTAATAATACCAAATCAATGTAGCTTCATAAAAGGTCGACAAGAAATAAATAATGTCATAATTTCCCAGGAGTTGATCCATTCCATGAGGTATAAGCGTGGAGATAAGGGATGGATGGCCATCAAGGTGGATCTGGAAAAGGCTTATGATATGATTAGTTGAGATTTCTTAAGGGACACCCTTCAAGATGATGGTTTCCCACCACATGTCATTCACCTAATTATGTGGTGCACAATGTCTTGTTCGATTAATGTACTTTAGAATGGCAAAACTACAAAGGAGTTCCACCCATCTAGGGGACTAAGACCGGAGGACCCGTTATCCCCTTATCTCTTTGTCCTTTGCTTGGAAAGACTAGTGCACTTTATCACCTTGTGCTTGGAGGAGAAGAGCTGGAAGCCTATTCTAATAAAGAATGGGGCTCCCCCGATCTCCCACTTATTTTTTGCAGATGGTCTTCTCCTATTTGTGAAGGCATCCCAAGAACCAACAACCAATATTCATTACATGATGGAGTTATTTGTGCGTCTCTCGGTCAACGTATGAACCACAGAAAGACAAGAATTTTTTTCTCGAAATGTCAGCCATTCAAAAGAAATATATCCGAGCTGCCAAATGGGATACTCAGGGTGTGCATGACAACCATTCTATTCCCTAGCACTGTTTCTGAAAAGAAACAATTCTTTTCTATTTCTGTTCCTTGGAACAGTTTCAGAGAAAAAAAATGTGTTTGATAACATGTTCTATTTTTATTTCGAGAATGAGAATTGCGTTTGATAACATATTCTATTTTTATTCCAAGAATGAGAATTGCGTTTGATAACATGGCAAATAATATAATAAAAAATAATTCCTATTAAATATAAAAAAGATTGGATCATCACTTTGCTTTCCATATGGTGTGGTTGTGGTGGTGGCGGTGGCGGGGGGTGGCATGGTGGTGGTGGTACGGTGACAGTGACGTGGTGATGATAGTGGTGGTGGTTGTGACAGTAGTGGTTGCGGCAATGGCGGCGGCGGCGGTGATAGTGGTGGGGATGGTGGTGGTGGAGGTGAGACAATGGCTACGACAATGGTGGTGGAGATGTGGTTGGTGGCGGCGACAATGGTAGCGGTGACTTGGTGGTGGTGGTGGTTGTGATGACATTATGGAGATGGTGGTGGTGGTGGCAGTGGCTGCAGCGCTGGCAGTGGTGGTAGGTGACAATGGTGGTGGTGGTGGTGGTTGGTAGCGGCGGCGGTGCCGGCGGTGGCTGCGGCAATGATAGTGGTGGTTGGTGATAGTGGAGGTGATGGTAGCGGTGTCGTTGTCGTGGTGATAGTGGTGGTGGCGGTAGTGGTTGCGATGATGGTGGTGGTGGTTGCAACGGTGGTAGTTGTGGTGGTGGTGGTGATAGTTGCGGTGTCGTTGTGGTGGTGGTAATGGTGGCGGCAGTGGTTGTGATGATAGTGGTGGTGGCGACGGTGATAGTGGTGGTTGCAATGGTGGTAGTTGTGGTGGTGGTGATGGTGGCAGTGCCGTTATGGTGGTGATGGCGATAGTGGTTGCGATTATGGTGACGGTGACAGTAGCAGTGGTGGTGGTGGTGGTGGTGGTTGCAGCGGTGGTGGTGGTGGTGATGGTGGCGGTGTCGTTGTGGTGGCAATGGCGGCAGTGGTTGCGAATATGGTGGTGGTGGTGGTGGTGGTGGTGGTGACGGTGACGGTGACGGTGATAGTGGTGATGGTGGTTGCATCGGTGGTAGTTGTGGTGGTGGTGTTGATGGTGGCATGACGGTTGTGATGGGTGGAGGTGGTGGTGATGGTGGCGGTGGCATCGTGGTGGTGAGGGGTGGTCATGACAACACTAGTGGTACGACGGCGGCGACGACGATGGTGGCGGTGGTCGTGTTGGGATGATGGAAGGGTTTCTCATTTTGTGCTCGGGAATAAAAAAGCAGAAATTTTCTGATTCTTTTTTCTGTTTCCCAGCACAAAAATTAATTTGGTTCATCCCGGAAACAAACAAATAAACTGGTTTTACCAAACGAGTTTTCTATCCATTTCTGTTCCCAGGAACAGAAATTAAAAAAAAAATGATTATGGGAAGGTTGTCATGCGCACCCTCAATGACTTCAAATCTAGGATGATACCTGGGTATCACTTTGCAGTGTAAGCGGGCTGGGAGGGCTACTTTTATCTATATCATATATCACTTACACTCTCGTTTAAATTGTTGGAGCCATACTTCCATGTCACTATTGGGTAGAGTTACTCTCTCAAAAGTAGTCCTTCAAGCTATCCTCACCTATCTGATGCAAGTTGTGTCCTACCCGAAACGTGTGCAGTGTTATTGAGAGACAATGTGGTTGGCTAAGACCTATAGAAATGCAATTATGCATGGGAAAGAGGAGGATTGGCAAGCATATAAAGCTCATATAATTATTCTAAAGGTGACAGAATTTACTGATTGCTGGAATAATTGTCATGGGGCAATGATTAGGAGAAATTCAACTTTTATTTCGGTGAGTTGAAGACCATTTGATTATGGGTTGATAAAAATTAATATGGATGGGGAAGCCAGAAGACTTAATGGTGGTGCTACTTGCAGTGGAGTGTTTAGAAACGCATCAGGAATTTGGATCCAAGGTTTCACATATCACATTAGACAGTGTTCAGCCCTTGAAGCTGAACTTTTGGGTGTGCTCAAAGGTTTGGAATTAGCCCGGGAATGTGGCTAGAAACATATTATCTTAAAAAGTGATTCAAGCTCTGTAATCATTTTTCTCACCAAAAATGGAGGAGCAGCTCAAGATCCACGGCTAATGGCTTGCATTCAAACATGGCTATTGAAAGACTGAGAGGTTCAACTTGTTCATTCCTACATAAAGAGTGATGGTTGCGCATACTGGTTGTCAAAGTACCCTCTGGACAATCCAATGAGGAATAATTTAAGTGTTTTTTTCTCCCCCCAGTATTTTGCTGTTTTGTTTAGTGGACTTTTCTAATGTGTGTTCTTTTCGAAAGATTTTTGTAATATAATCTCTATGGGGTTGTCTTAGGCCCTTCAAATTACCAAAAAAAAATTGTAACATAATATATATATAATAAGATAGCAGGGCCACATGTAAATAACGATACATTAGATTTTTTTTAGGTAATAATTACTTAGTAAATGTTATTTAGATTTTGATAAGATTTTAGTTAGATTGTATTTGGTTCTGTTAAAAGCTAACGATATGTAATGATTAAGAGTTGTCAGAAAAGAAAGAAAGAGGTCAATATGTTTATCTATAAATATATGTGATTGGTGATCGTATAAGAAAGAAAGGAAAGGAAACATAGAGGAGGAAAAAGAAGTCGAGGGAAAGAAGATAAAATAGTAAGAGAGAAAGAAGAATCGCATAACACAAATAAGAAAAATAAGGTAATATTGAGAGAGTAAAAAATTCTCTCATTTTTCTTTTTCTTAGTTATTCTTTTTAAAGTTGATTTTTAGAAAGTTATAATAATGTTGTTATTTTGCCAAAATTCTTTCTTAAATCTCTTCTTCTAGTTTTATTTAAATTATTTATGTACGTTTAAATTGTAATTCCTTTTGCAGTAAGACATAATAAGAATAAATTATTTGGTACCAAATGAATGTTAAGAAAATGTGTAAATTTTAATTGTATGATTCTGATGTGAACTGACCCACAAGGGTTTTGGATCAGACGGTTATAGAGTAAGAGGTGTCTTATCTAGCTTGAGCTCCGCTAATTAGAACATTTCAAATGCAGCGAGCCACAAAATTTGGCATTTAAATTAACTTCATTTAAATATTACATAATTTACTATTTTTTATTATTTTTTATATTACTTCATTTTTATGAACTTACTTGAGAGAATGATATTTTTCGTTATTACGACTGCAATGATTATAGTTAGAAAATCTCGATATTACTTAGATTTTTCTCACGTTTGTTTGTTTTATGCTAAACTTTATAGAGAATTATCATGCCTAGTTTGTACTTGCCGGGTGAAGGATGGGTAGTTATTATTTATCTTTATGAAGACCATTCAAAATTCTACATAGTAAATGGAAATCAAGGAGTTGTAGCTATATTCTATCTAGACAGTGTGGAAACTCATACTTATAGGCTAGATTAAAGTGAAACTTATGTACTATATAAATTTGTAACTTTAAATAGTTAGGAATGTAATATATGTATGGTACTGATATAAAATAGTTTAGGATGTAGACTTTATTGTAAGAAGTTTAGAATGTGAAAAGGTATGTGCTAACTCAAATCCATGTACAAAATAATGAAGGGTGTTAGTTTAACTAGTTGAGCTTCCTAATAAGTTTATATTCCTCTATATTTCTTGTTATTATTATTAAAATATAATTTAAGAAATAATGTGATATTCTCTATAATAGTTAGTTATAGAGGATGTTTTATATTTAATTCTTTGTTATTATTTTTGCATGTTTATTATATTGATATGTGATGTCTTTAATTTTTATGTAAATTATCATGGTAAATTATGGATTACAAATTTTATACGATAAAAATTTCTATATAACGTGTATTTTTATGGGATCCTTTTGGAGGTATCTGTATGTTTGTCTGCCAAAATAGTTTATAGGATTCCTCTTATAAGGTAGTCTAAATATATGCATGGTCAAGAAACTGGGTTCTTGAGTCAAGGATCAGGTTCCTCAGACAAGATGAGACAAGGGAACGAGCTTGCAAAATACAAAACTCGGATAAATAGAAAAAAATTATACGTATGTGCTCGATCAAGAAACTAGATTTATTGAGTCAAGGAACAAATCCCTTAGACAACATGTGGTAGGGGAGCATGATTTTCCCTAAATTATGGCCGGAAACAATACACTTCAAAAGTCTTTTAAATCTTTATCTTCCTTAAGATAAATATCTCATTAAATGTGTATTTTCAGATGTGCAAGACGGAACCTAAAGTAGATGTCGTGTGTGCATTAGCCAATAAAATCTATATTTCTATTTAGAGTAAATATCATTTTGGGTACTCAACAAAAAACACGAAATCTTTTTTAATCCCTAAACAAAAACGACTTATGGTCCCTCTGAAATTTCAGTTCTTTGAAATTGCGGTTCTTCTGAAATTCAAAGAAGAATCATGTTAGTCCCTAAAAAAGGACTAATATGGGTACTTTTTCTTTTAAGGGATTAAAATGGGTTCCGTATTTTTTGTTGAGGACCCAAAATGATATTTACTTTTTTATTTAATTCTGAAGTTCTGTAGACTATATTTATATTTTAGTTGTCATAATTATATTTTATAAGAGTAATAATTTAACAATAGAATGGGTATTAATTTAATAACAAAATTATCTAAATTTTGTCCATACATCTATGGTAAAAATGATTGATACAATGTGAAAATTTTCACTTTAATATTAGTTAAGGGGTGTTTGGTTGAGGTGAAATTTTTTTTACTAGAAAAATGTAAATACTAGGGATTTGCAGGAAAAATGAGTTAGATAGAAAAATATTAAAAAAGTTGTTTGGTTGGAAAAAAATTTACCAAAAAAATTGAATGAAATTCCTGAATATGTGTTTGGTTGAAGATAAAATATTGATTGAAATGACACCTAAACGATTTACTTGCACGAGGAGAAATTTTTTGGATACTAGGAAAATGTAATTATTAGGAAAATAGTTGGAAAGTGAGTTTGGTAGGAAAATGTAAAAAAAATTGTTTGGTTGACCAAAATATTACCAGAGAAATTTATTTAAATTTGCAAAATCTATGTTCGGGAGAAACTTCACACCTGTTTTTTCACTTCCCCAGTTATCTCAAAATACCACATCTCAAGTGGTATTCTGTAACAGTGAATTTCATCCAAAAATCAACACAAAAGTCATTTTTCTATCTATCCTATTTGCCTAGTATTTTTTTCAAAAACCTAAACCAAACGTGATATTTTTCAATATCCACTTACACTTTTTTATCAATCCCAAAATAAATCTTCTACCAAACACTACCTTACTGCAATTGTGATTGATAGGCAAGTGACTTAAAAGGGTAAAATTCATCACGTTAACCAAACATGGGAAATTGATATTACTTTTGCACTTGGCTAAGAAACCAGAAAAAACTCTTGAAACAAACACCACCTTGAGGTCTGTCATCAGAGATATTAATTCCTCTCATCGAGAACCGTTCCTTTCTCACAGATTCTAATATTCATCTCAATTTCATGCAACACAATAACTTCCATTGGAAAAAATAATTTCTTTTTAAGGGAAGATTTACGTTAAGTATAGGGACTAATCACAAGAATTTTTAGGATACGAGAATAGTAAAATTTGAACTCATATATTTTTATTATACACCAAGTTTAATATAGATAGCTTCAGTGAACTAACAAAACTCCTTGGTTCTAATTTGCTCACAATGACTTTATTGATACATGATATAATTATCTGGCCGTAACTTTTTCTTTTCTTTTTTGAACACTCGCAGTGACTTTATTAATTGTGCGTAATAAACACTTTGCAAAGTAGATTTAAGGCCATTTTAAGCTGTTTTGTTGCTCTGAAGCATGTCATCCAACTCTTTAGCAAACATTTCCATAACCTTGATAGGCAAGCAAATCAGAACCAATATACCTTCCTCTCCTTTCGCATTTTGAGATGGGACATGAAAGTGTATCGCAGGAAAGGCTCCGGCACCAGCTTTTGCTAGTCCACCATACAGTGCCTTGCCCCACCCAAAATCCAAATCTCTAAATCCAGCATGTGTTGTATCCAACACAAGACATGACCTTACCACAGTGAATAAAGGCCATCCCTTAGTCACCATTAGATCAGCCAAAGAGTGCATATACTCCTCAGTCACCTCAGCCATTGCGCTCTGTATCAACTTCACAGCATACTCTAACGGATTTTCGCTAAGCTCACCCGCGGTCGTGACAGCCGCTGGGTACGCAAAACAGTTTCCGTAATAACCAGTTGGTATTGGAGGATTAAACTTAGCACGTGCGTCAACAAGACACATCATTCGAACATCTTCCTCTGGGTCTAACCGCAACGCTTTTGTGCGGCAACGCCAGATGTACGACGTGAGTACCTCAAACGTGGTGGATGACTGATCAAGATCACGGGGAAGCAAGCCACGGATTGCAGCTATCTCGGTGGGTCCGAAGAAGAATGATCGCTGTGCAAAGTCCTCCTCGGTGTTGCTGTTGTTGTCGGTTAGTTGTTCGAATTCTCGATGGTTGCAAGTAACGCGTGGTGGGTCCCTTGCGCATAAGAGCTCCCTACTCCAAACAGGTGGAATGGGAGGTTCACATGCACCCCGAGCTATTTGTGTCAATGCAAGCATGAAATAAATTACGCCAACTCCATCTATCATTGCATGGTTAAAGCGAAGTGCACAGATGAAACCACCGCACTTCAAACGCGTGACCTGTCATTATTTAAAATTATAAAGGCATGCTATATAATATGGGAAATTATTTTCTCCAGAAAGCTATCTTAAGTCACACACGTAGAAATATATGCCAGCATTTTATTTTTATTTTTGTTTAGTCTGTGGATCCCATTTTTTGTTTAAGTTGGAGAATATATTTCACTTGTTGAATGATATATATATATATATATATATATAAATAAAGTAAATCAAATGTTATGTTACATAATGTAACATAATTTTTCTATATATACAATTTTATGTGAGTCAAATTCCTTGATTTTTCTCTCTTCTCTCTCTTCTCAATTCTGTATGTAAGAAAATTATGTTACATTATATAAGATAATTTTTGATTTACCTATATATATATATATATGAGACTTATTAATATCATGTTATTTGATACATTTTATCTCATGTTATAGAAATAAATATGTGGATCTTTTAGTTTTTATTTTATTTTTTTGTAAAAGGTGAGTTCCATATATTTATTTTTATGACATAAGATAATATATATGTCTCCAATAATATCAAAAAATATTTTTCATATATATATATATATATATATATATATATATGAGAAAAATATTTCTCAAATCACTTGAGATATATTTATCGATCTCTGATTATCCTCGTTTTGTTTATTTGTTTTTTTATTTTCTAATATTAATTGATTAAATGGCAAGAAATAAAATTATCTCAAATTACTTGACAAAGGATAAATGATTTATACACATATATATGTGTGTCTTTATCCATTAATGTCAAAAAGAAATGTGTAAGATAGTTAACGAGATTGAATATGCTGGACCTGTATAAGAAAAATGGGAGAATTAATAACTCCTTCTGAACCAGGAACTTGGTAGAGGAGTTCATCGAAGCATGGGAATGGAGATTTAAGGGTGTCACCAAATTGATCAAGTGTGACATCTGCATCGGCGGCAATGAACACGACACCCTCCTCGTTACAATCCACCATGAGTTTGCCATCAGAACCTTCCCTAAGCCTACCCGCAAGTGGGTAGTAGAAAACAAGTGTCTGCGCGAGTGCGTGTCTAATTATTTCAACTGGGTCTTTCCCTGCCATGGAGGGTTCGTTACGATAGAATTGTATGACTGGGATTTGGGCACGGAGACCTGCTTGATTATCTATGTCAGATAATGGCTTGATTTCACGGGGAGTGGGTTTTGCCGGAGCAACCAGCTCCGGTTTACTCCTCCGCACGGAAAACACCAGAGATGAGGGTTCCATGTCATGAGAAAAGGCCATTGCGGATGACAGAAGAGTTAAAGAGTAATGATTAGAAGTACTCTCTGTGAGTGAATGGGTTAGCCGGATGTAATTTATAATGGAGTAATCGAGAATATGACCAATGAATATTGGGAAAAAAAATCATGATACATGTGATAAATTCTATCGTAAACATCTTTCGTGTGTCATTTTTTTTTAGGTGGTAAAGGCCACAAATTTATAGATAACTTATCTTTTTCAGATTAATAAAACGCATAAATATTTTCGGTAGCAGGTCATGTCAACGGGACACACCATGATAAGTAGTGGATTCTTATTAAGTACGTTAGTCTGGATCCACGCGGAGCACGTTTCGCACTCCTCCCGGAAAAAGGAAATACAGAAAATTAAAAATTTGTGCTTAAAATTAAAAAATGTAGCTACTTAATTCTACAGGAAATAAAAAAAGGAAGAAAATAGAAACAAAAAATTCTTGCATCTCGAATTTAAATTTTCCCTGATCTCTTATTTTATTTCTTTATTTTTGTTTGAAATTATTTTATTTCTTTTCGTCTAATTTGTTTGAGCATTGACTGAAATAAAATATTATTATCATAATTATAAGTAATCTAAATTAAATAGTTTGTTAACATTTTAATATATAAAATTGCAAATATATATTAACTTTCAATATTAATGTGCAGTTGACGTAAACTCTTTTTACTATGAAAAGTAGACTGAGGATATTCTAACTATTAAAAAATTTTACTACTAACTTACTACCCATCACTAGGGGTGAAAGTGGGCTGGGCTGGGCCAAGCTTTGCCTCGAAAAGCCCAAGCCTACGCCAAAAAATTTCAATTTGGCATGGCCCAAACCTAGTATGAGTATAACTGTTAGTCTGGCTTGACCCGTTTATAAAAAAAAACAAATGGCCTGGCTTGGCTCGTTAGCCTGTTAATTTTTAACTTCCAAGCAGAACCATGAATCAACTTTACAAAGTACTCAAATTCTGTTGATACATCAAAAATCATAATTTCAACGTCCAAACAGAATTATGAATCATAACAAAACTCTTACAATATGCATTTAAGTCATTTTCAAAAGCAAAATGCTCAAACTAAATAACATATATTTCATCAGATCCAACAAACAAATCCATACTATGTAAATTAAAATAACTACATGAATCCAACAAACACATCATGATGCTTGTAGTAAGCAAGGAAGCACGGACACTTGTAAAAACAGGAAGAGTCGGGTCCGACACGCTCCGACACGGCGACACGCTCCGACACGCTCTGACACGGTGTCGGACACGCGGTTGACTTTTTCCGACGGTCAAATGGCATTTTCGTATTTTTTTTTAAATTTTTTTTACTTTTTTTTTACTTTTTTTAAAAACTAAATATATTAATAAAGCTTACACCTGATCATATCAATTTTATCTTTTTTGTCTTTTTTTCCCTTAAGTAGATAAGAGATCATCTCAGCATCATTGTTGTCAATTCCTATCACGCTCTTGTTGTATCTTCTTCTCTCTGATCTCTCTGTAATATGATTTGATCTCTCTATCTGATATTATATCTCTCTCTCATCTCAGTTCTTATTTTTTTTATTAAAGCTTCCATCTTTATAACGTGTTGATGGGTATTATTAATTTAGTTTCATTTTTTGTTAAATTATTAAATATTAAATGAAATATACACTATATAAATTAAAAATATTATTTAATATTAAAACGTGTCCCAACGTGTCGAAATCCATAATTTTTTAGGATTGACGTGTCGGAGTGTCGTGTCGTGTCGTGTCGTGTCGTGTCACGTGTCGCGTGTCGTATCGGTGCTACATAGGTAGTAAGTATAACCTCTCCCAAAAATCTTTTAATATATTCATATACACAATCTAACATATTGAGATGTTGGTTTCTCCTATATAAAAAATAAAGTAAGATTTCTATTAAAATATAATCGAATATAATTAAGTTATACATAATTATAATTGATTAAATTTATATCTTTTGTTTTTTCTTCAATATTTACTCTATTTTATTTTATTTAAAATAAATAGTACAATATAGGTTGGCCTGTAGGCTTATAGGCTGGCCTTTTGAAAGTGGCCTACGGCCTTTTTATTAAACAGGCTTTTTTAAGACCCAAGCCCGACCTATTATACAAAATATACTAGGTCAGGGCTGGCCTGATGTAGGCCGAGCCGTAGGCCCCTGTAAGTCGGCTCGGCCCAGTTTCACCCCTACCCATCACATCATCATTGGATTAAAGAGAGAGAATGTTAAAAAGTTTTTGAAGAGAGAGAAAATGTTAATCTAATGGTGATTAGATAGGTAGTAAGTCGGTAGTGGAAAATTTTGATAGTGAGAATATCCCTTCTCTCAAAAGTATATTTTAATTGGTCTATTATTTTGGATTTAAATATTTCTGTTTATATATTTTGTAGTAGCGAGGCACATGCCATTATTATTATTATGGGAAATTTTATTAATTTTCTACAAACACATTTTGTAGTTTTTTTTACTAGGGAAAATAAAAAAAAAATTACGTGATTTGTCTTTGAATCGCTTATCCTTCTATATTTTTGTTTATCATTTATCCTCTATATTTTTTTACCAGGCTAACTCGAGCTCCATACAGACCAGAGTCAGACTGGTTCAAGAGAAGTCCATGACGGGAGACCACCACCAATGGCTAAGGTTAGGCCTACCATATCAAGTGATCAAGTGGTTCTAACACTATATTACAATCCAAAATCTTAAAATATTAAATTTATAAATCCTCCTAGTTATATGAATTTCACTAAATGCATTATCAATACTAATGGCATTTGAAAATGTCAATTGGGAAAGCTTAAAATTAAAAGAGAAATAGCTGTATACATGACACATTGAGGAACAGTGACCAAAATGCCACTATTCCTTAACTTTTTTTCCTAAATGCCACGCTAACAGTGTTAATTTTCAATATGCCACGTGGGCAAGTTCGCTGGGCACTGTAGCGAACTCAGTTTGCTGACGTGTCACGTTCCTAGTGGACACCAAGTTCGCTACCTGGGGTAGCAAACTTGGTTGCAATTATTGCACCTGTACGTTTCCACTTGTCACGATGACACGTGGCAGACATGCAACGAAGTTCGCTGCCCCCCTAGCGAACTTCGTTCAATGTCTGCCATGTGGCGTGGCAGGCAGAAACGTGCAGGTGCAATAATTGCAATCAAGTTTGTTACCCCAGGTAGCGAACTTGCCCACGTGGCATACTGGAAATTAATACTGTTGGCGTGACATTTAGGTAAAAAAGTTGGGGAACAATGGCATTTTGGTCACTGTTCCACAGATTGACAGAAACAACTGTCTCCTATGATGCACGGACACGGACACGGGATACGACACGATACGCCGACACGTTAATTCTAAAAAATGTCATATTTCGACACGTTGGGACACGTTTTGATATTAAATAAAAATTTTAATATATATAATGTAATTTATATTTAATACATATAAGAGTCCATAATAAGTCATATAACCAATGAAATATTTAAATTTCATAACATAAATATAATTATACGTCATTTTTCGTATTTTGTTAATTTTTAATGTCAAATTTCATAGAAGAAAAAGATTAATTTATAAATTATTTCTTTTATATTTAGTTAACAAAATAAAATCAAGATTTAAAAAAAAAACGTGTCCAAGCGTGTCCCCAAATGTTGACCGCGTGTCCCTAAATATTGACCGCGTGTCAGAACGTGTTGGAGAGTTGACCGTGTGTCCCCAAATGTTGACCGCGTGTCGGACGCGTGTCGGAGCGTGTCCATATCAGACACGGGTCCGACACGTGTGAGGCTGTCTCCCCTTCTTTGTTCTTGTGTAATTGTAAATTCTTTACTAAAATCAATGACATTCAAGTACTTCGGCAAAAAGAACTGGACTTTCTTTCGTCCACCACTCGAGTCAAAACCATATAGCTAGATCTTATCACATACTTGTAACCTTTGAAGGAACAAGCCTTTAAAAGACGTGCAAGTAATAAACAATCTCCATCTCAATAATTACATGCAAATATCCTCAAGTATTACGTATTCGCATCATCCTGTCTTGTATATAAGTTTCCGACCTAAAAAATCAACATCATCTTTGTTTTATATGGTTTAGTGGTTATTTTGTGCGTGTACATCAGTGATTTTTGTATGGTAAAAAATCTGTTGAGATATATTGTTGGGCTCTCACAGAAGAGAATGAATTGAATCACTGGAAAAGAGAATTTTATTATTATTCATTATCGCTTCCACCGTTACAATGTCTATTTATACATTCAATGTGTCTATTCACAATACACCCAAAAGCTACACGTGACTAGCCAACTACTAATGTAGCTTCCACACTTTTCTACATGTTACACCTAAGTAAAGTTTCTTAGCCAAGCAGGTGCATTCCTAATGCGATTTGACTTCTCACGTGCAGTAGATGACTTTGCCTCAGCCGAACGTGTAACAATACCCTCCCCATGGACAGAGACCTTGTCCCCAAGGTCAAGTGATGGATAAGTCAGCTTCAAGTCGCGTTCAAATTCCCATGTTGCATCCTCCGGAGCTGCATTCGACCATGGGATCAAGAGCTGCTTTTGACGACGGCGACCAGATGACCATCTAGAATTAAGAACAGCTAAAGGGGTTTGCAGGGGACAATTGTCAACACTATCCAAGGGTAAGGGAAAAGAGCCCTCTGCATCTGGTCCAGTGTACTTCTTCAACACAGAGACATGAAATGTTGGATGTATTTTACAATCTGGAGGCAACTTAAGACGATAAGCCACATCACTGATCACTTCCTCAATAGGAAACGGACTATAAAAACGCTTTGCCAACTTATGATTCGATCTACGCAGAACTGAAACTTGACGGTAAGGCTACAATCTAAGTAAACTAAAACCAAATCACCAAATTTGAAAGATTGATCTGTGCGCTTCTTATCTGCCATGTTCTTCATCCTCTGTTGAGCACGACTTAGATGAGCTTTGAGAGT